GTATAAACCAGAGTCATAATGATTTACAAAGAGAGGCAAGTATAAACCAGAGTCATAATGATTTACAAGAGAGACAAGTATAAACCAGAGTCATAATGATTTACAAGAGAGGCAAGTATAAACCAGAGTCATAATGATTTACAAGAGAGACAAGTATAAACCAGAGTCATAATGATTTACAAGAGAGACAAGTATAAACCAGAGTCATAATGATTTACAAGAGACAAGTATAAACCAGAGTCATAATGATTTACAAGAGAGGCAAGTATAAACCAGAGTCATAATGATTTACAAGAGAGACAAGTATAAACCAGAGTCATAATGATTTACAAGAGACAAGTATAAACCAGAGTCATAATGATTTACAAGAGAGGCAAGTATAAACCAGAGTCATAATGATTTACAAGAGAGGCAAGTATAAACCAGAGTCATAATGATTTACAAGAGAGACAAGTATAAACCAGAGTCATAATGATTTACAAGAGAGACAAGTATAAACCAGAGTCATAATGATTTACAAGAGAGGCAAGTATAAACCAGAGTCATAATGATTTACAAGAGAGGCAAGTATAAACCAGAGTCATAATGATTTACAAGAGAGGCAAGTATAAGCCAGGGTCATAATGATTTACAAGAGAGGCATGTATAAACCAGAGTCATAATGATTTACAAGAGAGACAAGTATAAGCCAGAGTCATAATGATTTACAAGAGAGACAAGTATAAACCAGAGTCATAATGATTTACAAGAGAGGCAAGTATAAACCAGGGTCATAATGATTTACAAGAGAGACAAGTATAAACCAGGGTCATAATGATTTACAAGAGAGGCAAGTATAAGCCAGGGTCATAATGATTTACAAGAGAGGCAAGTATAAACCAGAGTCATAATGATTTACAAGAGAGGCAAGTATAAACCAGAGTCATAATGATTTACAAGAGAGGCAAGTATAAACCAGAGTCATAATGATTTACAAGAGAGGCAAGTATAAACCAGAGTCATAATGATTTACAAGAGAGGCAAGTATAAACCAGAGTCATAATGATTTACAAGAGAGACAAGTATAAACCAGAGTCATAATGATTTACAAGAGAGACAAGTATAAACCAGAGTCATAATGATTTACAAGAGAAGCAAAGTATAAACCAGAGTCATAATGATTTACAAGAGAGGCAAGTATAAACCAGAGTCATAATGATTTACAAGAGAGGCAAGTATGAACCAGGGTCATAATGATTTACAAGAGAGGCAAGTATAAACCAGAGTCATAATGATTTACAAGAGAGGCAAGTATAAACCAGAGTCATAATGATTTACAAGAGAGACAAGTATAAACCAGAGTCATAATGATTTACAAGAGAGGCAAGTATAAACCAGGGTCATAATGATTTACAATGAGAGGCATGTACATGTATAAACCAGAGTCATAATGATTTACAAGAGAGGCAAGTATAAACCAGGGTCATAATGATTTACAAGAGAGGCAAGTATAAACCAGGGTCATAATGATTTACAAGAGAGGCAAGTATAAATCAGAGTCATAATGATTTACAAGAGAGACAAGTATAAACCAGAGTCATAATGATTTACAAGAAGAAGCAAGTATAAACCAGAGTCATAATGATTTACACAAGAGAGGCAAGTATAAACCAGAGTCATAATGATTTACAAGAAGAGGCAAGTATAAACCAGAGTCATAATGATTTACAAGAGAGACAAGTATAAACCAGAGTCATAATGATTTACAAGAGAAGCAAGTATAAACCAGAGTCATAATGATTTACAAGAGAGGCAAGTATAAACCAGAGTCATAATGATTTACAAGAGAGGCAAGTATAAACCAGGGTCATAATGATTTACAAGAGAGACAAGTATAAACCAGAGTCATAATGATTTACAAGAGAGGCAAGTATAAACCAGAGTCATAATGATTTACAAGAGAGGCAAGTATAAACCAGAGTCATAATGATTTACAAGAGAGGCAAGTATAAACCAGAGTCATAATGATTTACAAGAGAGACAAGTATAAACCAGAGTCATAATGATTTACAAAGAGAAGCAAGTATAAACCAGAGTCATAATGATTTACAAGAGAGGCAAGTATAAACCAGAGTCATAATGATTTACAAGAGAGGCAAGTATGAACCAGGGTCATAATGATTTACAAGAGAGACAAGTATAAACCAGAGTCATAATGATTTACAAGAGAGGCAAGTATAAACCAGAGTCATAATGATTTACAAGAGAGACAAGTATAAACCAGAGTCATAATGATTTACAAGAGAGGCAAGTATAAACCAGGGTGATAATGATTTACAATGAGAGGCATGTACATGTATAAACCAGAGTCATAATGATTTACAAGAGAGGCAAGTATAAACCAGGGTCATAATGATTTACAAGAGAGGCAAGTATAAATCAGGGTCATAATGATTTACAAGAGAGGCAAGTATAAATCAGAGTCATAATGATTTACAAGAGAGACAAGTATAAACCAGAGTCATAATGATTTACAAAAGAAGCAAGTATAAACCAGAGTCATAATGATTTACAAGAGAGGCAAGTATAAACCAGAGTCATAATGATTTACAAGAAAGGCAAGTATAAACCAGAGTCATAATGATTTACAAGAGAGACAAGTATAAACCAGAGTCATAATGATTTACAAGAGAGGCAAGTATAAACCAGAGTCATAATGATTTACAAGAGAGGCAAGTATAAACCAGAGTCATAATGATTTACAAGAGAGGCAAGTATAAACCAGAGTCATAATGATTTACAAGAGAGACAAGTATAAACCAGAGTCATAATGATTTACAAGAGAGGCAAGTATAAACCAGAGTCATAATGATTTACAAGAGAGGCAAGTATAAACCAGAGTCATAATGATTTACAAGAGAGGCAAGTATAAACCAGAGTCATAATGATTTACAAGAGAGACAAGTATAAACCAGAGTCATAATGATTTACAAGAGAGGCAAGTATAAACCAGGGTCATAATGATTTACAATGAGAGGCATGTACATGTATAAACCAGAGTCATAATGATTTACAAGAGAGGCAAGTATAAACCAGGGTCATAATGATTTACAATGAGAGGCATGTATAAACCAGCTATAATAAGAAAACAAGTCACAATTAAACAGAGTCAGACGTATAAACCCTGGTCTGCCCGCACCCAAACTTGCTGCTTTCACCCAAATGACAAAGTTTACGATATGAATAACTTGGCGATATCCCCCAATCATGCCCATACGTCGTGACATAACATTGTTTATTATGGCGTTAAACCCAACTCACTAATCACAATCGTTATTGATTATAAGACAACTTCAGTAACACCCGTACCCGGATACACACTATCGCGTCGACCTGTCGAGTCAAGACGATAAGGGTCCGGAGAAGTTCATGTTACATGGTTATGTAAGTTGTGTGTATAGACAGGACATATACATATCAGATATACATATTTCGTATGGATAGGATTCCTGGAAATCCTTCATATACAGCCGGGCTGTAGCTCTATTGCACAGAATGTGTCTTGACCGCATTTCGGAGAAGTGTACAAGGAGAATTGACATACCCCTACCTTCTTAAGTTTACGCGAATGTGTGTACGTGTGTGCGCGTGCGCGTCCGCGTGGTTCTCTCTAGACTAACGCTTAGTCTCTGAATATATATAATTTTGATAGTAACAAACAAACCCATTTAAATTGAAAAGGAGCCCCAAGGCAGACCAGATATTTAGACTTGAGGAAATCTAGACTTGCTTCATTTAGGGCTTTAGCACTGCAGAGAGGGCAAGGCAAAAGGGAAAATAATGTGGTTCAGGGACTGTGAGACAGATTATAGGTTCTCTCCTACTTTTAAGGTTTGAGCGAGCGATTATTGATCACTGGCGGTATCATGAACTGTTTTAAACTCCGAATTTATCTACAAGAATTTAGGTTCATATGTTATTTCCTGCTTCAGCCCATTGTCCGGTTACTAGTATTTGATTGCTTGTGATGAGAGAGGAGCAGGTTGGCTGGGATGGGGAACGGCTCTACATACGAGGGAACAGTACTGATAACTTTGGATTCCACTGAAATATTGATTATACCGTCAAAATATAAACTACCTTAATTTATTTATACATATTTGTTGTATTTGACTTTCTCGAAGGAATTCAGCGTAAGACTTGCCCCTCATCTTGTCATATGCTTGAAATAGGCGACGGTATGGATCGGGAGATTGTAACCGGATGTTGTATGTTGCCCATTATATGAATCACTGGCTTGTCTGGTTCAGACTTAGGGAACCCGTTACTTTGGACTATTAATGTATGTGGCGTTCATCAACAGTACAAACCTCAGACATAGCTTAGTACAGATATATGGTCTCTGCTCAGTACAACATTATGTGGATATTTTATGACTGCTTTAAACAGAAGAACTCAGTTTTCAAAAACTTGGTGCGTTTTTTTTTCTTACATCACGTAATATCTTTATATCAAATACACCGTAAGTGTAACTCTTCCCTTTTCTATTTTATGTGCAAATTAACCGGATCTTTTTGTCACACGTTATAAATAGGTTCCTTAAAGACCGGTTCAACTGAATCCCACGAGGTCACGTTGACCTGGTGAGAAAATTCCACGTGGATGGTTCCGAACACATGTAAACCGGATATTGCGGGGCACGTTTACAGTGAAATACGATTCAGCTTACATTGTTCTGTTACACAGGTGTACAGCGGACAATTGACAGGATATATTGAAATTCCCGCTCGAATAATGCCGTTTCCACCTTTAAAACGATACCACTAGCGGAATTCGTTTAAGAAAAAATACAAGAAAGACTTATTTAACCTCAAATCCTGCAACCGTCTGGTGGTTATTTCATACAAGCCTATATTTTATTTTAACGCATGCATGTGCTTTGTGAAAAAGGTACATCATAAGTATATTTCACACATATAATGACATGATTGTAGATAATTATATATGATTATTCGTCGTACCTGCTTCTTTTCCTTTGTCCGGAGGTTTGGCAAATAAATCCTTGTAGTGAATAAACGACTGAGAGTGTAGACTCAGCGAAATAACGATGCAGGCAATGAACTGGTAACGCCCCATTTCCATGCTGAAATTGATGCCGGACAGAAAGACCCAGCGTCTCTTGTTACATCTGACAGGGGACTGGGTTTGGGGGAGGGGGGTGATGCCGCGTTCTCTCCATCCTCCGATTGTTTCAGGCGATTCTTACATAACATTTCCCATTAAGCCGGCCTCGGATGTAGATTTGGGCCAGAGACAATGTGTACGATCAAAGTTTGGGGATAGCTTCAAGAGGGCATGAAAGAATTGTTTATATTTTCTTGATTTGGAAATAGCTAGCATATGTGCTAAACTGCATATTTGTTCTTGGTGTAGAGAATTCTTGTTTAGGAAATCACGTACACTTTATAACATACTTGGAAGTGAGACTGCCAGATCATTCCGTGAACGTAGACGCTATCAGGGAGGATTTAAAAATATGGAGGGTGGGATTGAGGACATAATGTGTGTGTGCATGCGTGCGTGCGTGTCTTCTGTGTATGTGGTCTATGTGTCTTCTGTGTACATGTGTGTATTCTGTGTGTGTGTTTTCTGTGTTCTATGCGTTTATTATATGTGTGTTTTCTGTGTTCTATGCCATGCGTGTAGTCTGTTTGTGTTCTATGTGTGTGTCTTCTGTGTGTCTCTTTGTGTCTGTTCTGTGTGTCTTCTTTCCCTCTCTCTCTCTCTTCTTTCTTTGTGGGTGGTATATGTGGTATATTTTATTCACATTGATTACACAGTAAATTACGATTGTAATGAAGTGCAAGAGTCCACTAAGTGTAGTTACAAGCGTTGTCCGTTATATGCCTCACGTCTATAAGACAGAACGTTGCATCCTAGACTAACAGCTAATCTCTGAAATGAACATATTTTTCAGAAAAAAAGTTTTAAATTAACATAAAATACTATAAAAAGGAGCCCAGAGACGTTTTTCATCCTCATCAATGTTCCAGCTCATTTTTACTTTGAGATGCAAAACCTTCAAAATCCTCCCCTCCTCACCACCAGTGTAACAATGAAACAGTAAAGAAAACGCAGGGAATATGTTAGTGTTTAGGGCTGTAGTGTAATCACACATGTTGCTTGGCTGGAGTGAAAGGACAGGTAGAAGCAGAGGGTCTTGGCCCAGTGTGGGGCCTTGGGGTTTGCCGGGGGAGGCTCCCCATGAGTTACAGTGAGATCAGATAATTGTGCTCGCTTGTGAATTCACCCAATTGGTACAGACCCTGAAATATTGGAAATCTAGACTTGCCACACATTCTCGACCCATTCTAGACCTGCATGGGCTGCATTGGGTATATTTGTTTCAGGGTTTCTGCGACAGACTAGTTGCATCTGACAGTTAGTTATAATTATTAAGCGTGTGTGTATGTATGTATGTGTGTGTGTGCGCGTGCGTGCGTGTGTTGGGAGGGAGCGCGCACAAATTCTGCAAACTCCCTCTCCAACATTTAAGGTTTGGGCGATCGACCACGTGAACACTGGTGATATCTTGAACTGTATTAAACTACGAATTTATCAACAAGAATTACAAGTTGGCTTCAATATCATTCCCTGCATCAGTCCATTATCCGCTTATCTGATTGCTTGTGAAGCGTCCTCTATAAACTTCAAAATGTAACGTTAATGTCCATAATCTTTACACTACACAACCTCTCACTCAGTATCCGTTATTAGATATTTAAAGAACAGGATGTATTATTTAATCATGCTTTTTCAACCACATTCATTGAAAAATGCTGCTTAATTTTTTCGATTGTTCTTGACGTCACACAACAGTCATTTGATACAATACACATGTTTGAGTCAGCTGATGAATGGGTTGAGTTTCATATAACTTTGTACAATATTCCAGCTTTATCACGTCTTTACGTGGGTGGAAAGCCTGATTTAATGCAAGTTTCAGATGTTTACAATTTCGGTAAAACGGAAGAGTTTGGATATGGTACTGACAAACCAAGAAACATCACCGAGTCACATTTGGATTCGAACCCACATCAGGTTCCTGGCGCGTCCAAGGTACGCACCCCTGCATAGCACCTAATCTATATGTATTATTTCACGAAGCCTACACTTTTGATATCACTTAATTATTTTGTTATATTTATAATACTGGTGAATTGTTTGTATTCATGAATGGAATTTGTATTATTTGTATTATTAATTTCCCCTTTCACAACCAATGCCCCCACCCTCAAAATTAGGTGCGGTGGGGTAGTCTAGTGGTTAAAGCGTTCGCTCGTCACGCCGAAGACCCAGGTTCGATTCCGATGGGTACAATGTGTGAAGTCCATTTCTAGTATCCCCCGCCGTGATATTGCTGGAATGTTGCTAAAAGCGACGTAAACCTAAACTCACTCACTCCCTCCCTCAAAATTCCTGCAAAGGGAGAGGACTTGCGTGGGATGTCATTAATCTGTCATTGTTTTTTGTCGCTGATAAGGAACCTTAATGCCTTGAACATCAGGTACAGTATACGTTTTACATAACCGGCACAGCCGGGAGGAATGTTGGTGACGTAATTAAGAGACTAGTTGGCATAGATACATTGTCTGCGATGCTACATAATTTTACCAAACCTCACGGATACAGACAATGATATATGTACGTAGTTGACACTTTTCTGGGAAGTGTTCCGTCAGAAAATCGGGACAGCCTTTAAACTGAAAAAAATCCCATCGCCGTGGGCTGCCTCATTTGAGTCATGGTGCATGCAGGTATTCACGGCGAGAACAAGTTTATAGAATGAACTACCTGAGCGGATCGTAAAGTATTACTGCACGAGCCATCTGTCACATTTCACAGTAAAATGGCAGAGATTTCACTAAAATGTTTGGAATAGGTTCATATTTAGAGGAATTCTGAAATATTGTGATTAGTAGCGTAAAGGCATAAGTGATGACCGTGAGTACGAGGGTAGCCTTGGCTGATAATCTGAGTCGGTCGATGAGACAAATCTCAGGGGTCAAGTTGTCAAGATATTTTTATCAGCCTGTAACTTGAATACTATTGGTTGGATTGGTTATTCAAAAATAGTGCCTATCCTCTTTGTGTATATTTTTATTAAAAGTCACAATTCCCATTTCTAGTACTTGGGACAATTTCCCACGGTATATGGGTAAATGAACTGATGGATTGTTTGGCTAGGAACAACTCCGAGGTCACGGTCGGGGGTGTTAGGGAGCCTTGTTCATATTTTGTTGGGGTTTTGTTTCGCTTGGCGTCTAAATTATAGTAAGTGTTTGTAACAATACAAAGTGAAAAAAATGAATGTAGTACACATGCTGCGAAAGTTGTTTTCTGTCAAAACTTCGATTGTTCTTTCGATTGTTATTTTATGGATAAGGTAATATAGACACCATGTTCTACCCCGTCATGACCTTGACAAGAGTATGTCCTTATCAACCCATGCTTGTCGTAAGAGGCGACATACAGGATCGGGTGGTCAGGCTCGCAGACTTGGATTGATGCACGTCATCGTATCCCACTTCAGTAGATCGAAAATGCCAGTCACTGGATTGTCTGGCCCAGACTCGATTATTAACAGACCGCAGCCATGTAGATGGAATATAGCTGAGGGTAGCGTTCAACAACAAGCGAAAGGTTTTAGACTTGATATGAGAATGTACTGGCATACCACGGCGTGTGTATGTGCGTGCCAACGCGTCAGTGGGTTAAATATTTTGTATTCATCCGTGTGTGTTTGTGGACGTGTTCATAGTTCATGTGTGTTTGACTGTGTATGTGTGTTTTATACATGATATATTTATCTGAGCATGTGTGTTTGTTCGCGCGTCATTGTTTAGTTTGTGTGACAGCTGAATATCCAATCACGAGTTGACAAAGATTTTCATCCTCTAAAATCTTGCCCAATGATGTCAACAAGAAACATGATCTCTAATTTATTTTAGTTTCATGCAGCTCCGGGGAGGAGCGATTGGGTACCTAGTGGTTAATAGGGATGGGACGGGTATGTGTTGGAAGATTATACCTGCATTTACTTACCCGAATCGGAATCGAGTACCCGTAAATGTAAGGAATAAAGCGCTTAACCAGGAGACTGAATATCCAATCACGAGTTGACCCTGGTTTAACCAGGAGACTAAATGATGTCAATAAGACACTGAAACTGAACATGGGCTATTTATTTTACGTCTGTTTAACCAGGGAGACTATATGTGTTGTAGATTATCCCTGGTTTAACCAGGGAGACTATATGTGTTGTAGATTATCCCTGGTTTAACCAGGGAGACTATATGTGTTGTAGATTATCCCTGGTTTAACCAGGGAGACTATATGTGTTGTAGATTATCCCTGGTTTAACCAGGAGACTATATGTGTTGTAGATTATCCCTGGTTTAACCATGTGGGAGATTATCCCTGGTTTAACCAGGGGAGACTATATGTGTTGTAGATTATCCCTGGTTTAACCAGGGGAGACTATGTGTGTTGTAGATTATCCCTGGTTTAACCAGGGAGACTATATGTGTTGTAGATTATCCCTGGTTTAACCAGGGAGACTATATGTGTTGTAGATTATCCCTGGTTTAACCAGGGGAGACTATATATGTTGTAGATTATCCCTGGTTTAACCAGGGGAGACTATATGTGTTGTAGATTATCCCTGGTTTAACCAGGGAGACTATATGTGTTGTAGATTATCCCTGGTTTAACCAGGGAGACTATATGTGTTGTAGATTATCCCTGGTTTAACCAGGGAGACTATATGTGTTGTAGATTATCCCTGGTTTAACCAGGGAGACTATATGTGTTGTAGATTATCCCTGGTTTAACCAATATAGAGAGTAACACCATTGCCGCTGTTTAACCAGGGAGACTATATGTGTTGTAGATTATCCCTGGTTTAACCAGGGAGACTATATGTGTTGTAGATTATCCCTGGTTTAACCAGGGAGACTATATGTGTTGTAGATTATCCCTGGTTTAACCAGGGAGACTTTATGTGTTGTAGATTATACCTGGTTTAACCAATATAGAGAGTAACACCATTGCCCCTGTTTAACTAGGGAGACTATATGTGTTGTAGATTATCCCTGGTTTAACCAGGGAGACTATATGTGTTGTAGATTATACCTGGTTTAACCAGGGAGACTATATGTGTTGTAGATTATCCCTGGTTTAACCAGGGAGACTATATGTGTTGTAGATTATCCCTGGTTTAACACAATATAGAGAGTAACACCACTGCCGCTGTTACTGTAACTTGACACCTCACTGCTCATGCTCAGATACATTACAGTCGTTAATAATGACCTCCATTAATCGGACAATGCCAATGATGCAAATGTGTCTTACGTCAATAATTAAAATGAAAAGTTATTATCTACCCTTGCCATTACAGAGTTCTCTCCTTTTCCGAGTACTCGATTCCTAGAAATAGGACTCAATTCCAGCTGTACCCGACCCGGATTCGAGTACCCGAATACCCGTCCCAGCCCTAGTGGTTAAAGCATTCGCTCGTCACGCCCAAAACCCGGGTTCGAGTCCCCACATGGATACAATATGTGAAGCCCATTTCTGGTGTCCCCATCGTGATATTGCTGGAATATTGCTGAAAGTGGCGTAAAACCAAACTCACTCACTCACGCTCTATCCACTGTAGGCAGTCGATCCACTGGACAATGACTGAATATCTGGCTTGTCCATGGGAGGCAACTATGCACGGCACCTTACACAAGTGTACCACTCCTGCCTATACTTGGTTCACAATGCTGAGCCAGCTGGAAATGTTGGGGAGCTATGATGTAGTGTCTCAGGAATCTTAGTGGGTTAAAGTGCATCCTAGTTCTGACATCCAAACTAAATCCATGTCATGTTTCCCTATCACCAATGGAGGACCAGGTAGGGAACAACAACACAAAGTGTATAGCAACCCTGATGACAAAGGTAGGTGCTAATATCAATCATTGGTTTATCAAAAATACACACCAACAACAACAAAATTCCATGTACTTAAGGTCAGCTTTTTATTCCACATGATAAAAACATACAATTTCTAGTTGGAATAATTTATTATTTACAATTATGATTATCATGAAACTGATTATATGGTCATATCTGTCGGTCACAAAGTGTATGTAAAGTTTTCATGAACATAGGATATTTGTTAATACAAATTGACCTTAAACAATATTAATCTGGCATGTACAAATATGAATTTACAAAGAATGATCTGTGAATGACAGCTGATTCAGTAGGGACTGACTAGGTTACTGGAATGGGGAGATGGGGTTGGGGTTACGGGTGGTGGTTGTGGCTACGACTTATTTTCAGACAGAATAAATTTTTAGTCAGTGCTTGAACACATACAATTTTCTTTGACAGAACTGTTTTTAATCCAACAACACATTATGCTTCAGAGCAACATTTCCAACGAACAATTCATTTTTGGGATAAAATCAAAATCAAATTACTTTCTTTTTCTTTTGGGGGGAACAGATTATGTTTTCCAAAAGCCCCAACCAAAATAATAAAGTGTGTGACCAAAACAGCACCTGGTTATTACATTTTACTGCTAACAATAAGAGTTACTGGGTTTCCTGAGAGAGATTGTGAAAATCTGTAAGAAACAACATGATATGTACAATTTTTATGCTTTGTTTCAGAACATCAATTATTCCAAATAAAACTGAATTAGGGAAAAAATTGAAATGAATGGGAACAAAATTCATTTTGGGTGATTGTATTCCCATTAAGTGAAATGAAGAAAGCACAAGAGTTTTCTTCAGTGTTCATTACAAATGGTAAAAAATATGGGGTCCTCCCATAAGAACTACATCCAATAAGAACTACAGCTTAAAACAACACATGTTATGGTCCAGTGCAAAGATTAACTACCTGCTGTCACCTGCGTCTGCGTAATGGATTTGCCCAACAGAAAACAAATAAAACATATATAACATTTTTGCTGCGGCAGTTCATGATGGTTTGTATTTCACCTTTACTCAATATACCTTTACCTTTACTCCAATATACCTTTACCTTTACTCTAATATACCTTTACCTTTACTCCAATATACCTTTACTCCAATATACCTTTACCTTTACTCCAATATACCTTCACCTTTACTCCAATATACCTTTACCTTTACTCCAATATACCTTTACCTTTACTCCAATATACCTTTACCTTTACTCCAATATACCTTTACCTTTACTCCAATATACCTTTACTCCAATATACCTTTACCTTTACTCCAATATACCTTCACCTACTCAATATACCTTTACCTTTACTAATATACATTCTACATATGAATACATTTACTAACTACAGCATACCCTTCTCTCTTGTCCTTTACTTTCTGGTTATTAGATTACCTTTACAATAACATAATTACTGGTCTGTAGTTCATCTCGGAGAGCTGATGGGCTGCACTCATTACATGCCATGGGGGTGCCTCTACTCAGATAATGAATCCCTAATTAATCCCTGTACTTAATTTGGGATGTAGTTCAAATGGGATGTAGTTCTTATGGGAGTAAACCAAAAATACATAGGTCACTTATCATTGGTATCTTGGCATACATCTTGTTAGTTTGTCATTGGTAGAAGTACAAGACTGAAATTAGAGTTGATTTTTTTGTTTTTTCCTAACCACCTTCACAGAATTTTACACAACATATTTCAAAACAAATAATAACACAATATTGAAAACCATTTCTTCTGAGATATACTCAAGAGAAGCCAGACATTATCTGTTTATATGTCCTGCATTATCTGGTATTATTTGCCAATCTTGACACCCTATTTTAATATTTTGCAGATTTATCTTTTGTGTTGATGGTGCATTAGGCCGTGGTTTCATGTGCACTAGCTTTGTCGTACAAGGAGTTAGAGAAGCCCATTCCAGAGTCGTAGGTGAAGTTGTAGCCTTCTTGCTTCTTCCGTATCACGAAGTAGGCGATGCCGGCTGCAGTCAGAGCCAACACAATGATACTGAGCACTATTGCAGCAATTCCTCCAGAGCCCACTGCAGGTCCAGAAGAGCCTGAAAAAATGCACCTCCACCATGACAACAGACCCACTGAAGCTCCAATAGATCCTAAAAAGATACACCACAACAACAAAGCCACTGAACGTCCAGTAGAACCTGAAAAGATACACCTCCGCCATGACGACTGAAATAATACACCTCCGCCAAGACGACAGACCACTGAGGGTCCAACAGAGCCTAAGAAGATACACCACAACAACAAAGCCACTGAACGTCCAGTAGAACCTGAAATAATACACCACCACCATGACAACAGACCACTGATGGTCCAATAGATCCTAAAAAGATACACCACAATGACAAAGCCACTGAACGTCCAGTAGAACCTGAAAAAATACACCACTACCATGACAACAGACCACTGAGGGTCCAGTAGATCCTAAAAAGATACACCACAATAACAAAGCCACTGAACGTCCAGTAGAACCTGAAATAATACACCACCACCATGACGACAGACCACTGAGTGTCCAATAGATCCTAAAAAGATACACCACAATGACAAAGCCACTGAACGTCCAGTAGAACCTGAAATAATACACCACCACCATGACGACAGACCACTGATGGTCCAATAGATCCTAAAAAGATACACCACAATGACAAAGCCACTGAACGTCCAGTAGAACCTGAAATAATACACCACCACCATGACGACAGACCACTGAGGGTCCAATAGATCCTAAAAAGATACACCACAACATCAAAGCCACTGAACGTCCAGTAGAACCTGAAATAATACACCACCACCATGACGACAGACCACTGAGTGTCCAATAGATCCTAAAAAGATACACCACAATGACAAAGCCACTGAACGTCCAGTAGAACCTGAAATAATACACCACCACCATGACGACAGACCACTGAGGGTCCAATAGATCCTAAAAAGATACACCACAATGACAAAGCCACTGAACGTCCAGTAGAACCTGAAATAATACACCTCCGCCATGACGACAGACCACTGAGGGTACAATAGATCCTAAAAAGATACACCACAATGACAAAGCCACTGAATGTCCAGTAGAACCTAAAATAATACACCTCCCCATGACAACAGACCACTGATGGTCCAATAGATCCTAAAAAGATACACCACAATGACAAAGCCACTGAATGTCCAGTAGAACCTGAAATAATACACCACCACCATGACGACAGACCACTGAGGGTCCAATAGATCCTAAAAAGATACACCACAACAACAAAGCCACTGAACGTCCAGTAGAACCTGAAAAAATACATCTCCACCATGACGACAGACCACTGAGGGTCCAATAGATCCTAAAAAGATACACCACAATGACAAAGCCACTGAACGTCCAGTAGAACCTGAAAAAATTCACCTCCGCCATGACGACAGACCACTGAGGGTCCAATAGATCCTAAAAAGATACACCACAATGACAAAGCCACTGAACGTCCAGTAGACCCTGAAATAATACACCCCCACCATGACAACAGACCCACTGAAGCTCCAATAGATCCTAAAAAGATACACCACAATGACAAAGCCACTGAACGTCCAGTAGAACCTGAAATAATACATCTCCGCCATGACAACAGACCACTGAGGGTCCAATAGATCCTAAATAGATACACCACAATGACAAAGCCACTGAACGTCCAGTAGAACCTGAAATAATACGCCACTACCATGACAAAAGACCACTGATGGTTCAACAGAGCTTGAAAAAATACACCACCACCAGAAGTGCTAAACAAAAACAATCTTAATAGGTATCCTCACTATGTAGCCAAAATATGTCACCTTGACCTATGACTTACCTTGAAAGAAACCTTCCCAAATTGACTCCCCATCCAAGGGAACTTTTAACATAAATCTTCTTTGTGATCTTCATAAATTCTGATTTTGTGACTTTTTGAAAAGTTAGGCCTTGGTAAAATTATGGAAAAGTTCCTACCCGGTTTATTCTTGTCCGATTGACTGCTCTCTGTAGTAGGGCCTGTTGATGGTGCAGCTGATGGCATCGTGACTGGCCTGGGAGATGGGCCTTGTGTTGGGGCAGATGTCACTTTAACTGGAGGCACCCTGGCAGTTGTGACCTTGACTGGTTGTGGTTTGGCAGTTGTGACCTTGGCTGTAGATGTCTTGACACTTGGCTGTAGATGGCTTGACTGTAGATGGCTTGACACTTGTGACCTTGACTGTAGGTGTTATCAGAGTTGGCATCCGCTGTGGAGGGAGGGTTGCTGGCGGTGGACCTGTTACTGGTCCCTCTGGAGGGATGGACGGGAAGTTCTGCATGCTGGTGTCTTGGACTGAAAGAGAATCGTGTGGAATTCAGACCTGATTAATACCTAAAAGCTCATCTAGTCTAGTCTTGAAACAGCTTGTTGCCCTCATTTTAAGATAAGCGTTACCATGTCATGGCAAAGTCCAGGGTTTGATTCCCTATGAATTCTCACACGCAAAGTAGCCTGGAAAAATATTTCAGGCAAGTAATTGTGTGGTTTAGGATTTCACAAATTCAAACGATGATGAAAATGTTTCAGGAAAGTAAACTGTTGGGATAAACTGTAGATTGTGGCAAAAGAATCACTCCACATCTGTAAAGAAATGCCTTGAAATGTGACAATGTTATGTTTCGAGGGCTGTTCGAGGGAGAAGAGCCAATCCATGATAAAATAAAACCCTTTTACACCCTGGAACTATATATATACTAGTATTTCTGAACATGTTGTCATTTAAGTATATTGATGGATGAATCTCTTGAAAGATATATTTGTAAATAAGGCCGAATTGTGTCATCAGACAAGGCAAAACTGTGTAAACTGCAGTCCTCCAGTGTTGTAGAAACGTATATATAGGATGTCTATACTGGCATTTCAGGGAAATCATTACCAAAATATGAACTGGTGAACAACATAGTGAAAAGTTTTTGTTTGTTTAACTTCTTTGAGTGAAATTTTAGTTGGGAAGTTGGGAAGTACAATATAGAACAAACTTTATGGATAACAACTTCCTTTATTCGTGAGTGCGACGTTTCGATACAGATTCTTGTACCGTTGTCAAGCATAATGCTTGACAACGGTACAAAATCTTCGTAATCTGCGACGTTTGATACAGATTCTTGTACGTTGTCAAGCATAATGCTTGACAACGGTACAAGAATCTGTGTAGAAACGTCGCACTCACGAATAAAGGAAGTTGTTATCCATAAAGTTTGTTCTATATTTTGTTTGTTTGTTCTTATATAAAATATACTTGTATTTTCATTACATATAAATACTGGTTGTCATCTCGAGAGAAAATATGCTGTCTGTGCTGAGGAAATACTTCAGAATATCTTTGTGGAAGAGACAATCCTGTGGTTCCTGTATGTTTATTTGTTGTCTAACACAGCATCCAGCAGTATTCCAGCTAAACGGTAAATAATTGAGACCAAACAATCCAGTGATCAACAGCATAAGCATCGATCTACCCAATTGGGATACGATGACATGTGTCAACCAAGTCAGCAAGCCTGACCACTCGATCCCGTTATTTGCCTCTAATGACAAGCATGGGTTGCTGAAGACCAATTCTAACCCAGATCTTCAGGTTCTGTGGTTCTTGACACACAAAGGATCGTCACCAAATGCCATGTTTCAGGATATTCTTCATAGGGACCTACCTTGTGGTTTCTCACAGACGAATCCCCTAAAGGAGTCACAGCTGACATCGTTCCACAGAGCTGTCTGGGCAAACAGTTCCACACAGTGCTCCTGGTTCCCCGCCGGGATCCGTACTGGACGGCTCGTTGGGTGCCCAATTGGTAAACTGTACTGGGCTGTTGTCACGCCAAGCAAAACCATCTGACATGAAAGTATATATTATTTAATTAATGACAGTATACTGACACGTCAACATTCAATAAAGACCAGATCACAAGATACAGTGTTCATTCGAGCATTTCTAAAAAGTGAGACCATGGCCCACCAGCTCTCAGTTTATGCGGGTGATTTAGAAAATATTGTGGGTCATGTCAAATTGCAGTGACCTTTTAGCCATACACTATACTAGTTATTACTAGTATGGGTTCACTTCCTTTTTTTTAAAACTTTAAAACCAGATGAGGTCAACACGGCAAACCAATGACGTACTGGAGTTTTGCTCAAGTTGCCAAGCGAAAACAAATTTGTGATGTGTTTCAGATTTACATTCATGGATGCGCCAACACAAACCTGTACAGTGCGCAATGCTGAATATTAGTCCGCAAATGGCACAAGGGTGTAGCCTAGAATGAACACTGAAGACATACAAGAATTTGTTGTTATCTTTTCACAGAAATATGTTTTAACCTATCATCCAGCAATGTTCTATATGGTCCCATGTCTTTTTGTTTGAAAGTTGTCTTGCCTTTGCATGTGTTTGTGTCATCTGTCTTGGACCACTGTAGCAGGATATGCTGACCGTTTCCCAACTGCCACTATCATCACTGTTTGACAGTGATTCATGATCATGTGTTCAGAATGTAGTCAGAGTTCTTCAGTCAGCTTTCAGTGAGGATGTTTCATGTGGAAAGGGTTTGGCGCCTATATTTACAGCTGTGTGGCACTTACAATCAGTGGACTTGTGGAGTCCGATCCACACACTTGTTGAAGTCTGTATTTCGATGCGAGAGTACAGATACTGGTTGGTGGTGTTGTCATGGACGGCCACCAGGTGCCCTCCATGCTCCTCGCACTGGAACTCGGCGTCTGGGAAATTGAGCTGCTTGGAGCCCTGGAAATAGTAGCAGCTGAAACCGAAGGCCTCCCACCCATCTCCAGGACACTGACCGTTTGGCGGCGGTGGCGTGAACAACGGTTTGGCTGGGAATAAGACAGGAGATGTTATTGTCAACAACAGAGGTCATGGGTGACATTGCCAGGATGAGATCAAACCATGTCACTGAAGGCAGTGTCTGACATGTAGGGGTGTGCTTTACAGGGGTGTAAGGGTGTTGTTAGATGCAGGGGTGTCAGGGTTGTGGGGTGTAAAGGTCTAGGGGTGTTGGGGAGTGGGACATAGGGTGTATGGGTGTTTGAGTGTTGGGACATAGGTGTAGGGGAGTCAGGTGCAGTGGTGTTGGGGCACAGGGTGTACGGGTGTTGAATGTGTGTGTGTTGTGTGTGTGTGTGTGGGGTGTGTGTTTCGGTGTCAGGGCATAGGGTGTACAGGTGTTGAGGGGAGGGGGGGATTTCGGTATCAGGGCATAGGGTGTACAGGTGTTTGAGAGTTGGGACAGATGCAGTGGTGTAGGGGTGTTGCGGCACAGGATGTAAGGGTGTTGAGTGGGAGGTGTTTGGGGCACAGGGTGTCAGGGGTGTTTGGGTATAGGGTGTCAGGTGTTGGGGCATAGGGTGTAAGGGTGTCGGGGTATAGGGTGTCAGGTGTGGGGGTGTTGGGGCACAGGGTGTAAGGGTGTTGAGTGGGAGGTGTTTGGGAGTTGGGGCATAGGGTGTAAGGGTGTAAGGGTGTCAGGTGTGGGTGTGGGGGGTGTTTGTCGTGGATTCCTTGAGGTTGCTGCTACTGTATTTTGGTATAGGGAATCATTAAATCTAAAACTTTTAACTTAAGTGTCAGCAAAAGCAATTTTTGACATTCATTTCCAGGGTGTGAGGATGAATGCTGCTGGAATCACTTGACAAAGTGTCACAGTATGGACAATTAGATGTCGGATAAACAAACTTAAAAATCAACTTTTGAACAATGATTTTCAGTAGTAGTGACCTTCCCAATACAGACTGTTGCTCATACTGCCCCAGGCATAAAACAACATTCACCCATTCATTGGGTGGTCGCTTTCAGTTGTGTTTGCAATTACTTCCTGCTCAACAACTGAACATTTACCTGTTGTAATTCTGCAAGTGAACCTCAGTGTCTTTGAGCAGTTGTCATCAGTCCAAGTTCCTGTTGTGGCGTTGAATGACACGCAGCCTCCCTGCGGTCCATACGAGGGTTCGTTGACCCCCCAGTTGGTGTACAACACAGGCACAGAGGCAGGCCATACATACTTTCCTGTCTGGAGAAAATGAACAATATTCAATTTGACATTGTCGTATGGGATTTCCACATTAGAACTGGTCACAAGCAGCCTACGCCAACCATTACAAGGGACTTCAAGGATTGTGTCATCGGGTTCAGTAAACATCTAGGACTGATGCACAAAATCAAAGAGCTTCATAGAAGAAAGGGGTGGGCATGTTGGTGTTAGTGTTTATTTGTGACATGAAAGGATTGTGTGGTTGGGCTCAGTAATCATCTACGACTGCTGCACAAAAACAAAGAGTTCCATACAAACTGGGTGTGTGGGGTGTATTTATTTGATATACATGCAAACTAAATAACTTTACCCAAATTAATTTTGTGTTGCTTGCATTCAAAAATGTGTAAGTGAGTGAGTGAATTAAGTTTTACGCTGCACTCAGCAAAATTACAGGTGTATGGCAGAGGTCTGTAAATAACCGAGTCGGGACCAGACAATCCAGTGTTAACAACATGAGCATCGATCTATGCAATTGGGATATGATCACATGTGTCAACCAAGTCAGCGAGCCTGACCACCCGAATCTTCACGGGCCCCAAAATACATTTATGTGTAAGGAAATTCAATAAGCCATAACGACACCGTATTAACCCAATGTAGTTTTTTCAGCCTGTTTCCATGTATGTCTTTTCTGTCATAGAAATTTTAAGACTGAATGAACTGTGCTGTCTAAGACTGAATGCATGTATCATATACTACCCATCAAAAGTTTAGACTCACTAGTGTAAATGTAGCCACTTACTTCAGTCAACTGTTCTAAACAAGATTTTGTAAAATATTCCAAACTGTTTAAAGGTACTGTTTACACATGAACTGATGCATTGTAAAACTAATTCGTAACGTTGAAAAGATTATTGTCATGAGTTCAATAAATGATGAAACTCGGTGAAAATTGGCGAATTCTTAATGAAACCTTACACCAACACGCAGCTGTTCACATGCACGATATTTGCACAAGCTTTTCAGCAGTTTGATGCATGATCCTCATGCAATTCATCTGCATAAAGTTTGTAGTTGGTTCCCCACAAGTTAGTGGAGAAATTCATCTTCGATGCAGCCATATGGATATACATAACATATAGTGAGTGCTTTAAGTGAGTCTAAACTTCTGATGGGTAGTATATATGCATGAACTGTACTGTAGTGAATAATACACTGATACGGAATATCTCACACACTGACTCATGTATCCCTGTCATAGGGTCAACTGACATGTGACTCACTTGGGGCTAAACACAAACATATGCTCATTAGAACTTAGCTGGAACAGCATACAGGTAAAATTAGTTTAAGAAGTCAACAAAATCCAATTGCCAGGAGCAAACTGAATAAAACTATATTATCCTCCCTACCCCAATATCAGTACAAAATGTATTTATACTCAATAACTAAATAACTCTTTGGATAACAACTTCTGGTTTATTCCATTGAGGAAGACTCCCTATCTTAACAAATTCAGTACTGCATTGAGTAGCAGGGTGTGGAGTCATCCCATAGATGACATTCTGACCTTGTCTGTTTGCTGACGGGGTCAACCTCGGACAAGGCATCTGACTTTGGATCAGAAAGTTCGTGGTTCGAATCCCAGCATCTATGGTTGCTAAACTAGCTAAACAAATTATCTGGTGCCATGTTAACATAAAGCTAACATTCCATCACGTATCTGCAATATTCATCAAGCAGTGTTAAACCAGTTGAGGAACTTATATATGCATTTTACTGAAAACATACACCAAGGTGTCACAGATCTGCAATGTGCAGGGGCGGCGGGGTAGTCTGCTCGTCACATCGAAGACCCGGGTTTGATTCCCCAAATGGGTACAATGTGTGAAGCCCATTTTGGTGTACAATGCCGTGATATTGCAGCGTGAAACCATACTCACTCACTCACTCACTCACTCATCAATATGCAGTACTGGAGCCTGATCATCCTCACACTGCCAGAACTAGATGTGATTCTCAGTAGACACCCTTACCTGGTTCTGCCTTTCCATCCCAATCCACATGGATGAGGTAGAGCTGTTGTCTGATGCCTGGAGATACATAAAGGCCTGTTCATACGGGTTGTTGATGCTGGTGAGATGTCCTCCCTGTTGAATACAGGACACCTCACTGTCCCCCCGGCTCATGGGCGTGGTCACCAGTTTGAAGCAGTCCCCACCCAGGGGCTTCCAGCCTTGTTTGCAGGGGTTGGGAATTGCCTCGGGGATGGTTATGTATGGCTCTTGAAACAAAGTGAAGATATATAGACAAGATAAGCTAATGAAGTGTAGCTAATTTGTTGTTGTTCTGATGCAATGTTTGTTCATTTTCTTAGGCCAGACCAATTTTATTTCTTGTTTTACGGATTTTTCTCCTCATAAAACCTAAAGGCAGGAGGTCAAAGCAAAAAACCCACATGTGTTTCCATCTTAACTCTTTTGTTTTGTTTATATCATCTAAAACTAAGTTGAGTGAGTTTAGGTTTCATACTGATTTCAAGAGTATTTCACATACAGTGGAAGCCCTCTAAACCGACATGCGTTGGGACCAGCAAAAAAATGCCGGTATAGAGAACTTTTCCCTTTTCAACCTGAGAATGATCTTCCGTGTGTCGTAAAATACGACTGAACAACGTGTTGATAGTCATCATATTCTTGTCAACTTCACTCTGACCTACACTGGCATTATCTCCACTCACATTGAACTGTTTGATGTCTTATCATGTCTTCCTGCGTGCCAGCCGACCATCTGATGCCTTAAACTCGTTGACATTTAATTCTGAAGCAAACTGAATTGCGTTCTCTTTCAAAATAGGACCAGAAATAGGCCGAGATACCGGATGCCGATTTAGAGAGCGTTAATTACTGTACAAACAGTCAATTGTGCGGCCTTTGTTGTGCCGAAATACAGAATAGACTGACGCCGGATTAGAGGGCATGTAAATGATCATAAATTAACTAGCTTCTTCCGGGACCAAATTCTAGTGCCGATATTGAGAGCATGCCGGATTGGAGGGCTGCCGGTTTAGAGGGCTTCCACTGTATATCACATTAACATTAGGATTTTACTTTTAGAGTGGGGAAACCTCATTTTTATTTTTTTTCTTATTCTTGAACTTGCAGATCCGTAAAACAAGAAATAAAATTGGTCTGGCCTTAGGACCGTCTTTATATTTGATGTAAAAGTTTGCTCAAAGTTAACCTGTTGTGACCTTATATGGGTTGACCTCAGATCTTGATCCATGAGGTTTCATATTAGAATAAGAGTTGTCATTTTAATGGAACTGTAAGGAACATCTACAAGACTCAAAGTGTAAAGCTTTTAAAACTGGTAGGAGTTTATTCTGCAAAACCCACCAATGGTTCTAGATACATGGTTTAAATATGAAACGTTTGTAGAAGGGCACAGCAGAAGACATAAACTGATAAAGCTTCATGACGCCAAAGCCAGATGACCTTAAACTAATGTCAAGTATGGTTGAAAAAACTAACTTCTCATTGTCTCACACACGAAGCCCATGTTGGTCTCACAGCTGATGTCGTTCCATTGTCCTGCTCGGGCGGTCGTCGAGTACATCTGGGTACAGCTCTCCTGACAGAAGAAACAAAGAAATACAACATACTCCCTCAAACGCTCTTGAGGAAGAGATTCATTTCACACTGGGTCTAAGTCAATGAACTTTGAAATTAATTCTTTTTAGATGATACCCGTGAAGGTCCGGGTTAGAATGAACCTTCAGTAACTCATGCTTGTCGTTAAAAGGCGACTGATGGGATTGGTGGTTAGGCTCGCTGGCATGGTTGACACATGTCATCGGTTCCCAATTGCATTGATCGATGCTCATGCTGTTGATGACTGGATTGTCTGGTCCAGACTTGATTATTTACAGACCGCCGCCATATAGCTGGAATATTGCTGATTGCGGCGTTAAACTAAACTCACTCACTCACTCACTCACTCACTTTTTAGATGAGATTTTTGTTAAGTCTAGTTTATTAACGACATAATTGTTCACTTTAACCTTGACCTCACCAAAGTGTGTTGGTACTATCTCCTTAACACTGTCATGTCTTTTAGCACACCTTCCTTCTTCAATGCACTTCAAACTCCTCAGCACATTACTTGATAGAAGTTAAAGATTCCTTCATATTACTTTTGACCCCTGAAGATCCGGGTTAGAATTGATCTTCAGAAACCCATGCTTGTCGTAAGAGGCGACTAACGGGATCGGGTTGTCAGGCTCGCTGACTTGGTTGACACATGTCATCGTATCTCACTTGTGTAGATCGATGCTCTAACTGTTGATCACTGGATTGCCTGGTCCAGACTTGATTATTTACAAACTGCAGCAATATGATGTGTACTTCTATAGCACTAAAATCCATACACCAAGTGCCTGTTCAAAGCGCATACAAATACACAGTTCATTATTACCCCGGATAACCCAAACTGCCTGTGAAGCGCTAGACAGTTATAGTCACATGACTTATCCCACCAGGTACTCATATTCTGCTGGGTGAACAGAGGCAATTTTGAACAAACTCACCTGCCTTAGGTGAGATTACATGTATCACATGTGCTTTGTTGTGGGGCAGGACTGAAGTCCTAGAAACTCTCAAGAGTCAAACTGCCAAGAACATTCACCCATCCAAGGACTCTCAGCACCAAACGTTGCTTAACTTCGACTGATTTGTGAGTTCTATGCATAGGACCACACAACACCACCACAATATAGCTGGAATATTGATCTGACATGCTACCACAGATGAACTAGAGCAATATGAAAGAATCAGAGATCCTAAGGCAAATTCTGAGTAGTATATATTCTCCTGACTAACCTTCATACCCCCGTTGGGTTCCTTGGCAGCCCAGTTGGTGTACTGCATGGGGTCGTTGTTGAAGGCCCACAGCAGGCTCTGGGACCCCTCTGGTCCTGGGGTCTTGTACATCCCCAGCCAAAGGGGAGTGTCCGTGTTCAGCAGCAGTGTCGTCACAAAGGCTGCACAGAAGAATCCGACATAATGGCAATAATATATCAGTAAGACATACCTGTGTTGCTGTCTTGGTTGCCTCAAATTCACCTTCCATACCCTGGAAAAGTCTTCAATATTTATGTGAGAGATATGCCTACACCTGCCAAGGTGTGTCAGTCAAAACCCTACAGTTGTGAAAGTGGGGCCTCCAAGGCAAAGTTTTATATGGTCTGTGAGAAACATAAAAAATAAAAATACTGTTCACTTCCCCTCACATTAGATTTGTCACAGCAAAAGTTCTAACCCAATGCATGATTAAATTGCTGGTCCTCTGGCACATGGCCATCAGCAATATCAGAGGGCTGCCTGGTATCTGAAGTCAGTGTTCAGATGGCCAGTTTCTTTCGTGACCAACTCGTGTTATTCCGGGACAAGCCGAATAGCGACTCGTGCCCTCTGTCTGGAAGGATTTCATATTGGCGCATGAACATCAGAACTACTTTAAACAGGAACGATAACTCTATTCTTGTTTGATTCCAATGGTACTTAATATCACCGAAGTAATCATACATTGTATTGCTGTTTATGTTGGTAAAGAATTAAACCTTTTTGATACAACTAAAAGAAGGAGAAAAACGTATTTGTTACAGACTTATTCTGATGTAATTATTACCAGATGTTCACCTTATATTTCCAATTATATTTCTAAATAGGGTTTGATAATCACAAATGGGATTTGTTTTATTAAATATGTAAATAACATTTATTAAAACTACATTAAATCCCAAAGCAGAAACTCAAAAATGACTTTAAAATATTTCTCAAACTGAACATTCGTGTAACCTTGCTGTCATACCCCAAGTGAAATTTTGAATGAATTCGCTGAAAAATATATGAATGACCAAAAAAAAAGAATCAGACTAAAATATTCCCAAAGATGTGAAATATATGCCCAATGTTAAAGATTAAAGTTGATTAGTTACATGCAGATATATGTCTAATATTATTGTTTTGAAACTTGTAGCGATTTATAATTACATTTCCTAAAATTGTTGGAAGCGCACTTACAATCTCCATAGCAAGCCCGCAAGATCGTCAGAAATACCCTCAGTTGGAAACATGAGAGCCGTAATGTCAACAAACGCACGTGCGTGTATTTGAATCTCTCACCGTCAATCGCATGATTCTTATCGGAAACTTCATACCAGGCAGCAAAATCCTGTTAGCTAAGTTCTTTGTTCTTTCAATATGACGATATATATTTTTCATGATTTTTTAAACAATGACATAATGCCATAAACAATTTAAGTACTGGGGATTATTTTTACCAAAGCACCGCAGTCATTTACGCGCGTTCTGATTGGTTTGTTGTATTTTCGCACATAACAATCATCGAGAGGGGGACGAGTCTTCTTGGAGGTTACGGAAAGGGGCGAGTGGTGACGAATGGGCCAGTTTATAGCCTGTACCCACACGAATATGTGTGCAGAATCTTAGAGATGCTCAAAGACTTCATTCTGGAAGCATGGGATAATATTTGATTGTCAAATCATTGAAATGCTGGTTCTTTTTCATAAATCTTGTTGAAGGGCCAGAGCTTCTGAAAACCTGCCTATCATCAGGAACTTGTTTTCGTATCATATCTGTCTATAAGGTGAACAGGGTATGGACATGAAGATAAGGTCAGTTATAATGACCAGCCATTGTTATGCTTTTGTGCAATCAATGTACACACCTTGTTCTCTAGCATTTTGAATGCTTGCAAGGTCATACCCACGACCTTGACCTTTGCACATCTTTCGAGCCTGTGCCCAGTTGAGCTGGTTCCCCTGAGCGGTGTTGACCTTGAAACACCTGTTGCCGAAGGTGTTGAACCCTGGTGGGCAGTATCCTGGCATGATGGGAGATGGGGTTGGGGTGATGGCTGAGGATGGGTTCATGTTATACTTGCACACGTAGCCCTGTACTATGGAACAGTGCTCATCATTCCATTTTCCTGGTCAAATAAACAAGGCATATGGATGAATGATGAAACAGTATTTTATCTGTCCAATATTATTCACAGAGGATTCAAAGTATCCAGGAAATCAGTAATTGTCAAGTTTAAAGATTATGGTTAATTACTGATCATTAAAATTGACCAAAATAATAAAAGTAAACTGTCATATTGCGAGCATTGTCATTGTTAGTGGTTAGGATGACACAATCTGACACTCTTGATTTTACGGGGTCAAATCTATCATTACTTGATACCATCATTATATGACCCTAATCATCATCATCATCATCATTGTCTAACCAACACCTCAACCATCAGTTGAGGAGTATACATTGCTTCAATCTGTTATACAGAGTTACATCCCCTAAGTGTGACAGAATCCTATGATTCGGGGGTTTGCCCTGATTCTGATTCCAGGTTTATCACAATGGTTGTTGGTTTCACCTGGGTGGTAAACATGCCCTGCATCAGTTTTTGCCAACATCACACTAACACACTGTACTGGCTAGTGAACAGTTATCGCCAATACATCAGTATCACATGTGCATAGTTTCAGTCATTTACAATTCCGGTATTTTTTCCCCACATTTTTTGACAACAATAAAGAACAGCAAAAGAAAATTCTTTATGATAAGTAGCATAAGAGAAAAATTAAAGATGAAGTTATGAACCTTATAAAAAATTATTAGTCGGGGGGATGTCACACGATCTAAATAATAGCAAGTTCAAGTTCACAAATCATTAATTGTTTCATTCCCTATCAATCTACTGTAAAAGAAACACTCAAATAGTCACACAATCAATTATTCGAGGTTACTGTATGATATAAATATATATTATTTCACGAATGGCAGGAGAAATTCTGAAATAGCGATAACTGTTACAGTTAGTTCTGAGAAAACATCTATCTGTACTGCCATTATTCCCTTGCGCCAGGTTATATAAAAACACGATCGGTGGCAGTGAACAGACTGGACACATCGGCAAATAGCTAATTAAGTACCATAATAAATTCTATTTCATTTCTTTGACAAATGGCAGAGTGATTTTGTAAATACCGTTAAAATATGGCGATAACTGTTCCGCAGCCAGTACTATTATTAAAAATCATTGTTAATAATTACTTGAAATCACATTGTATGATTCTATCAACTTGATCTCACCATTCGCAACTGTCATGTCCCCACAAGCCTCAGCTCCTCCGAAGTCATTGGGTTCATTGTGGTTCCAGTTCATGAATTTAACATCAGGCGTCCCATCGCTCCACCTGAGGCGGAAGTGGGACTTTATATACTGCACAATAATTATGCTGATGACACTAGTATATATTACAATGGGAGTTGAGAAGCTTGATAGTTAAAGCGTTTGCTTTGATCTCCGATTTGCACAATATTTGATGCCTATTTTTGCTCCGCTGCCTTACCAATGTGTATAGGTTTGGAAGCTTAACAACATATCGATAATAATAATAACTACAGTCCATTTGATTTCATTTGAGACCAATGAATTGCTCACTAACACAAAATCTAATAACTGCAACAAAACCAAATTTTGCACAGTCACATGAAATCGACAGACCAACTCTGATGATTTGTCTCATAATTTTGGACAGCCGAATAAAAAGCTTGTTTAACAAACGATCATTATTTTGTTGTCACGTTTTGCTATTTTTTACAAGGGGAGACCACTTGCTGGTACAACAGTTAGGTAATCAACATCAAATCGCTATTATTGGTTTGTATTACCAGGGGGTATGCACATTATATGAAACACCGAGAACAAGTAGGGTTGGTCTAATCCTAAGTTGAATAAAATTCGGAGATTTAAATGTTCAATTGGCAAGATAATATTATGAGAATTCACAATCTTAATTTCACTTTATTTCGTTTATTTTTTTCTTTAAAGTGAAATTCATCGGTACGGTACGTTTTCACTGCAAACAGACTATAGTCACTGAAGTCTTGCAACATTACCTGTATCCCATGTCCCAGTCCAGCTCACTGAAGCCAATCCACACGTGGACGTCACTCAAATTGGAGACCTAAAATGGCAGTCAAAGGAAGAGGTTAATTTGGACAGTCACATTTTAGGATATATGCAATAAACAAATATTACATCAATATACCAGATAAGAAGAGAATTTGATTTCTTTCAGTGTTTCAGTGTTTAAGTCTTATAAACTGGGTCAAAAGGATGATTTAGGGGTACTTTTCTTTACACTCAATGTGAACAATTTTCTAACTGCACAGATTTCATAATGAGTTTTAGGACAAATTGGGAAAATTCATCTTTGAATTCATATTGCTGTGTGTTTTTGTCATTTTAACTTCAAAATTTGTTCATTCAATAGGTTCAGCCACAGTGTATGTTTGATTATGTGATAAGTTGATAACTTACAAGTGACAGTAATGAAATAGGCAAGTGTCCGTCATGTTAACATACTTAACAACTTTGGTACTGACAGGCAATATGAGTGAGTGACTGAGTGAGGGTAGTATCACACCACTTTTAGCAATATCCAGCAATATCATGGCAGGGGACATCAGAAATGGGCTTCACACATTGTAGCCATGTGAGGAATCGAACCCAGGTCTTCGGCGTGACAAGTGAACAATTTAACCACTGGGCTACCCCACCGTCCTGATAAACAATGTGAACACATTATTGGAACTAATTGTATAAGATATATTCTCACCAAATTCTGAATGAACAGCTGTTCTTTGATGTTCCCAATAGATGCCAGATCAGCAGTAGACTGAGCACACATGGACCGCGCTTCTCGCCAGGTCTTCCCATAATCCCCTCCGCCATCCTGGGCCATGTAGCAATAGCCATTGTATAACAACCAGTTGGGTAGATGTGGACAAGCACCTCCTGCAACAGGCAGTAGCCATTGTATAACAACCAGTTGGGTAGATATGGACAAGCACCTCCTACAACAGGCAGTAGCCATTGTATAACAACCAGTTGGGTAGATGTGGACAAGCACCTCCTGCAACAGGCAGTAGCCATTGTATAACAACCAGTTGGGTAGATGTGGACAAGCACCTCCTACAACAGGCAGTAGCCATTGTATAACAACCAGTTGGGTAGATGTGGACAAGCACCTCCTACAACAGGCAGTAGCCATTGTATAACAACCAGTTGGGTAGATACGGACAAGCACCTCCTACAACAAGCACCTCCTACAACAGGCAGTAGCCATTGTATAACAACCAGTTGGGTAGATGTGGACAAGCACCTCCTACAACAGGCAGTAGCCATTGAAAAACAACCAGTTGGGTAGATACGGACAAGCACCTCCTACAACAGGCAGTAGCCATTGTATAACAACCAGTTGGGTAGATGTGGACAAGCACCTCCTACAACAGGCAGTAGCCATTGTATAACAACCAGTTGGGTAGATGTGGACAAGCACCTCCTACAACAGACAGTAGCCATTGCATAACAACCAGTTGGGTAGATGTGGACAAGCACCTCCTACAACAGGCAGTAGCCATTGTATAACAACCAGTTGGGTAGATGTGGACAAGCACCTCCAACAAGCAGGCTCCTAGCAATTGCAGTAACCATTGTATAACAACCAGTTGGGTAGATGTGGACAAGCACCTCCTACAACAGGCAGTAGCCATTGTATAACAACCAGTTGGGTAGATACGGACAAGCACCTCCTACAACAGGCAGTAGCCATTGTATAACAACCAGTTGGGTAGATGTGGACAAGCACCTCCTACAACAGACAGTAGCCATTGCATAACAACCAGTTGGGTAGATGTGGACAAGCACCTCCTACAACAGGCAGTAGCCATTGTATAACAACCAGCTGCAGTTGGGTAGATGTGGACAAGCACCTCCTACAACAGGCAGTAGCCATTGTATAACAACCAGCTGCAGTTGCGTAGATGTGAACAAGCACCTCCTACAACAGGCAGTAGCCATTGTATAACAACCAGCTGCAGTTGCGTAGATGTGAACAAGCACCTCCTTAAAGTAACAACAGGCAGTAACCATTGTATAACAACCAGCTGCATTTGGGTAGATGTGGACAAGCACCTCCTACAACAGGCAGTAGCCATTGTATAACAACCAGTTGGGTAGATGTGGACAAGCACCTCCTACAACAGGCAGTAGCCATTGTATAACAACCAGTTGGGTAGATGTGGACAAGCACCTCCTACAACAGGCAGTAGCCATTGTATAACAACCAGCTGGGTAGATATGGACAAGCACCTCCTGCAACAGGCAGTAGCTGTTGAATAACAACTAGTAGCTAAGCAGCTTCTTCTCAGTATTCGTTGAAAAACTTGTCTCTTGCAGTAACAGTTTTTGTTTGATCCCCTGACTTCACATACCAAATGACATTAACAGTGCAGTTGCTACCCAGAGTTACTTGTGCTTAGCATGAAGTGGCTATACAAGGATTGGTCAGATCAGAGCCAGTATAACATGTCTGAGAGACAGCATGTTTAAGTGGCAGCTCAGTTGGCTAGCACAATAGCTGACATTTGTTCAGGCTAGCACAATCAGCCACACACACATACATTGATATAAAAATACAAGAACAATACCAAAAGATAGCATGCTGATGGTGGTACGGTAACTTGCTGTTATAGTGCAGGGGCTTATGTAGCAAAAATGCTTCCCATGGGAAGTGCATGTTAATTTTTGGAACCACTGATAATAGACCGATCCAGTCTGTCAATCAAAACTGGCGCATGCGTCAATTTTGGCCAATCAGCAGGCTGGGCGTGCTGTGTGGATTTGTCAGACTTATTTCCGGGGTCAAACGATGCATCCGAAGCGATGTGCTTCGAATTATGCCATTTACACTCGCTATATTTATTACATATTGCTGCAATTTGATGTGTACCTTAACAAAACCATTACGGCCAAGACAACAAAAATGGAGGCGGATCAAGAAACGCGATAGGCCTAACGATCAGTTAAATGTCTGCACCATCGTTCAGGAAACCTACGTCTGCCTGCTGATGAGAATTTGCACGAATTTCCACACTTTTGCACATGTGCAAAATCATTACCAATTGATGACAACAAATAGCAGTTTAAGACTTTGCAAGTGTTATAAACACGGACAATTCTTGTAACTACAAAATTGTTTTGCTTAACGTTTTAGTCACTACTAGGCATTGAGTTAGTGCGCCATAAAGCTCAAATGAGACAGGCGAAAGCCGTGACACGATGTAAACAAATCTTCATTTCGGTTAGGGTCAACCGAAATAGCAAAACTTGTTACATGAAAGAACAATGTGTATGGATATTGTCCCCTTCGGCTCTTAGATAGTCTTCAATTTGTCACACATTGTAGGATGTTTTAAGTTTCATAAGCACAATCTGAAGGCCTACAGTATCTTGTTAACAGAGCAAAATATTCGAGGAGTAATATTTTTTATTCAAACGGAAATATTGTCAGTGTCAGCAGTTGCCTATCATGCAATATCCAAGTATCAAAATTAGTTCATATGAGTGCCTATAAAACCATGCTTTAAATATTTCAGATTTTTTATAAAGAGTTGCATGGGACTTTGAACTGAATTACCTTCCTCCATGTTGATCGAATGAAAACTATGTGAGAAGAATAGTGACTTTCTGGAGTATTGGACGGAGTGAAATAAAGTGTATATCTTAATTACGAGAACATTATTTGAAGTTTTGTTACCACATAAATTATTCACATATAATGGTACATTTTAGGAGTAATATTACAACTGTAATTTTGATTAATTCACTGGAAATGATAGCAAGGTATGTTTTAAGAATCTTGCTGTTTTTAGTAAACGTGGAAGGGTAATAAAATTAATAATAATCTAATCAATAATAAATAATTATTCAATTGATTGACATATCAGATTTTTTAGACTTTAAGGCAGAACTAGGCAAACAAAAAACCATACATATCATGGCAGGACAATCACTTGGTATTAACTTAGTTTCTTGGCTCCTGCTTTTAGATGTTTTTTAAATAATACATTTACTAATAAGATAATTCTGAAAGTGATTGCTAGTATCATAACTCATTAAAGTTATTTCAACATCCAGAAAATTTGAAAAAGCAAAGGCTACGTTTTGGTCAAACCCTGGTCAGGCATTATCCAGTCCTGGAACAGAATAACTTACAAAAATCTCAGGTGACTTTTCATGTAACGGAATAAAGATTGAAACATATATTTAACCCATATTTGATGTAATTCTTCTGATAAATCATAAGTTTTTTAGGAGGTTACTAATATTTGAAGACTGAGCCAAAGCTAGTGTTTATTAAGATGGTGGATTTGGACAAATTGTTCAAGGTTTGTTGATGGTTATTTGCAAAATGAGCTTCATATTAAATTGCACACTGGTATGTAGGAGGTGAACGCTTCAGGGCATTTTCATGTCTGTTTTCCTAAACCTTTGTTATGACTTTTACCAAATTTTGAATCAACTTTATTATAATTGTTATGACACCAGTAAGTATCTCAGAAAAGGAAATAGATCAAAATCAGTGTTATGTCCTCTAGGGATATGGTCTCAGATCTAATAAAACAAAGATTATCATTGTTTAATTAAGAAGCAATAATGTCAATATGTAATTGTTTTGACAGAAGGCTTTGAACATAGGATATATTCTTTGCACCTTATTTACACTAGTAGTTAGCAGTTAATCATCTCTGATGAAAAAAACAATAGATCTACATTTGTATTTTGTGTAACATTCTATTTCAATGCTAGTTAATTGTTCGGATAACTGTGGATTCTCTGTTCCAAAATTTTGCATCACGTTTCCTATTTCTGGAAGATAGGTCAGCTAGTGTACAGGTGCAGACAGTATCTTGGATCTTCTTTGTGTTCTGGTGCTGTGACATACCTGTACATAAACGCTGGCAGTTCATGAAGTCCAGTATTGTGGAAGTTTGTGTGTAAATTAGGATTCCACAACAAAGTACATATAGAAAAATTAAATGGCAATGATGATTAAAAATGATTTCCTTATATTCAGTGTCATTTTATCATGGTGTACAGATTTTGAAGAGAGAAACTTTACTGAGAGTTGCTGCAGATCAGCTGTTGAATATTTGCTTCTGGGTATGTCCAGATACGTCCATGGAAACATATTGTTTACAAGCCCAATTACCTTTTCCAGATTTTCAAATAAGATCAAATAGATTATGCTGTGATTGATTTGTTTACATTAATTGTACAGACAAATAAGGTGCATGAAGTAGTATATTTTCTGCTTTTTATTTACCATTCTCTTAATTCATTAAAAGATAGAAACCCATGTTTTCAGATTATTGAACTAAATTTGAACAACGCCAACGGATAAGTAAAGGCGCCATGCGCAGTGTTGATAATCTTTTTATAGATACCGAAACGATCTGCAACATGAACATGTGGTTGTGTTCACGAGTTTTAAAAATTATAAACCCAAACAACAAAATTCAGTTATCCTTCCCCTGCTAATATCTGTGACGGTGGTGAATAGTTGCCAGATAGATTAATTGATTCGAAAGAAATTACGCTTCCTACAGTCTCAGCAGCTAGTTATCGGGCATGTAACTCATTTTCACTCGCCAGTTGTAATCTGCCAGCTAAAATATATTAAAAATCACATACGTATAACTTGCCTCTTTAAATAACATTCACAAACGACGGATACCAAAGTATCACAAGCAGAATTCACCAACAACGTTCGCAATCACGTAACGTTTCGCCGCGGTGACGCCATTGTGATTTGCCAGTGGTTGTCCCCACTAACGTCAAAAACGAAGTGGGCGGGGCTTATCGGCCGGGACTGGATCGGTCTATTGTGATCAGTACTGCATATGAATTCAGAAAAAACATGGTTCCATTTTTTTCTGATGATTATAAGTGTCATTCTGGGGTAACTGAACACCGGTACCCATAATCGAGCTGCAATACCAATGTGAGAAAAACATATTGTAATAAACCTATCACAACATAGGCATGTAGTATGTCAAAATGTACCTTGTGATAGGTGTTTTACAACTACCATTATACATCATGAATCTCAATAATATATGTATGCATAATAATCACTATGATCGTAAGTTCTTTTGCCAAAACCGAAGTTTTGTTGCAGAGGGTATGCATTCAACCCTGTTTGTGTGTGTGTGTATTCATTTGTTAGTATCTTTACTCAATACTACTAGATGGATTTCAATGAAACTTACTGGATCCCTTGGGTATGTCCCCAGGACAAATCAATTAGATGTTGGAGAAAGTGTAACAGTGTGTAAATAAAAGTGTTTCATTTTAATGTGTTAAACTTCATTATTTTAAAGCTTAGGTATAAAACTTTATCATTACTAAACTGGCCTGTGTTAACACTAACACTTGCACTGTTTAAAGGTCACATAAACCCTAGGGGGTACAAATACATAAATCACTAACTGGCATCGTTATAAATGAAACCCCGTCATTAAAACTACTCATTTCGACCTTTAATTGACTTAAATCGACCTTTTTGACAACAGTGCACAATTCTCACCCGCGAACGAAATTTCAACCAATCAGAGCGGCGCGCCTCTGTGACGTCATATGAGGAATAGCTTTGAGAGCCGATGCAGAATTCATCTACATTTTAGGGGGTAAATTATCGTGTTTACAGGCTTGTATAAACCTGAAATCGTGACAATTGTTGTGGAAAATGAAAGCTATATGTTCTCACAATCTACTGTCATTTAATTTTGTCTCCTGCTTTGCCTAGTTTCCGAGTTACAACTTGTTTTCATAGACGATTCTGTCAAAAAAAGATTGGTGTCGTTAGGCCCTATTTGTATAATGACTGATCCAAATTGATCCCATTTCTGTGTTGTTTTACCTCGATATTTAATCATGTCATGTAAAAATCTGTTTGTATTCTCAAAACAGTGTCGGCCCATAAGTTTTCACATGCAATACAGCAATTAATACTCCCTCGTTGTAACCCGTGTTAGGTGGTATAAACCTACACATGTTATTTGTCATCAGTCACTTGATGGTCAGTTAATGAATTTATAACAGGTATAATTAGTGGTAACACACTTAGATTACCCCGACAAAGGTTCCCATTTGGCATTTCTTGTGTCTGGAGTAAATATTCAACATTATAAACACCGATCAAAGGATTAACCGATAACACGCTGATTGATTAATTACTTTTTATCTTACACAGCGAATTGTCAAAGGTAGTGTTTATGTATGTAGATTTACTAATCTATACTGAATACACTCTGTCGCGGTCGGGTGTTCTGCGTAAAACAACGCCCTTCTTTCAAAGGATTAACCGGCAATACATTGATTGATTGCCCATTATTGGCTAACTAAATTACTGTTTTTAAAGAAAGGCGGACATTATGCAATTAGTTGCCAGGTGTGCTATCTTGGGTGACCAATGAGACTATACACCAATACCTGAAAAGATTTATCACTTTTTCGTATATTAAACTGTTAAAAGACACATCATTTGGAACAGTTTTGTGGATATTGATGGATACATTCCTCGAACAAGGTAATGGCCTGATATTGTTCCTATAACTTTAATCTGTTTTAATTTTAATATTTGCATTTTGTTTTTATTCATTTGTCGTAGCATTCAACAGAATCATTGTTTTCGCCGTGAAGTGTAATGAGACAGACAACATGCACTAGGGTGTGTGTGCGAATTATGATTCACATTGGCAAACTATAAAATGTCTAGATATTACAGTTCTGTTATAAATTCACCATAAGTATCAGCAGATCGTCTGCTTTTATTTAGTTTCAAAACGCATACAAGTGTGATAATAAACTAATTAGGATTATAAGACCAAATATAAAGACGCACATTGACTAGTATCTACATACTGGTGAGTGGACATTAACCATGGGAATGTAGCAAGAAATTTATCGCGCAGTATTGTGACTTCGACCCCCACCTCGCTTCCGTGGAAGAAATCGTTATGTTATAAGTGTGTCATGCAAAATCCGTTTGGTTATGATTCCAATACATATTTAACAACGAGTAGAAAGTAGTCTTGATTTTCTAACTGGATGAAAACAAACTATAATCTCATTAATTCTAACAGATTTTTTTATTTTTAAAAATGGCGGCGCCCTGTCGGGAACATCCACCAGTCTGAGGATAAATGGTATTTAGGTTTGTTTTCACCGAAGTTACAAAATCAAAACTATGGTAGTAAAATATGTATTTTATTGATGGCCAATAGGATTTTGCATGACATAGCGTATATCATAACAATTTCTCTCGTGGCAGCGAGGTGGGTGTCAATATAATACTACTTACAATATTATTGTCACTTCGACCACAACCTCACTTCCGAGGAAGAAATCGTTATGTTACAAGTTGTGTCATAGAAAATCTTTATGGTCATCAATCATATGCATATTTTACTACAACTAGTAAGTAGTTTTGATTCTTTAACTTCCGTGAAGCCGATCTGAACACAAGTAAGATATCGTTTCAGGCTTCCACAACGCTTCGCCAAGACTCACAAACATAACCCATTTAGCACTAACCGCGGGTCCTGTGGAAATCTGTGCATGGGGACACCATCGCCCGACCTCTAGGAGCAGTTGGCGACAAAGCAACGATTCGGCATGTCGCCGTTGATGTCGAGAAATCATCAAAATGATGAGCGTGCTACACATTTTCTATACAACTAACTGAAAATCGTTCCTCATATGACGTCACTGCAGTGCTCTGGCGACAGAGTTACGTAACCTGTCTGTGGTTTCGTTGGCGGGTGAGAGGGAAGCAGGCGACTTTTTGGCCACTTTTAATCGCTCGGTATTAATTAACCACAAGTTTTTAAAGAATAAATTTGGTGTTCCGCATAAGACTAACCACAAATCTTTCATATGTAATGGTTAAAAGAGTAACAAAAAACAAAGTTTAGTGGTTCTTTAACTAACTCACTGGTAAGCTAGCTTGGGGTCTATTGTTAAGGTTTAGTGATCTGTGTCAGGTTCAATCTCTGCATTGGCCTGTTGTCAAGGTTCCTATTGTTTCAGCTTCTCATCATATTTAAAGCCTTCTACTGCCTTTCATTTGTGGCAGTATACATTTTCTCCTTGAGATCACAATACCTGCACAGCACCAGCACATTATGGGGTAAGTTAAGTTAGATCTTTTAGTATTACATTTATAGTAGGGCTATTAGGATTTAGTGTATTAGATTACATGTTTTAAGGAATAGTGTTTTATCATATTTAGTGTATGTAAGGTGTTTGTCTATAAATATATGCATGCTTAGTATTTTAGACAAATATATGATGTATTGTGTACCAGTACACTAGTATACTACCATGATGCTGTAATTTGTACCATGCATATGTAGTATGTATAAGTATATGTATTAGCTATTTCATGATTGGCATGATACAGTAATGTGTATCATGCATGTTTATTATAAGGTTTAGTTTCTACATGCATATTTATGTATGTATTAGGGTAAATAACTATTTATGTGTACGCTAATGTCATTTATGATGTATATCTGTATATACTAGCAGTATACTTAGGCAATACTTTGTTTATTTAGGTTCACTGAGAATCAGATGTTCATATTAGCTGTTGGCCTATTCTGCCTGCGTCCCTGAGACGAGGTGAGGTATTGTTTTCAGAATGTGATTGTAAATATTAGTAATTATTATTGTTATATATGTGAGTAATAATTAGAGTACATGTCTTTGCTTAAATCTGGATGATTGACAGTTATCAGATGTATTAATAGTATAGTGGTAACCATATTGAATGTATAATATGATACGCATTTCATTACAAGAGACATGTATTAATTGATGGATATTTTATTATTCAGAGCGTTTTGTTATAGTTCAGCCAACTGGGGATTTCCTTATCCCACGTCACCAGCGTCGAATAAATCCCTGAAACCCCACACAAGTGTTCGTCATCATTGAACCTACATACAGTGTACACGAATACCTCTGTTACAAAAGTACTCTCTTCAAAAAAAGAAATGCAAAAGCAAAATATCATTGAAAAATTTGGTCTTATTCAATTATGTAAATCAACGAAAATAAATGGTACAGCATTGAAATTATGTACAGCAATACATTGGTATCTCGTGCACATTTCACAAGAATGACAGGCATCATAGTCATTACTGCTGTCCACGAGGTGACGTTGACATTACTACCTTGTATGGCCACCTCTTACTGCTAGAACTGCACAACACCTCCTTGACACAGATTGAATCAATTGTTGGATGGTTCGTTGTGGAATCCTTCTCCATTCCTCCTGTAGCATGTCGAACAACACTTACAGTTAAAGCCTCAATGGTGGATTACGACGTTGACGTACACGTTTATCTATCTGATCCCACATGTAATCAATTAGTTTCAGATCCGGGCATCTGTAGGGCCAGGGGAGGAAATTTATGTTGTTATTGTCCAGGTAGTCCACTGTAGCACATGCTGTGTGAAGTCTGGCGTTGTCCTAGTGGTGCAGCTCTCTTTGGCGGTCAACAAGACGATGCACGTGAGGCGGGTAAGATTACCTTTGACGAGCATCAATTCTGATCTGCAGGTGTATGAGATGGCTCCCCGCATCATCACATCAACTCCACCAAATCTGTCCACTTGCCTGATGCAGTTGGATGCAACACGTTCATTGCGTGGTATGTACACACTTTGTCTTCCGTCACGTCGCTTGAGGGGGATGCCGCAATTCATCATTGAACCATATGTGCCTCCAGTTTCCAAGGCTACATGGCTGCAGCACGTTACACAACCTGACTCACGGACGTTGATGTAATCGTGTCAGAGAAGGGACAACTTGTTGACGTCTGGCACGCATGCCTACCTCTCAGAGACGGTTCCTGATTGTCTGGGCGGACATTCTCCAGGCTCCAAACCGTTCTTGTGCTGTGTTCCGGGCGGAATGATGGCGGTCATGTAGGTGGGTTACCCGGATGTAGCGATCTTGGGCTGTGTGGTGACTCACGGTGTTCCTGGTCTTGGATGGTCATTTGTCAAAATGGAATGCACAAAACGATCCCACAAACAAGTTATTGTGCTGGGATGAATGCTGAAGGTCCTCGCCATGACACTCTTGGATTCGCCAGCTTGCAATCGTTCAATGGCAATATTTCGGTGGGCACCGTTGAGACATCCCATTTTCTCATCCAATATTTGCAAGGGTCTTGGGTGAATTTGCGAGATGCATTTGTTTTTTTTATAGTCATAGGTTGCTCGCGAAAAGCAATAATTGCGGCTTTTGGTTGTGTTCCATACCAGTCAAGGTCATCATGACAATCATGATCGATAAAACCATTCAAATCGTTTATGGTTGCATTCGCTCACGCATGTTCTTCTAACACTCAAAACATGCTTACTTTGACATTTGCGTACCAACTTTCATTTTTTCAAATTTTGTCTTGCGTTCCTTTTTTTTTGAAGAGTGTATGTTAAAGTACATGTCCACAGAGGTACTTTGAAAATAATTGCAATGTTAAATAAATGGAGAATAGGCATAATAACTCAAAAAGTGATGGATTTGAATGAATCTTGGTGGTTATGTTAGGTATGACACAAGGGCTATCTGCGTACGGTTTGGTGAAAGTACATTAAAGTACAATTAAGTACACAGTTGTACTTTAAAAATGTAATAGTGAAGGAAATTGCTGTGCAAGGCGGAGGCATGTTCTCTAACGAGGGCCCTTCTAGTTCCAAATTAAGAAAAAAAAAGGAATTCAAGCTTGTGTTTGTATGACAAATAGTGTCTAAGCTTGTATTTCATTAGCATATTTTGTTCTTGCAGGTTAATGACAGATTGATTGACTATGCAAGTTACTGAGCAATGTGAAAGTTAAAATAAATATACAAGTGCACATTATATATTGCACTTGCATACCCCACTTGTAATATGTAGTTATCTATTTACTGTGATATAATTTGTCACTCCTGTATTAATACATTCAGTTTGTATTGACTGCAGATTTGGCTTTATGTCATTTGTCATTTAATCACCCAGACACGAGTGTCACTTGTGCACGACGATATGATAGTCACATTAACCTTACCTGGGTACTATTATTACTACGTACATAAGGGTGTCATGGTAGTATATATTATGAAATGGGAGAATACATTAATTGAATAAATGGTTTCCATTGATATAGGCCAATACTTACAATGTTGGTGTCCGATAAAGGAAAATGTAATTTTCTGAGTAAAATTGATATTTTATACTTATCCTGACTCATGCTTTTTCCGCTTGTCTTCCTCTTCTTTGCGAACATAGTGGAACACTTGTATCTCCCAATTGAAGTTCCCTTCAATGTAAAATCACTAATTAGTACTCACCACGAGTTATCCCTTTCCTCGCAAGCGCGGGAACGAGGGCGCCACCTCCCACCATGTGCCTCACTCTCTCCTTATGTAGCGAGCCCAACACTTGAATTTACAGGGAAATCCAAAGTGTTATGTGGGGAGGACGGGAGGGCTTACCTCATGAGTCAGGATAAGTATAAAATATCAATTTTACTCAGAAAATTACATATTTTTCCTTATCCTGACTCATGCTTTTTTGCTTGTAGAATCCGACGGCTATGGAGGTGGGAATATATAATACTTTGGATTTGGATAATTAGTGATTTGAATTGTAATGACTGTAATAACCCTATGGGAACTTCATAAAGGCACTGAACTGATGAATTCCTGCTGCTAGCTTATCAGCTGCCATATATGGGTTATTACAATATAACTATTACAATATACTTATAATGATAAAGTATATACCACATTAGTACAAAGCTTAAGACTAGTAGACTTAAGTTGTTAATGTGATAGCATAAACTCCTTGAGTTTATAGTAATTATACTTTTATGAAGTAACCAAAGTACTAAGCTTAAGATATGCATAAACTTAAGCTATATGAGTATAGTACTGTGCTTAAGATATAATTTAACTTAAGCTATATAATAGCAAAGGCTCCGTAGAGTTTGTTAGCTAATATATATATAAAATGTGACCATATTACTGAGCTTAAGATATGATGAAACTTAAGCTAAATATAATAGCAAAACTTCTAGAGTTGTTAGCTAATATATTGTATGATATAATAACCATGGTACTGAGCTTAAGATAACAGATTGAACTTAAGCAAAATATATATATAGCATGTAGCTATTTAGTACTGATATCAGATAAGTATAAATCTGTAAGATTGACTTATCTTCTCCGAGGAACTGTCAACTGTTGAGCGAGGACCATGGGACCGAAATGGTGGATACCTGAGACGTCCTTGGTGGTAATATCTCTCAGATAGTGGTTGGCAATCACCATATCGGATCTCCAGAAACATCCCTCCATTATGGTATTCAAAGAGCAGTTGCCGTGTAGAGCAAGCGTTGATGCTAGCGCTGCTCTAATTTCATGAGGATTAGATGCTCTTGGAGGGTCGAGTCCTGCAGCCTTGTAGGCACGTAGTATGACAGTTCTAATCCAAATTGAGATAGTAGTAAGTGAGACTTCCGTCTGCGTAGCTGTAGATAGAGGGATAAATAATCTCTTGAATTTTCCTCTTCTCTGTTTGGATCGGTGGAGATATATTTTCAGTGCTCTTACTGGGCATAGTGATAGATCCATGATGTATCATGAGGTCCAAGAATGGATGAGATAGCTGGGACGTGGAATAATCTGTCTGGTTGACCTGGCAATTGGTTCTTAGCTATAAAATCCCAGCGTAGTCCCAGATGTACGATATTATGAATATCATCAAAGCGTGTTCTCTCGTAATCCAAAGCGTGAATCTCCGACATCCTGGCAGCCGTAGCTAGCGCTAACAGGAACAAAGTTTTCTGGGTCAGTGATTCAAACGATGTAGATTCTAACGGTTCATAAGCCTCACTTGTGAGGTGTTGGAGCACTATATTTAGATCCCAAGCTGGAGCGTGAAACTTCCGCTTGTGATCCTCCAATCGGAATGCTCGTAGCAAAGCGAGTAACTCTGTTTGTTTTGTTAACTTGACGCCCGTTCTCATAGTTATGACAGAGCTTAATGCTGCAAGATAAGTGGACAAAGTTGAGCCTTTTAGATTCTTAGTCATGTAGATAACATAAGTATTCTGCCACTTGAGGATGAGTAGCATATCTGGCTGTAAATCCTTTCTTTGCAGCATAATTGACAAAACTGTGCCATTTGTCATCTTATAAGGTGCGAGTTGAGTTAAGCAGTGCAAGCGTGACTGCTTTTGCCGCTCTGGCTGAATATCCTCTCTTATTCAGACATGCCTTGATACAATCCATACGTGAAGTTGGAATACTTCTGGTTTTCCGTGCACTTGTCTGGTGTGTGGATGTATCAATATATTCGAGCGTTGTGGCAGTTGTAGAATTGGTTGTCCGATTTCTTGAATAAGGTTTGGAAACCAAGTTCTCGCTGGCCAGAGGGCGCGACCAAAATCAGATGGAGGCTCTGCGTTTGACTGATTTTCCGTAAGACTTGTGGGATTAACGCTGTTGGCGGGAAAGCGTACGCGTTGAGTCCCTCCCACGATATGCTTAGTGCGTCCGTTGCTCATGCTAGTGGGTCTGGAACTGGCGACACGAAGGTTGTCAGTTGTTTGTTGAATCGAGTGGCGAATAGGTCTACTAGTGGAGATCCTATTTCCATGATTATTTGAGTAAATATCTCTGTGTGGAGCATCCATTCTGTCGGCGACGGTAGGTGTGACTGAGAGAGAGCGTCTGCTAATACATTCTTTGCTCCTGGAATGTGGGAAGCTCTGATATGTATGTTTAGATTGTCTATTAGCTCGAATAGTCGGAAACAAAGGGACAGTAGGTTCGGTGACCTTGTTGAGCCCTGTTTGTTCACATAAAACGCCACTGTCGAAATGTCTGTGTGAATCATCAACTTAGTGTTCTGTAGTAGGTTGCTCCAGTGATTTATGGCGTTTATGACTGCTTGCATCTCTAGCAGATTTATGTGATATTTGCTCTCTTGACTGCTCCATAGGCCTGACGCTGTCTTGTAGGCGAGGTGGGCTCCCCAACCTTGTAGTGACGCGTCTACGTAGAGATGTGTTTCCGATTCCGGCTCTAATAAGGAGACGCCTACGCAAACATTCAATCTCTTGGTCCACCAGAGTAGATGAGGTTTGACGTGATCTGGTAAACTGAACGGTAGAGGGTCCTCGAGATGCGCATTGATGAGGACTTGTAACGGTCGTAATTGAAGCCTGCCTCTGACTGTCAAGTCTGCGCTGTTAGAAATCGTATACTTAGAAATTGCAGATCTTGCGTTGGTTCTAGGTCCGACTTGAGTAGATTTACTAACCATCCTAGTTGAGTTAGTAACTTGATTATAAAGTTCAGCTGTAGTCTGAGACGCTGTGGATCTGGATCCACTTGTATTCCGTCGTCTAGGTAAAATGCGCTGCGAAGACCTTGACGATGTAGGTATGCGACAATAGGCTTCGTCACTCTTGTGAATACCCAAGGGGCCGATGAAATTCCGAAGGGAAGTACTTTCCATTGGTAGTGTTTCCCGTCTAGGATAAATCTTAGATATTTCCTTGAATTGGGATGAATCGGAATGTGTAGATATGCATCTTGCAAATCTATGCTGGCCATGTTATCTTTGGGACGAATTAAGTGCCGAAGTTGCGGTAAGTGTATCATGCGAAACGCTGGCGGTTTGGTTAGATAGTCTTTGTTGAAGATGCTCATGTTGTATATGAGACGAAACTTTTCCTTGGAATTTTTCTTGGGCACTAGGAAAACTGGGGAGTAGAAACCTGGTACGATGTTTCGCTGATCCAGAACTTCTAAGGCCTGTTTGTTTAGCAGAGTAGCTACTGTTTCTCTTAACATAGGTAGTAGTGCCGGTTGAAAGTCGAACCTTGGAGGGGTGACTGTTAACGGAGGTGTGGCCTTGAGTTGTATTTGATATCTGTGCTGTAGGATGTTGGATACATGAGGATCTTGTAGTAGTCCCCAGTTTTCCCAGTGCAGCTGAAGGCGTCCACCCACTTGAGACGGTTGTACTGCAACGGCTGGGGGTGGAAGACTCCAGTCGTTCCGAACCTGAATTTCATCGTCTAAATCCGCGGGAACCTCTGGATGATCTGCCTCTAGCTGATCCTCCTCTGAAATTGCTGTATGGGCGACGAAAAGATTCCCTGGGACCTTTTGCTGTAGCCAATTTCTTGTCCCATGCTTTCTGTAGTCCAGAGAATTTAGACTTGCCAGAGTATCTCAAGGATGATTGTTTAATGACGTTTGCTAACGTATCCATGGACTTGATCATAAGCACCTCTCCAGAGTCCTTAGACACCTCTTTGGAGACCTTGTCTATGTTACCACCAAATAGTAAGGGCGATGACCATGGGGCGGCGTAGAGTGATTCCGTAAATTGATTATCCCAATTGCAGGAGGCTAGTAGACCCTGACGACGAGCCATGGTAGTAGTTTCAGTAAGAGCTGACAAGTGCTCTGTAAGAAACTGATGGTCTCTTTTCTGCATGAGTAGAGCCGAGTAGATCATTCTATCTTCCTCCTCTGTAGAATCTTTGAACTTGGTGATGAGAGTTTCATTGACAGTTCTAGATCTATTCAATCCAAAAAACATTCTCCTAGAAATGGTATCCAACTGGGCTAGTTTGCGATCGTCTATTCTGTAATTCCTGGACTTGGCATCACTGATTAACTTAAAGTTGTCATCAATCTCTTGGGCCTTGAAAAAGGAGTCCATATTGTGACCTGCAAATTTCTTGGCGTTGAAAACCGGGAAATGTGTTGATTGAAATTTCGTAGATTTGGTAAAGGCTGTGTCCAGATTAGCTGGAACCTCTGCTATCGTGTCAATAGGAGGTAAGGTGATAGTGTCCGCATCATCTTCCTTCATCAAATAAGTATGAGCTGAGTTCTCGTTCTTAGACGGGGAAGCAAGTTCTAATCCATTCACCATCCACTATCTAATTTCTGCATCTGCGAATATGATACCTTCTTCCTCTTCTGACGTAGGATCACATGTAATAGAGTGAGGTGGAGTCCTAGATCTGTAAGAAGATTGACGAGAAGATTGTGGTGAACGGACTGACGAGTGGCTAGTATAGGGAGACCTTGGAGGAGACTTCCTCGGCGAACTTCGTGAAGCTCTCGATGAATCCCTTCTAGATCTTCTGGGTGAAGATGACTTGTAGCCACTTAACCTTCGTGAAGGCCTTCGGGAAGGTATCGAGTCAGAGTCCGAATCATTATATGAGAGCCTGCTTCGCGAACAACCTCTGTGTTCTACAGGATGTGAGCTCGGTGAAGCACTCCTCCTCCGCGAAGCCCTTCGCAACTGTTGAGGCTCTGGATCCTTCGTGGAGGCGGCCTGGGACGTTCTTCGCGAAGGCTTCGTTACGGGCTGGGTTGCCCTTCGTGGAGGCGCGTTTGTGGGCTCTGGGGCCCTACGCGAAGTCAAGGCGGGCTCTGGGGCCCTGTATGACTTATTATGGGTTGGGCTCTGGGGCCCGCGGCTCTGAGGCCTCTGTAAACCGTATCGGTCTTCCATCAACATCATGATTTGGTTAACCAGGTCGTCTGGGACGGTCTGCGCTGGCGTTGAGGGTGTCCTCTCTGTGGTAGTGACGGGACCCTCAGTTATATTCTCAGGCGTCAGCGTAGGCATCTCTGGTTGCGTGTTGATCTGCGCTGAAGTGACGGTAGCCGATACTGGTCGCTTCTTATGACGTACATCTGGAATGATAATCGGAATGTCATCATCATATAAACACAATTCTGAAAGAGGGAAAATGTCAGAAGCAAAGTTTTTAGTAGCCTTCGTGGATTTCCCTTTTGACGAAGCTGTAGACCTGGGGGTTCGGAGCGTACGTTGAGACGACGTGGAAGCTCTTCTAGTCTTAGACTGTGATGATGGAACGTCCTGGGATGCAGGTCGCTTCTTGGATATAGCGGACTGCGTCCCACGCTTATCCCCCGAAGGTAACTCAGGCGGAACACCAGACGGTAGAGGGTCGTCCGCCAACAGTTGACAGGGTATATCTGACTCCGATCTATTAGCCATGACTGAAGATTGTTTGCGAGATCTATCTGCCGCCCGTCTCAAGACGGAATATAAATATTTATCAAAGGCAGAATTAGACAAATTAATACATAATTTGCAGCGTGAAACAATAGAGCATGGAGTTATGCAACTAGGGCATATTAAATGCGGATCGGCAGCAGAGTAACGTAATTTACAAACAGTGCAGATTTTCATTAACGCAAACTGCTGAGCAAACACGGCGAACCGTGAATAAAGCAGCAGAAACACGAATAATTATCAATGCATGTTGAATAAGGATACTAGTTACACCTCTATAGATGAATATAAGAGGTACCAAACTAAATATAATTAAAGGATATAGTGTGTAGGGAGACACAGGCGCTCTCACGTCCAGCTCACTGGGCGAAGAAGGAGAGAGTGAGGCACATGGTGGGAGGTGGCGCCCTCGTTCCCGAGCTTGCGAGGAAAGGGATAACTCGTGGTGAGTACTAATTAGTGATTTTACATTGAAGGGAACTTCAATTGGGAGATACAAGTGTTCCACTATGTTCGCAAAGAAGAAGAAGACAAGCAAAAAAGCATGAGTCAGGATAAGGAAAAATGACAATATTTGATTAATGTATATGAACAAACTCAAAGGACCACAATGTTTAGTTTGTTACAACCATAGTTCATTTAAGCATTCCAGCTAAAATATCCAGCAAGTGGCAAGGACCAAAAAACCCACCTGGGTCATTATATCAGTTTGTTGAAAGCATGTTCATTATAATGGTAGTTCACTGTATATGCTGTGTGACAATTGCAGACATCTTATGAATAGCATCAAAATTTTATTAAAATCATGTGACAATCAAGTGACAACTAATAAGGACTTCTGAAAGACAGTCACTGGCCACCGAACAGCTAGACTTGATATATAAGTAACAAAAAAAACAGGCTTAAGTCATCCAGCATCATAATGTTAAAGTTGGCAATCAGAGGTCATTACGGAGTCAGGAGAGACTGATTGAGTGAGTGAGTGACTTTTACCAATATTCCAGCAATATCACGTCACGGGACACCAGAAATAGGCTTCACACATTGTACCCATGTGGGGAATCAAACCTGAGTCTTCAGCGTGACAAGTGAATGCTTTAACCACTAGGCTATCCCACCGCCTCATCAGGAGAGAGAACTCTAATATCCTTACTTTTTGGGGGTTTACAATGCTAAGGTAAGGAAACTACTTTTCTTGTTACCTGAAGTTGGCACTGGCAAGGTGGTTCTAGGTGCTGGCATCACACCTGGAAATAGAATGTTTGTCAAAATCTACAACTTGGAGAACAATTTCAGGGAGATGTATTTATTTTCATAAATGAATATTAAAATTTTCACTTTTCAACAAAGGCAAACAAACCAAATAACTATCATAGCACTTCAACCATCATAAGCCTATGTTACATGCAGGGATGGAAATAACCCATTGCCTGACGTCCGAGTCCAGTGTTTTTTTCTGCCGGGCAAGCAAATTTGTCTATCACACTGTACCGGTGTCCAGTTGACTTTTCCATGGTAATTATGTTGTTTATTTAACAAATCAGCACGAAAACGGTCGGTATAGTGGAAAAATTATCAGGGCAAGTGACTTTACATGTGCCACTGTACCGGAGTACACTACCAATTTTCAAAGTTATTTCCATCCCTGACATGATCACATGAGTAGAATGCTTTTTGGAACAGGATCCGTGAGGGTGAACATACCTCAAGGTTTGTGCAGCTTCAGCACCAATGCCTGTTAAAGTCTGGGAGGATATTATTTGGATATACTTAATGTGTAATGTGTAAACAGACATCCATTAATCAGTGCCTATTGATTATGTCAGTTGTAATGTGGCCAGGACATTGAAAACAGTTTGCCCGATTGTTGGATTCATTATCTCACCTTTCCTGATGCCACAGATCCAGTTCCGGAGTTGCCAGCAGGCTTGTACGTTGAACTTGCCCGTCTGTATGATCACCTCAACACACTGTGCCTTCCCTCCTTGTGTGTCCGGCTCCTTGTCCGCCCACAGTGTGAAGTCAGCTGGGGTCTTGTCACTCCACACATAGCCTGACACAGAAATACATCCTCACTGATCTGACATAAGGTCAGTGTGTGAAATACGCATTATGTTGGAAAGCGCATGTTATATCTCCAAATCATCATCACCTGACACTGACATGGACACGCACAAGCCTGATTATTAAAATTAGAATAATTAAATGTGAAATAATTGCAAACAAAAGGAGCAAGGACCTTAAATGTGTAAAAATAGTATTTACAGCTAAAAAAATCAACCGATCAGCATGCTAACTTTCAACTTCGTTTCTGAGAAAGATTTCATTCTCATAGCTTGGTTATTTTTGTACCAAACTTTAAAAATCTCCGTTTACTTGTGAAACAACTTACAAACAGTTAATTATAACCAACAACTGAAGTTCGATTAGAGACTTGAATGAAACCCTCAAACATGCAGACCTGTAAACTGTGTTCACTTTCACAAAGAGTAAAACTTTTATCTGATAATATAACCTTGGGGCGCTGTCCAAACAGGATTTGAAATAAGGTTTGAAATTCACGGAGTGTCTTGAGTGGTAAAGTTTCAAGAATGAGTGAGTGAGTGAGTTGGGTTTTACACCGCTTTTAGCAAAATTTAGCTACCCCACCGCCCCCTTCAAGAATGAAGCTGATAGATTGAACCCTCACCTACTGCCCCAACCCACCCTGTCTGCTAACTGAAGCTGATAGATTGAACCCTCACCTACTGCCCAATCCCACCCTGTCTGCTGACTGAAGCTGATAGATTGAACCCTCACCTACTGCCCCAACCCACCCTGTCTGCTGACTGAAGCTGATAGATTGAACCCTCACCTACTGCCCCAACCCACCCTGTCTGCTGACTGAAGCTGATAGATTGAACCCTCACCTACTGCCCCAACCCACCCTGTCTGCTGACTGAAGCTGATAGATTGAACCCTCACCTACTGCCCCAACCCACCCTGTCTGCTGACTGAAGCTGATAGATTGAACCCTCACCTACTGCCCTGTCAACACACCCTGTCTGCTGACTGAAGCTGATAGATTGAACCCTCACCTACTGCCCCAGACTGAACCCCACCCTGTCTGCTGACTGAAGCTGATAGATTGAACCCTCACCTACTGCCCAAACCCACCCTGTCTGCTGACTGAAGCTGATAGATTGAACCCTCACCTACTGCCCCAACCCACCCTGTCTGCTGACTGAAGCTGATAGATTGAACCCTCACCTACTGCCCCAACCCACCCTGTCTGCTGACTGAAGCTGATAGATTGAACCCTCACCTACTGCCCCAACTGCCCCCCACCCTGTCTGCTGACTGAAGCTGATAGATTGAACCCTCACCTACTGCCCCACCCACCCTGTCTGCTGACTGAAGCTGATAGATTGAACCCTCACCTACTGCCCCAACCCACCCTGTCTGCTGACTGAAGCTGATAGATTGAACCCTCACCTACTGCCCCAACCCACCCTGTCTGCTGACTGAAGCTGATAGATTGAACCCTCACCTACTGCCCCAACCCACCCTGTCTGCTGACTGAAGCTGATAGATTGAACCCTCACCTACTGCCCCAACCCCACCCTGTCTGCTGACTGAAGCTGATAGATTGAACCCTCACCTGATTCTGCCCCAACCCACCCTGTCTGCTGACTGAAGCTGATAGATTGAACCCTCACCTACTGCCCCAACCCACCCTGTCTGCTGACTGAAGCTGATAGATTGAACCCTCACCTACTGCCCCAACCCACCCTGTCTGCTGACTGAAGCTGATAGATTGAACCCTCACCTACTGCCCCAACCACCCTGTCTAGTAGGAAAAGGTTAAGCCTGCTGACTGAAGACGAGAGATTGGACCGTCAAATACTACCCCAACCCTATCCCCACCTGTACCTATGTAGACAATGTTATGTCTCCTACCCTGAGAATGACTTACCTTCATTGGCTCCCCCTGCACCCATCACACTCAGACCAACCCAGAAGTGGTCAGTCTCGCCACTGTAACATGATCGTAGGAAATTAGATTCCATCTAATGTCTTTTTCATAAAACTATGTCTTTTGAGAGACTCTATCAAGAAAAGGGGGAGCTCCATAGATGCATGTGTCTTGGACGATGCACACCTGGCTAATGTCATAGTGGCTGGGCTTTCTTGACCCTTATTCCACTGACTTAGCACCCCTCTGTGTCTTATGTCTTAGCTCCTCCTGAACCTCAAACCACACCTGCATGGTAGAGTAACAATAAGGTTATTGGCACAAATGAAGCCCTTGAGGGAAATGAAGACTAGATAATAATTATGTGTGGCACTGGATCAAGTGTTGAAGCCAAAGGATTATACTGGAAAGACATGTGTGAACATTTTTTACTCTGGCTTGGCCAAAAAATCTATTTCTAATTTACAGTGTAATCTGTCTTATACATGCACATTTACTAGAGGTGAGGTGAGGTGAAATGTGGTTTAATGTCGTACTTAAGAATATTTCGCTTATGATGACATGCATGCGTGTATATGTGGATGTGTTGCTGCTAATTGTACTAGCCCAGACTTAAGCTGGTTTTATAGTGCTAGCCCACTGAGATACCATGCCGCAGTGAAGCATGAATACCCCACTCAGACACATTATACTGACTCCGAGCCGACCAGTCCTTGTTGTACCCATTAATGCCGATGACCAACGAGCGCCAGGCAGGGACCAACAAGTACCATATTTTAACGTCTTTTTGGTATGACAAGGCTTTTGGGGGATCAAACCCTGAACCTTCTGCTCTCAAAGAGACACACACACAACATATTTTTAATGTCTTTTGGTATGACATGGCGGGGGATCAAACCCTGAACCTTCTGCTCTCTACGCAGATGCTCTAACCAATACACCACAGGGCGGGTACATTTACAAGAAGAGAATCATCTCATAGCAACTGTATCATACGGTTTCCTTCAAGGTCTACATGACACAATGTACAAGACCTTTATTGCCAGCGGGGACTCACAAAGAAATCCCAGAAGGTAATGCCTCAATACAGAAAGTATCAACACCATTGCTATGTGAAGGGGGTCAGCTATTACATTTAATGTCAACTGATAAAGACAGGTGGATAACTCACATGAGGTAGTTCCTCCAGATGTTGTCCAGGGTGGAGGCGTTATGGAAGCTGGCGAGGTGGGCGTTCTGTCGCTGACAGTCCCGCTGGGAGTCCTGCCCACGACAGCTGGAGGTTGATCGGGTTGTTGTTTATCTGACAATACAGACAGTGAGTGAGTGAATCAGTCTTTAGTGGGTGAGTGTTTGATGTTTGAACACTGAAAGTAGTACCTACCTGACCTTTTACATTTGCATATTTATCTGAAGTGACACCAACACATACCATTTATTCTGTTGTGTTTTCTTCTGAGTATCCATCCATCATAATTATGATCAACATGCTTACATAGCCATACCCACAGGTTGTCTGTTTTTGGAATACTTGTCTGCTTTCTTCACTTGTTGCCAGCTATGTTAAATTTGCACTGATGTTGCTACAAAGGCATAATTTAAAAAATCTTGATTCCCATGTGTCTCTGTGGACATGCACAGCTTCGGGGTGGGTGCGTGCTCTGAGTGCCAGGCTGGGTAACAACAAGTAGCATGTTTAATGTGGCCATGGGCTCAAACAACCAGTGTCCTCTCAGGCAGCAATCCACTAAACCACAAGACAGGTAATGCCAAAAAGGCAGCAAACTAATCTAGAAAGGTTTCGATATAAGGTTCAGGAAATAACTATTGTAAAAATTAGAAAAAACATTTGCATCAAAGAGAAGGGGAAAGAGGCAACAGGTTGATGTAGAGCTTCATTTAGTAATTGCTGTGAATGAAACTACGAAGAGTTAGCTATGCACTGTCACTCACCTGATAGCAGTAGGTTCCCCCATCCACCCACCCAGCAGGGCAGGGTACCTTGGGTGGAGTCGTCGGAAGGGTAGAGGGGGTCGTGTACCCCACTCGGATACGCTCACATATGGCGGAGAGGGTGGAGTTGCAGAATGTGTTGTACCACAGACCAGCATTCACTCCACTGCCCAAAGCAACACAATGCCCATTGTCATCTGGACAAAACAAATACAGGAGATAACATGTGTTGGTTATGATATACACATCTAATAGTCCCTATTCCTACTGGCATTCTATGGATACAAGAGCATCATATTGCATTCTATGGATACAAGAGCATCATATTGCATTCTATGGATACAAGAGCTTCATATTGTGTTCTATGGATACAAGAGTATCATATTGCATTCTTTGGATACAAGAGCATCATATTGCATTCTATGGATACAAGAGCATCATATTGCATTCTATGGATACAAGAGCATCATATTGCATTCTATGGATACAAGAGCATCATATTGCATTCTTTGGATACAAGAGCATCATATTGCATTCTTTGGATACAAGAGCATCATATTGCATTCTATGGATACTATGGATAAAGCATCATATTGCATTCTTTGGATACAAGAGCATCATATTGCATTCTATGGATACAAGAGCATCATATTGCATTCTTTGGATACAAGAGCTTCATATTGCATTCTATGGATACAAGAGCTTCATATTGCATTCTATGGATACAAGAGCATCATATTGCATTCTTTGGATACAAGAGCATCATATTGCATTCTTTGGATACAAGAGCATCATATTGCATTCTATGGATACAAGAGCATCATATTGCATTCTATGGATACAAGAGCTTCATATTGCATTCTTTGGATACAAGAGCATCATATTGCATTCTATGGATACAAGAGTTTCATATTGCATTCTATGGATACAAGAGCATCATATTGCATTCTATGGATACAAGAGCTTCATATTGCATTCTATGGATACAAGAGCTTCATATTGCATTCTTTGGATACAAGAGCTTCATATTGCATTCTATGGATACAAGAGCTTCATATTGCATTCTATGGATACAAGAGCATCATATTGCATTCTTTGGATACAAGAGCATCATATTGCATTCTATGGAAACAAGAGCATCATATTGCATTCTTTGGATACAAGAGCTTCATATTGCATTCTATGGATACAAGAGCATCATATTGCATTCTATGGATACAAGAGCTTCATATTGCATTCTATGGATACAAGAGCATCATATTGCATTCTATGGATACAAGAGCATCATATTGTGTTCTATGGATACAAGAGCATCATATTGCATTCTTTGGATACAAGAGCTTCATATTGCATTCTTTGGATACAAGAGCATCATATTGCATTCTTTGGATACAAGAGCATCATATTGCATTCTTTGGATACAAGAGCATCATATTGCATTCTATGGATACAAGAGCTTCATATTGCTTTCAAAAGTAACAACAACTGAGGACCTACAGAAGTATTACCGAAGTACTACTGAGGAACTACTGAGAACCTGCTGAGGACCAACTGTGGATCTACTGAGGAACTACTGAGAACCTGCCGAGGACCAACTGTGGATCTACTGAGGAACTACTGAGAACCTGCCGAGGACCAACTGTGGATCTACTGAAGAACTACTGAGAACCTGCCGAGGACCAACTGTGGATCTACTGAAGAACTACTGAGAACCTGCCGAGGACCAACTGTGGATCTACTGAGGAACTACTGAGAACCTGCCGAGGACCAACTGTGGATCTACTGAAGAACTACTAAGGAAGTATTCACGACCAACTGAGGACATACAGAGGACCAGTTGTGGAGCTACTAAATACTAGTGAGGAACTACTGGGGACCTACTGGGAACCAACTCAGGAGCTACTGAGGACCTACTGAGTTACCTCACCTGGTTTGTTCTGCGCCCAGTTGGTTACAGACACATGGGTTACACCATCACTGTACTTGTACTCTCCTGTGTTCCCACTGTCGCGAATGTCCGTCCACACCTTGTCTTTCCTCAATCCCAGAGAACTGGCCAGGTACGCTTGCTCATACCTTTAAACAGACAATGATGAAGTGTGCCGCATATTCTGCTACACGTGTGATAGACGTGGACTCAAAACAGTTATCAAAATGATTACCAATAAGTGAATAGTCACAGTACATTAAACTGTTGAGTAGCGAGTGGTTCAAGACTAAGATGAAGGTCCTGATTAGGTTTGATTCTCAACAAGGGTACAGTTTGTGAAGATTTCAGGAACAAGTTTTATATTTCTTGAATATTTCAAAAAGCAGAGTCTTTAAACCTATTCTCTCAGTTAGATCTGTCTACATCCAAGTATGACAAATGTTTGTATTGATAGTGATGGACTTATATAAAGAGAATCTCATCCTTCAGTCAGTGAAAGTATAAACCTTGATGCTTGCGAGGAGTTCCAAATGTTTATTGACAAGATTTGATATACTTGATGCCAAACAACACAAGGGTGAGGTTCTATTTATCATACTGTAATAGGCGTGGTTTTCACTCAACTACCATCGCCCAGTGACAGCTGAGTTAAGCTAGAAAGTATGCAGGAACATGATGTTGAATCAACCTTTTCTTGGACTTTGTGTTGTGTACTTTTATTTTATAGGTGTGCATTTGGGTTGACTTGTTCTCTACTCAAAACTCAGTGACCAGTTCGTGAATCGGTCACTGGCATAAAGCCTATTGGGAAATAACAGAGACAAAGAGAACAATAACAATAGTTTATTACCAAAAAAATAGGTAGAAAAATAAAAACAAAAACTTAACAACTTATAAATGACGCAGTTCTCTCGCTCACATAGCTTATCAACAATTCAGCTACATGAAACCTTTAAACTTATTCTAAAAACCACCCAAACCAACCCTGGTTTAACTGATTATTACCCAAAATCTATAAGCTAAATCCTTCTCCATTTACTTCTGCTACTTTTCCCCCTACCCGACCTAACACCAATATAAGGAACCTAGGATCCCCCTACATATCCGCCAATCATAGCCTTCCCAACATATTTAGCGCCAACCATGTGGCCTACCTAATGTATCTAGTGCTATGATGAACTGTGAGTAACCCCGGTCAAAAAGTTGTCCAGTAGTAGAGCAAGTGAAACAATGTGCTACAAGACTATCTGGTACACTGTAGTTATGCTACATGTGGTACGTATTGTTTGACTATCCCCTTATGAACCCCTGCCCCTGCTTACACTACAATTTAACCCAGTTTTCCTACAATACAAAATCAATCTTGCAACTTACTAACCAATAACCGGAAGCAATAACTGATGACTCATCAGTGTAAGTACAGCTAACCAACTTCAGTAGCTGTAGTGATGTCATTTGATTGTGATGTCATGGTTCACAAATCATTGTGATGACTGTAGAGACATAGTGTAGTAGATATTGCTCCATCTTACCCAAGCAGAATCTTCCATTGGAAGCCCATTTTGGATGGATGATAAATATCATTGCAGACCTTTCATGAATGTGGGAATAGATCAAGATTAATAACCATAATGATTCTCCTTATTGGAAACGGTCGAATCCTTTTACAAATCAATTAAGTTTATTCCTCTGTAAACTTATAATATTGATAAATATTGAGACTGTGGTATGTCACCTGTCATCAATCCGCACCAAGGATGCTCCAAAAGCTTCACAAGCATGTGCTGCAGCTTCCCAGGTTCTTGTCTCCCTCACGTACATGTAGCAGGACCACCGATACCCATCCCAGCCCTGAATGTCACATCACAGATTCATCATAGAGGCTACAAGTCTTGGTACATTCTGGGATTGGTTGCTGCTCCCGTGTATATAGGTTTAATGCAGAGTTGAGCAATATTTCATTTATATCAAAGCACTTCAGCTTGTATAAAGAATGCCAGGAGTGATGTAGGTCTTAGATATTTACCATGTTGGTGGTATACATGAGCTTGGAAATATTACTGACAAGCCAAGAGCCAAGAAACATCACCAGGGCATAATGTGGTATTTGAACCAATGATGAAATGATTCTGCCAACCCTGACTGCACAGCAAATAACAGTCACTTAGAGTGAGTGAGTGAGTTAAAATTTATAGTCACATCGGCAATATTTCAGCCATATTGTGACTTAAAAAGTTATAAATTAACAATAAATGCAATTAAATTTATACAAACCCTGTTGACGAAGGACAGTAAAATAACTAGATTATCACAGACAGAGAATTAAAACTAGCAAGTAACTTCTAAAATTAAACAAATAGTACAGACAATACAATATAAACAAGAAGACAAAGTCATCAATATCTCCCCTACTAAACTTTATATGGCAAAATACTCTTCATGATTATGTCTATGGAAAGTTATGATTATGTCAACTTGATATACAATTGAACTTGTTATATACAAAAAGTGGAAGGAGAGCATTGAAAGGAGCACTATCACCTGTGTATTCAGTCTCAGTCAAACTTGTTGCCATGGAAACCGCAAAAAATATTTTATTCATGAATTCCAAAACTACAAAAAAAAAGGCACTTTAAGTAGCACACCATCAGACCAATCTAACATGTGCCAAGTTTGGTGAAGAAATAGTGAACGGTTTTAGAGTTCTGCTCGGAGAAAAAACACAACCACCAATTTCAGTCTAAGTCAAACTTGTTGCCATGGAAACGCAAAAAAATATTTTAATCAGAATTCCAAAACTACCAAAGGCACCAGTGGACCACCAGATCTATGTATGTGCCAAGTTTGGTGAAGAAATATTGAATGCTTTTAGAGTTCTGCTCTCGGACAAAAGCACTACCACCAATTTCAGTCTAAGTCAAACTTGTTGCCATGGAAACAGCAATAAAAATATTTTATTCAGAATTCCAAAACTGCAAAATGCACATCAACCAGTACACCACATGATCAATGTAGTTTGCCAAGTTTGGTGAAGAAATATTGAATGCTTTTAGAGTTCTGCTCGGACGGACAAATGGACAAATGAACGCTATATACGGACGGACAGAGTCCATTTTAATAACCCCCGCAAAACGCGTTGCGGGGGATAAAAACGGGCCAGTGATCACCAGCAACTGAAGGTAGATCACCATAACAGTCAGTTAGATGACAAACCCCAAGCCAAGCTGAGGGTGGTGACACTGGTGATGGTGAAATGAGGAGAAGGATGTTGCTGCTGATAGTGGTGAGGAGGGTGGTTGTGGTCACTGCTGCTGGTGGTGAGAAGGATCATCTGGGTGGTGGTCACACTGGAGAGAAAGGTGGTAATGGAGCAGGATTCAGTGGTGGAGTGGGGTGACCAGTAATGGTGGTATGTAGTGAAGCAGTAGAGTGCTGACTGAGGGGTTTGCCATACTGACAATAATTTGGGCAGCAACATCAACAACAGCCGTAAAGTAGCAGCTAACTGAGTCCACTTTTGAAGGAATATGAATTTATAGTATCACAATGTATTCAGCAGAAGATCATACACTATACATATATGTAATGAGTTGTATGGTATGCAATATCTTGACAACTGGAAAAGACATGGGAATTAAAGTGGCTAAGACAAAAACGTTCATTTGCGTCTCTCCTTCCAGCCAGCAAGTTGTTACAAGTGTAGCCAAGGACATTCTACAGTATTCTTTTTGGTTCGTTTTTACTATGCAATTTTTCTATTGTCAACTGAGATGAAAATAGATAAATATACTGAACAACATTAGAAACGCACCACCCACATAATATGAAATATCCCCGTCAGACTGAAATGTACCCATGATATCTGAACATCGTCGGTGCATTTAAGTGTGGTGCGTTTCTAATATTGTTCAGTATATATATTTCTTGCATGCAACGATGCCAGTGCTGATTCATAATGGTGTTACGACAATTAATAACATGTAAAGCACTGCCTCATTATTAGAATGTCAACACCTTACTATTAAGGCCACCTACCTGTTCACATCCGCTGACTTTAGGTGCAACAGTCGGCATAGTCGTGGGCATCTTGGCCGCCATACAGATGTACTTGTGACTGTTGCCACAGTTCTCATCCTGCCATCCCCCTGTCTGTCACACAAATCATCATATTATCACACATGTCCTGGTACGTGTACAGTATATCAGCTCACATTCAGTAAGGGTGAAACGGTATACCGCAGTATTTTGCCTGCTACAACTGAGATTTACTTTGCTGAAATTTAATCTGAGTGAGTGAGTGAGTGAGTCTGGTTTTACGCCACTTTTAGCAATATACCAGCAATATCATGGCGGGGGACACCAGAAATGGGCTTCACAAATCGTACCCATGTGGGGGATCGAACCCGGGTCTTCGTCATGGCGAGTGAACGCTTTAACCACTAGGCTACCCTGCTGCCCCAAATTTAATCTGAACGTGCTCAGCCACATGATGGTGCCAGTGTAGCAGCCATCATCCTGTTATGGGATTCATATCATAGACCAAGGCCGGACCCTTGTCCACATGGCAAAAATGGTTAAGCTCCTCAGCAAACTGACAAGATAAGGCTGTCACCTGTTGGATGACACCACGCCCTGCTACAAGCCCTTAAGGATGAGTATATTATTAATACACTTCTCCTCACCTGGAACTTGACCAACACACAGTCTTCATAGCGTCCAGGCTGGTTGCTGGGCTCATTGGTGTCCCAGTTGGTATACATGACTGGTCGCTGGTTTGACCACTCGTAAAACATGTTTTCCTGTACATCGTTGAGACCGATCCACATGTCGTCCTTGGCTGCAGATAAAAAATGTACTGAACATTATGCACAAAAGAATATCTTCATAATGTAATATCTACATGTGGCAAAATATCATAATTCAAAACATATAATGTGACTTCTTGACAAGTCTTACTAATTTCATGGCCGCCAAGATGCCAAAATACAAACCTATGCTGGTGGTCCAGGTTGAATTACCTCCCTGTTGTTCATACTATTGACCACTGGTTTAAACAGCTTGGCTCAGATTTAAGTATTACCCAAACACTCTTGAACACTGGGGACCCATTCAGGCTTAATTATTCCCCTATTGTTACCAGTGTGCAAAATAGCCACTGGCCCGCTAGCCCGTCGCTAGTAAAAAAACAGTCGGGCAAGTCACTGGCCCGACTGGCTAGTGAATTTTCATGGGGTCATTTTGTAGATATATATCACTCTCTCATAATACACTTTTAAATCATGCATAACAAGCATTGTCACTAAGGTGACATAATCCCCCGCCGCAAATTATCAAATCAAACTTACAGAGTAATGAAAGTTTAAGATGAAGTTGAAGGTCAACAAAAACATGACCAGTCAACCTCTCTTGATATCTTGCTCTTTAGTTGTTCAAACACACACATATTTTCAAGACAGACTTTGACCTTGACATGAGTGTCATAGTGTATGAAATATGTAAAAATAGTAGCTAAGAGGGAAGTCTTGAAAGTCTATGAAGAAAATCCAGTGAACCGTTCTTGAAATATCTTGCTGACAATTCAGGTTAACATGCTGAAATCTTCAAAGTGTCGTTGTGACCCTGAAAATTATGCTAGGGTCACTAAAATTGACTGGGCGCTGGGCCTTCCCTAGATGAAGCTTGGTGTCAAATATGAAGAAAATCCAGTGAATAAGTTTTGCGATATCTTGCTGACTATCTTAACATGCAATTTAAATGCTGAAATCTTCAAAGTGTCTCGGTGACCTTGAAAATTAAGTGAAGGTCACCAAAATCGACTTGGCCCTGCGCCTTCCCTGGATGAAGCTTTGTGTCAAATATGAAGAAACTCTAGTGAATGGTTCTTCAGGCATCTCGCTGACAAGCATAACATGCAGGTTTACATGCTGAAATCTTCAAAGTGTCGCCATGACCTTGAAAATTAAGTGAAGGTCACCAACATCGACTGGGCAAAATCGACTGTGCCTTCCCTAGATAAAGCTTGGTGTCAAATATGAAGAAAATCCAGGGAACGGTTCTTGAGATAGCTTTACATGCAGGTAAAACGTTAAAGTCCCCTTGTGACCTTGAAATGAAAGTCAAGGTCACCAAACCTGACTTGGGCCTTTCTTATACTGTGATGAACCTAGGTACCAAATATGAAAAGAATCTAGAGAACAGTTCTTAAGATATTCCAATTCGTACGAAAAGAATCGTACGGACGGAGCCTAATACTATATCCCCTGTTTCACGGTAAACGCGCGGCGGGAGATAATTATGGCCTGATAAAAATGTTCCTCATATTAGCAGCTTAATGATGGAACCCATGTCATGCCGACAAGATCTTATTCTCATCTGTTTTTGCAATCTTTTGCTTTGTTTCTCCATTCAAAATTCAGGCTAGTGAAATATTTTGTGGGCTAGTAACTTTCAGGCATAGCTAGCCCAACTGGCTAGCAAAATTTGGAAACTATTTCGCACACTGCTTGTTATGTTCTTAACCATGGTGTACTGTTCACAATATTGACCACTGGTTCCCTGTCCTACCATTGGTCAAGCCACTGACCTTCAGTCATGAGGGAATACAGGAAGTCCTGCTGGTCCTGGCTGTTGATGGAGGCCAGTTCACTGGTCTGGTGCTGGCACTCCACACGAGCATTCTGCCACGTCACATACTGATCATTCACCTGATAGCAGTCGTCTTTGTAGCTCTTCCACCCATCTTGACAAACCTTCTCAAATGCTATAAAGAAAAGATCCAGAAATTTTCTTTAAGGATAAAATGAGTGTTTGACCCGTACTTACATGTTTACAGTGTAATATGTTCCGGCACCATAATACCTAGGGGTGTCACGATACACCAATCTCAACGATACAAAATTTAAAGGTCACGATATGATGATACGTGATCGCGATACATAATTTTCGCGCCTTTTCATAGCATTACCTTACCGGCAACGTACACGCGCTCGCTGATTGGTCCATCAAAATAGTCTAGCCAATCACAAAAGGTGTTAGTTTCCAACCTATTTTTTAAGTAAAGCTAGCTACATCTATTTATCGGAGCGGTCTCGGATAATTTTACTATCACAACTTTGAAGGAGATGGATATAGCATAAAAATTTGAATCGATAAAGTTTTAAAATAGGAATCGATACACGCAAGCATGTATTGCGTATCGTATCGTCAGTAAAAATGTATCGATGCATCGATACATTCGCGTATCGCGACACCCCTAATAATACCACACGAATATTTTCCAAAATCATGATACCATGTACAATAGTCTGTCTCATGGTCCCTGAACCACATTATTTTCCCTACTGCCTTGCCCTTCCAACAATGCTAAAGCCCTAAATGAAGCAAGTCTAAATGTCCTCAGGTTCTGGATTTCCCATCTCACGGGACTCCTTTTCAATTTAAATGGGTTTCTTTGTTACAATCACAATTATATTTAATGTATTCAGAGACTAAGCATTTGTCTACATGTACAATAACATACACATACTTAAGTTAGGACAGTTTTTCATTGCAGTCATTTCAACATAGGTATTTTTTTGTTATTATTTAAACATATTTTATTCATGAAATAAAAATTACATGAATATCGATTGGCACAACAAGCCAAAGGCTTATGTAAGTGCTGCTCCATTGAATATAACAAAATACAATCAATAATTAAATTCAAACAGAAGCAATTAATTTCACAAAGGCATGAAATGGATAATAATAGGAAAATATCTACAAAGTTACATTCCATGGTTCATAATAATTGCATACATAACAGTTTAGAATAATTTGAATCTATTTGAAAGTAGTATATATTCATGATCAGAGTCAAGAATAAGCTGATTAATTCTGTTGCTAGAAGTTTGATTACCTTGATGAAATGAATTCAAGTCAAAACCATTAGAAATATTTATCAGATCTTATTAAGTCATAACAAGTGCAACAGGCCTGTAATTGTGACATTCATTTTAAAACACTGCCCTTCTTTTGCAACGGAAATGCCATATAGTGGGAAAAATACATCCATGCAATGACTTATTAAATATGAAATAGGTGAGGGGCTAAAACAGTGATTCTGCGGTTAGCTTGATAAACTTATTGCTTATTTTGTCAGGGCCACTTGCCTTGTTTAAGTCAACTGAAAAAAGAATATGTTCAACTCCATTTCGCATCAAAACAATTTCACTTAATGAAAATTCATTTCTATATTGAACATCTGGTAGCGATTTGTCTGGGAAGTCAATTTTGGCTTGGTCAATAAAGTAATCATTAAGTATATGTTTGTCTTCTCGTTTGCGTCTTCATAAATGACACCATTGTGATTTAGAGGGTCGAAAGTGTCTTTGTTGTCATTACTTCTCATTTTCAGATAATTGTTAACTAATTTCCACCACATTTTTGAAATTTTACTGTTATTTATTTTATCATCAAATTTAGAATAATCATCTGATTTAGCTTTTTAGATGTTACACTATTTCTAAGTTTTCTGAATTATCAATTATTATCTTGATTTCTGCGTATGGCTACTTTATGCTGGCAGTTTCATTGCCTTGTTAGTCTACGAGTCAAATTATTCATCCGTGGCAAGTTACATGATCTTGTAGTTACATACCACCTCATTTGGAATAAAGGTACTACACAAACACAATTTTCCATTCCTAATTCAGTTGCAATATTGATGCCATTTCAAAGGATGTTTAACCAATCTGTATTTTGAAAACTTATATTCAATCCTTAAAAAATTGTCAGCTAAATCATAGTAATAAAGTTTTCTTTTAAAACAATATTGGATTGGTATTACATCACGAATAATAATGAAAACAGGGCAATGGTCTCTGCAAACAGAATCAAGTATACTTGAATTCAATACAGAATCAGAATTTGTTACAAGATTAAATCAATCAGCTGTACGTGATGTTTGGGTACTCCTAGTAGGTTCTGTGATAAGCTGTTTCATATCAAACATATGTTCAATGTTACTTATTTCTCACTAATTTTGTTGAATGTATCAGTATTGAAATCACCAACAACAATGCTGTTCATATTCATGTCGATACCATTTCCAATTGATTGACAAACTAGATCTCAGTATTCCTCGCTTTTGTCTGATCTATAAATAGTCCCTAACAAAACTTGTTTATTTTTTTATTTAATCTAAATCCATATCACCTGATGACTGGGGGTAGTTAAATGGTCTAAACCAGTTGCATATAGATGTTTCTTTACATAGACTGCCACTCTATCCCCCTTGTTACCCAATCTTTTCTAAAAGGTGATTGAAATCTGGGAATTTCTAAATCAGAACTTTCTATCGAATCATTTAACGAACTTTCTGAAAAACAAATAACATCATAATCACTTAAATCACTTTCAGTTGAATCAAGTTTTTCTCTTATTCTACATACATTGATGTGAACAATTTTCAGATCTCTACAAATTGGCCCAGGGTTTGGGTGGATATCTCCACAGCATAAAAGTAAATTGATTATGTACATTGAAAAGGATGGATGTTACAGGCGGAGAGATGAAAGTAGCATTTTCAAATGGTAGAATTTTCCTAAAGCATTACCGTGCAATTTCAAATAGAAAACACCAACCACCCGTTTGTAAGTTACTAGATCAATGGCATCGTACATTGTTGGAGAAGTAAGAACTTTGTTGGTATGGAGGGCAGTAAAAAAGTAAAATACATCAAATACTCTTGTAAAGAGCTGCATGCTGTTTGTGGAAATAAAAGGGACTGTGTTATGAAAAGGGTATACACATATTCTTGAAGTATTACTGAACATCAAAATAAAAAATTAAAAAGAATATCTGTTGACATGAAACAAAACAAGCATACAGGTGGGGTTGTGGAGACAAAGGGTCAAGTAACTATAGAATAAGGTGGGTATGAAATAATAAAGTGAAGTGACAAGTCATTGTGCAAGATAATGAGAATCGCTAATTAATACTGCATGACAACAATACAAAAAGCAATATTGAACTTATAGTTCATAAAACTGACTGACTGACTGAGTTTGGTTTTTACGCCGCTTTTAGCAATATTCCAGCAACATCACGGCCGGGGACACCAGAAATGGGCTTCACACATTGTGCCCATGTGGGGATTCGAACCCGGGTCTTCGGCGTGACGAGCCAACGTTTTAACCATTAGGCTACCCCACCGCCCATAGTTCATAAAAGATAATGGCAATTAATAACACAGAAATCAAAACAAATCAAACAGGTGTCAACAAGTATTCAGAACTTGAATTAACACCGTCAAACCAGGATGTTAGAATGAGTGACGGAGTGATATAGTTTTACGCTGCACTCAGCAATATTCCAGCTATATGGTGTCTGGACCTGACAAACCAGTGATCAACGGCGTGAGCGTCGAACTAAGCAATTGGGATACGATGATATGTGTCAACCGAGTCAGCGAGCCTGATCACCTACCGATCCCATTAGTCACCTTTTACGACAAGCATTGGTTACTGAAGATCAATTCTAACCCGGATGTTCATGGGTAGGATGTTAGAAACACATTCTACATGCTGTTGCATGCGCTGCATGCTTTCTCGTTAACAAATTCCCATCACCAGTAATGTAAAATGTGCGGCGATAAAGTCCATTTAGGATGAAAATAGACGAACGTTGTACAAAATAATAACAGAAAAAAACTAATTAAGAGATCCTGTAGTGGTGGCAAGAAGCATTGAAAAGTGCTTGTCGAGGAGAAACATTCATAAATTGGATTTAAGTGGTTTTGTGAAAAAAAAAAAGAAAACAAACCAAAAATATAACAATTTACCATGGATTTAGAATGGAAACTATTCATTTTGGAAAAATATGAGAGGTAAGTCACTAAGTGACAGTGTTTTCTGTAATTTATGATACAATGGTATTATTGGCTTTTTATTTACATTTAAGTATGCCCATCAATAATTATTGTCTTTGAATTGCTGAAATGGTCTTCAGCAACCCATGCTTCTCGTAAGAGTTGACTAAAGGGATCAGGCTCGCTGACTTGGTTGACAGGTCATCGTATCCCAATTGCATATGATGCTCATGATGTTGATCACTGGATTGTCTGGTCCAGACTCGATTATTTCCAGACCGCCACTATATAACTGGAATATTGCTGAGTGAGTTAAACAACAAACAACAAACAAACACAAGCATCTTACAGAGCCCAGTACTGTGGACGTAGTTGGCCAGGGGGCCTCCGCACTTCATCTCAGGGTGGGGAAAGCAGGGCATGGAACAGTTGGCTGCTGGTCCGTACTTCCCATACGAGTTGCCACAGAAACACTCGTACCCATTCTGTATTCCAGCATAGAAATAACCCTGACGAACAAAATGACATCTTCAGTAAGATAATCTTATAACAGTCCTGCAAGAGCGTATTTGTACTCATTCTGAGTGCCTGCATACAAAAAAGGAGGAAGACAATGTAAACTTTTGTGAAAACACTCTCATGACATATGCTTCAACCATGCCAGGTGTTGTAGAAATCCTGATACAATTACAGGTCTTTATATCGACATTATTGCAAAGTAAGTGAATGAGTGCGTGTAGTTAACTTGGTTTAACGCCACTTTTAGCAATATTCCAGCAAAATCACAGGGGAGACACAAGAAATGACTCGTATACATGATGTCCCCATGTGGTTAACTGAATCCGGTGTTTGGCGTGATGGGCTATCATCTTAACCAACAACTTCACCAACCGAACAGGCAAAGAGAAATGTCCAATTTCATGATTAAGGAACTGCCTGGAAATAAAATTCTCAAGCACTGGATGTTGTTTGTATGAGCTGTCATGCATGTGTAGCCGTGTTTATGCAGTTCGGCTCTGGGCTGCTGCTCAAGACGACACAAGGCAATGGTGATGAAATGAATTTTATTATGTGAAGAATGAAGCTGTTGCTGAGGTCAAACCTGAGAAGGGAAAGAATGTTTCCAGCTCAGCAACAGCAAGTGGAGTGAGGTGGAAAACAGGTGGCCAAAGGATGTAAGGTCAGAGGACACAATAGCCAATTAGAAAGTAGGTAGCACATCAAAGGAAGTCTTTGATGTGACCTATTAATAGAAAAGGGAAAATCCCAAATAATGGGTTACCTGGCTAAGAATAGAGAAGAAGTGAAGGGAAATCCTTGTTGACAAGGGTACATGAAACAGAAGGAAAAGGTGAAGATGTACAGAGGCTGCATTCAACGGCAAGACTTCGGACAACATGGAACAAATGAACATTTAACATTTGATGATATTTATGAAACATGATGAAATGAATTGTGATGTGATTCAGCACTAAAATAAAAAGCACTGCTACATTCACCCCCTTTGGGAAATGGTATGTCCTCGCCATGAACTAATCAGTCTGATCAGTATGGCTAAAGGTGAATACAGCAGAAAACACGAACCAGAAGAACTGGTAATCAGAAGACTGGTAATCAGTACAAATGGTAATCAGACCCAGACAACATTCTGCTTGACCTCCCACTGACCGTCCTTCATCCACTTTGGTTTGGAGCAGCGCGCTGTGGCGGCGCGCATCAAAGAGAGGCCAGATCCAGGTTTGGTCAAGTCAGAAGGCGCTGATGTTGGTGGTGTCAGATTCAAAGTCTGATTGGGCTGAACCTGAAGCAACAGGGATGTGTCTGGCTGCTGAGTTGCTGAAGTGTCAGCCTCTGAAGTGTTGCAAACTTCAGCATCCTGTTCGGATGAAGATAACTCCAGAGGGGACTGAGACAACTCAACCGAAGTGTCAGACACATTTAGCCGTGACGTAGGACTGCGTGGCTTGGGAATTGGCCTTCCGTCTGTACCAATCGGGAGAAGCATGTTGCGGTGGAGAACACGACATTCAGCAGTCCCTTCCCACGGACTTTAAAACTGGAATGCCTACATTCGGTTGTGCCTCCACGACATAGAAATCTTCTTCCCACCGATTGGCAAGCTTCTGTTTACCTCGAATGCCAACATTGCTAACCAACACCACATCACCAACCTTGACTGTTGCACCACGAGCTTTCAGATTATAAGCTTTCTGCTGCTTGGCTCGGCCTTTTCAAGGTTTGATGATGCCAACTCGTCACGCAGAATTCAATTTGCGCTTCAAATCAGCAGCAAACTGCGTATAAGTGGATGGAGGTGTGGTAGCTAAAGATAAGCCAAACATAGCGTCGACAGGTAGTCTGGGATTTCTACCAAACATGAGGTAAAAAGGAGAAACCCGGTTGACTCATGAACTGTGCTGTTGTAGGCGTGGACCAGATGAGATAAGTGATCTTTCCACCTTGCCTTTTCATGGTCATGCAAAGTACCAAGCATTCCTAGAAGCGTACGGTTAAACCGTTCAACCAAGCCGTTCCCCATTGGGTGGTAAGGGGGTGAACGAGACTTCTTAATGCCCATAATGCCGCAGAGAGCTGCTTGATCACATCGCTCTCAAATTACGCCTCTGATCGAATGCAACCTGCCTGGTGCACCATAATGAACAATAAAGTTCTCGAACAGTGCCTTTGCAGTTGTCCTTGCTGTCTGATTCGAGTAGGTATGGCAGCGGCATATTTCGTGAAATGATCCGAAATCACGAGGACATTTTCCTAACCACCGTAGATGGTTCGAGTGAAAGAAAGTCCATACAGACCAGTTCCATTGGTTGGGCGGCGACTGAACATTCACAAGAGGTGCTCTTTCTGTCGGATTGGGAGCTTTCCTGAGAATGCAGCTGACAACTATGGATATGGTCCCTCCACATCACCCATCATTCCAGGCCAATAGAACCTGGTAACGGAGAAGTGCTACAGTCCCGATCCCTACCAAGATGTCCCATTCCATCATGAAGATGTGTGATGATGGTCTCACGCTGAGATTTGGGAACAATCGTCTGGAAGTAGGGTGTAAGCCACTGTTACCCTGCTGTCTCACCAGAAGGTTGTTTGTCAGGCGCGCAGTGAATCCCACTGGACGTAAAATGTTGGCTGTCTCACGGTCAAGCGATTTAATTGTTCCCTTGGAAGGACGATCACCACTGCGAAGAAGTCCAACAATGGTGCAGATTGAAGGTCCGCCTGCTGAAACGCCAGCATTTTGTGATTCGCCCAACATCGGAAGAATTGGAATCGCCAACGGAGGTCATATGGCACAACACGCCATGGGTCACTGACAAAGTCTCTATAAATGGTGTGGTCTGTAAATTGTAGATAGCAGAAACCGACTTTATGTCTATTATTACCTCACGCGGTAACCTGGACAGCGCATCAGCATCCTTATTCCTCGGGCCTGGAATATACTCAATGGAAAAGTCATAGGTACCGAGGGCAGCGAAGCCAGCGATGGCCACAGGCATCCAACTTTGCAGAGGTCAGGACATAAGTCAGGGGTTGTTATCTGTCCAAACAGTGAAATGGTTACCGTTACAAATAGTTGTGAAACTTTTTGTTACGGCCCATTTTAGAGCAAGAAACTCTAACTTGTGAGCTGGGTAATTACGCCCGACCGAGATAGTCCCTCGGCTAGCATAGGCTATCACCGCTTCTTACCCTTCTTGCGCCTGATATAAAATCGCGACCGAAGGCCTTCACCACTAGCATCAATATGCAGTTCAAAGGACGAAAGTGAAGTCTGCGTAAGCCAAAACAGAAGCGCTGCTGAGCTTGCTCACAAGTTCACTGAAGGCAGTCTGTTGTTGTATACCCCAATTCCACTCATTATCTGTCTTGGTCTTGCTGGATTTCTTGCCACAGTGTCCAACTAACATATTTGTGAGAGGTTTGGCAATTTTGGCATAATCGGGAACAAAAGCGCCGATAGTACCCTGAGAAGCCCAAGAAACGACTTAACATCGTCCACATTCTGTGGAACTGGCCAGGTCTGAAGGGCTGCAATTTTCTCAGGATCGGGTGGTGATGCCGTCCTCAGAGATTACGTGACCCAGATATTTCACAGAGGTTTGCAAGAATTGGCACTTAGAGGGTTTCAACTTGAGGTTATTCTCACGCAATCGCTGAAGGATTGTTTCAGAATCTATCTAGATGCTCGAATCAAAGGTCTTAGAAAACACAATGACGTCATCCAGATAAATGAGGCACTGCAAAAGATGCATATCACCCATACAATCGTTCCATGAGACGCTGGAAAGTTGCAGGAGCATTCGTCAGACCAAAGGCATCGAATTGCACTCGTAAAATCTAATGGACCAACTGAAAGCTGTGCACGAGGCTTGTGCTCTTCTGCGACTTCTACCTGCCAGTAGCCGGACTTTAAATCAAGACATGAAAAGAACCGAGCCATGAAGTGCATCAAGGGTCTCTTCTATCCTGGGCAGAGCGCCGCATCAATCGCTTTAATCGTGTGTTTGTTCAACTCTCTGTAGTCTATACAAAAAGCTTAAGAGAGGAATCTTTCTTTGCGCGTCACGAAAGTACCACAGGGGAAGCATAGGGACTAGTTGAAGGGCTTATGACCTTAGCATCCAACATTTGTCTAAGATGATCCCTTACCTCTTGATACATAGAAGGCGGAATGCGGCGATGTCTTTCCCTGAATGGCTGTTCGTCGATGAGCTCAATCCTATGAGTTACTGAGTCTGTGTGCCCCATATCCAAGTCAGACTTACTAAAGACATCATCAAACTCAGATAGGAGAGACTTCAATTGGGAGATCTGCTCTGGGGTATGTGACTAAGAAAGAGAGGACAGATTGAACAATGTAAGTGGTTAGGAGATCCAGGAATAGCTCGGCCTTCGTCTTCAGAAGGAAGACCTTTAAGCAAATCAACTTGCTCTAAGCAGCAAAGAACTGTCTTAGATGGAATGGTGATTGATTTAGAAGAGGGATTCGACTTCAACCTTAACCCTAGTTGTCGACTGACCTGACTTAAAGTTCACAATGCCATTAACAAGGTTAAGGGAACCAGGAAGTGTGGGAGAAGAAGAGGCAAAAGTGTTTCCCTTTTGTGGTGGCTTACCTCGGCAAATACCAGTAACAATCTGATTGCAGAATGCAGGGACAGTAATCGACCTTGTTGTCCCGCGACACTTTCCGCACGATCGAGATCAACCCGAGAATTAACAAGCCACTGACACTCGCAGTCCACACTGGAGAAGATGAACCTGAGATAGGTGAACCCAGTAGACAGCAAGCATAATCCATGGCATTGGTACCAAGAACCAAGGGCACTTTATGGTGATATTGAGTTGTTGGTACTATGAGAATAGGAGAAAGTACCTGCACAGCTTCACCAAGAAAGTCACTGGGAATATCAATAACTGCATTAACATACCCAAGATAAGGTAGCTTACAATCCCCAGCTTTTAAATCTAAAAGTGACCCAAGGTCTAGAAGAGGGAGATGTTTGAGGTTCTGTTGGTGGAAGGCCTCTGACATGCTCGAGATCTGTGAGCCTGTGTCAAGGAGAACACTACAGGAGATACCTTCAACCTCAACAGTAGCTACATTAGATGGTCCCACAAGATTTGACGGGATCCAATTGGAGCTATTTTCAGAGTCCAATACTGGCTCCATAGTTTGGACTCTTAGGAGTTTAAAGGACGACAACCATAATGCCCCCTTTAACCCCAGGAGCCCCACAATCAAAGCAATATACTTGATTGGAAGTTGGTTGTGGGTAGCTAAAGAACCAGAATAACCAGAAGAGGAACCAGTAACGGGACCAGAGGAACCAGTAGAGGAACTAGAAGAGGAAATCGAGAGGGTTTGGCCTTATTTATGTAACTGTTGGGTTTTGAAGATGTTTTGTGCTGGGTATTGCATTGGGTGTGGTTCTCCAATGTTTTTACCCTTTCCCCTAGGACTCTAAGATTCTTACTCAGTTCCTTTAGGTAGAAATCACATCATCCATCTGTTGGCTGGTTGGTTGAGATGAAGATGACTGCATTAGATGTGCTTTCTCGAGGGATGCCAACTCTTCTTCAACTCGGCGGACAGCAAGCAAAAGCTTGTTAAATTCCAGTCCCCGAATCAAAGTGGTGACGAAGTTGCCTGCTTCAGGTCATCCCGAGAGAGACCCATCAAAAACGGCTTGAAGCAAACCAGTAGCTGCAGTAGGAGGGAGTGTGCCAGATGTCTCAATCTTTGAGATTAACTCGCATAGAGAGCATTAACTCCACTCAGCCACTGACTCGCGTTCCTAGCTTGGCGAAAGCAGTATAAAACTTCTCCATCAGAGTCTCGCCAGGCATTACATTCCCAAATACCACATCCAACTGCTCAAGGGCGTGTCCAGGGAAGCAGATTCTGATAGCCCACAAAGCAAATCAGCAGCTGAACCCTTAGCAGATCTCCTCATAGCATTGAGAATCATGTGTCAGAATAGGAATTCTCACGGCGACAACCAACAATCTCTAGGCGCCATTGTGAATACCTAACCTCGCCCTTAGCCCCATTTCCCGAAAAGGAAGAGAGTTTGGGACTGGGTGAATTTAGGATGGGCATATATGTTGTTTGGCTAGGTTGTAGAGGAGGATGGACACTCTGGTGATGAGAGCCTATGTGAAATGGTGTCGGAGTTGGCGCAGAAAGCTGAGGCCAGCCCTCCGTATGTGAAGTAGTAGGGTATGGTGTCATTGTACCATGACCGTATGATGTTAATATACCCTGAGGGTATGGTGTCGATGTGCCCTGAGGGTATGGTGTCAATGTACCCTGAGGGTATGGTGTCGATGTACCCTGAGGCTGAACAAGGCGAGGAATAGGAAGTGACCCCTGCTGCCTGGGTAATGACGCAGGTAACTTAAGCAAGGGACTATCCTCCAACTGCATAAGTGGAGAGGCTCTACCAGAACTCTGAGGAACGGTAGAGAACTGGGGGGACTGACGAGGCAGAGGTGTGTTCCTGTAAGCTGGAGGTGGCGGTGGTATGGAATGAGTAACATTCATTGGATGCCCACCTTCAGCCCCTATACAGTAAGTATTCTGCAATTGGTTTGATATGTCATCTGCCAATCGATCCAGAACCCCAGAGCGGAGGGACAGAGGAAGATGTTGCAGACATTCCATAGCCTCAACAACATCTGGGTCCACACGCTCCAAATTATACTCAGCCATAGTGGAAAAAAGTGAACAAGTAAGTGTAATAATGTACAAGGCTAGTGCCTAAAGTGTAATGGAGTAATGTCAAAGTGTCAAAAGTAACTGATGACAAATGAGTATATGCAAATGTACCTAACTAAAGGCAAAAAGAATCTCACAAGTTAAGATTCAACAACTTACAACACTACTATCTAAGTCTAAGAATAGCAAATGTTGTGGGGAAGATGAAAAAATTAACTCCTCCAAAAAGGATACAAAATGGGATGCATGGTACTGGAAGGTGTAATTGTGACTAAGTTTGAATGTAAAGGTTTAATCAAAGTGATTCAAGATAATACAACTAAGTGAAGTGCACTATGTTGTGTGACTCAAGTGACTTAAGTTATGTCAGATATATAATCTGAAGCGGAGTTAAAATGTTGTGTTTCTGAAACAGGTATGTTCTCAAAGGCAAGAGTGTATTGCTACAGATGTATGAATGTCCAGGGACAATAGCAAAGTGTAGCAGCAAAGTGTAACAGCCAATAAATGTAAACACCCAGATGTAAACAGGAAGTATGAAGATACAACTAGAATGTCAGCACCGAGATGTCAACAATATGAGCAGGGGAACTGTAGGACAAATCAACCTGAGCAACTCGTAAGCCAAGAGTAAACTGACAAGATATTGATAAAGTAAGCCACAAAGCTTACCAACAATGACAACTGTTATGCTGCGACAGTATGAATAATGCAACAATGAATATCAATGATGAAGGAACAAGACAACACAAGACGAGACACGATGTTAAAGACTCGCGAAAAAGCAGGGAATGAAGAATATCTCCACAGCGGTAGAGATAACGCGAAAGAAAAATACCGGGAACGCCGATAGCAAGTGTGGACGGAAGAGAAAGAGAAAGAATAAGGTGCAATAAATTTATCCTATCCTATTACATTAATATTTAACTACTATAATAGGTAATTGTATGCTGAAAGTATTATTTACTGAAACTGTGATATTAAATTGTTAACTTTGTCAATACAGATTATTTACTTGATTAGAATAAAATTCAATGATAATCAATGAAAATTACAATTGCCCAATTAAATTTATAAAAATATGAATATATATATATAGGCAATGTAGAAATAGAAATCTGTGCAAAGTTGTAGAAATAGAAATCTATTCAAAGTTGTAGAAATAGAAATCTATTCAAAGTTGTAGAAATAGAAATATAATGAAAATAGTATCTGGTGTATATACAATTGTAAAATGCTTAATGAATTTTTTCTTCTTTTTTTTTCAGGATGACTTCAAACACATGATCATGGCATCAATTCAATCGACTCAACAGTTCATTATGTACAATCAAAGTTCATGGGGCACATATATCAAGGATGTGGTTGAAAACACAGTTCTCCATGGATGAGATCAGTCTGTAAGCAAAATGTTCAGCTTGCTGCTGAGCGGCAGTCATAAGGCTCTCAGAGTCCCTGTGCAACAGTACTTACAGCTTATGAAGAATCCTCAGTCCATGAAATCATATTAAACACATCCAAGAATAATCCTCACAAAAAGGAGTCAATTGGTGCCACCAAAGAATATTCACATCATGGTCTCCCAACAGAGTTCATCCATATAGGCTGTTCACTCCAGATGAAGATGAGAATGGAGGTGAATGATGTCTGTCTTGAGACAAGCAGCCCCACGTTGGGTGCCAAATTTTAGCCGTGTTTATGCAGTTCGGCTCTGGGCTGCTGCTCAAGACGACACAAGGCAATGGTGATGAAATGAATTTTATTATGTGAAGAATGAAGCTGTTGCTGAGGTCAAACCTGAGAAGGGAAAGAATGTTTCCAGCTCAGCAACAGCAAGTGGAGTGAGGTGGAAAACAGGTGGCCAAAGGATGTAAGGTCAGAGGACACAATAGCCAATTAGAAAGTAGGTAGCACATCAAAGGAAGTCTTTGATGTGACCTATTAATAGAAAAGGGAAAATCCCAAATAATGGGTTACCTGGCTAAGAATAGAGAAGAAGTGAAGGGAAATCCTTGTTGACAAGGGTACATGAAACAGAAGGAAAAGGTGAAGATGTACAGAGGCGGCATTCAACGGCAAGACTCGGACAACATGGAACAAATGAACATTTAACATTTGATGATATTTATGAAACATGATGAAATGAATTGTGATGTGATTCAGCACTAAAATAAAAGCACTGCTACACATGCGTATTGGGTGGTTAAAGTGTATGGTCCTGCTGATCATTTGGAGTCTTAAATATTTTGCTCATGAATCTCTGATTTATCTGGTGACAAGATACCTTGAGGTAACAGTGATGTATATAGGACGAAGGCCACACCCCAGTCTGCCTACCTTGAGGTAACAGTGATGTATACAGGATGGAGGCCACATCCCAGTCTGCTTACCTTGAGCTAACAGTGATGTATACAGGATGGAGGCCACATCCCAGTCTGCTTACCTTGAGATAACAGTGATGTATATAGGACAAAGGCCATGCCCCAGTGTGTAAAAAAGATTTGGTTCCCCCATAGTAAAAGTTCCGTTGGAACTTTTCATTCCAATATTTGTTCTTGTAATAGTGCATGCGGAACAATTATTTCGTTCCGCATACACAGAATTTATTCCGGGTAAATAGGAACTTTCACACACATCCTAAAGTGTCTAAAAGAGGGTATTGTTTGTTGGGGTGGTCTTAAAAATTGCGGCGTGTTTTTTGGGGGGGAACGAAAGGAAGAAAGGATTTTTCCTATGGTATTTGTTCGATATGGAACAAATACTGTGGCTATCAAGAAGCAATTATCATGTGTGAAATTTCCTTAAAAGAGGACTCAATACAGTATTGTCGTCAGTGGCATCAATTGTCTTTATTGTGGGCATTGGTTTCATCTTTTGTTATGGCTATACAAAATAGCACTAAATAATGTCTATTGTAAAAAATCCAAATAAACACCATCACAATATTTCATAATATGTATTCACTTAGTGGCATATAGGCCCAACCTAATCACAAGCTAAGCCTTAAATTTGTTTAACATCATATAAATCGGTGGTTGTGTTATAGGGCAACCTAAACTGGCATTAGATATGGTTCACCTTTCTTTAAAAATCTGTGTATCTATTTCAAATTATTATTTCAATGATGTATGTATAATATCTACATGTCTGGTGATAGGGTCCTGTTCGAAATCCGGACAATACTGAAGAATTGTTCAAATATCGTTGTATTTTAATTTGATCTACAGTTTTGCTAAACCTACAGTGATCAATATGGCACATTCCGATGGTTGCTAATTTCTGGTTACTATTTATCACAAGCTTCCCTTTTTTTTGTTTTCTGTGGCATTTTCCTTGCATTTGTTTTCACAAATATACTCTACTGGAGCAGTGTATTCCTCTGCCTCCATAATCGGTCTGTTGCACCTTCCTGCAGTGTGTAGCAAATGGCCACTTGTTAATTTGATTTTCACCTAGATCTAACATGATTCACGTGTATTTCTGGCTACAGGAATCACAGATGTTGACAAGTTGGACGAGTCCATTTTCCATTCAATAATGACTGGAATAGGTTAGGCCTACGGTATTTGTTCCTGTTTAATGGAATATTTGCCGTATGTGCGGAATTTTTATTAGTGTCATCCATTCTTGATTTCATGGCATTTATTCCGAACCGGAACATTTACTACTCGGAACTAAATCATGTTTACAAGTGTGCCTACCTTGAGATAACAGTGATGTATACAGGACAGAGGCCACGCCCCAGTCTGCCTACCTTGAGATAACAGTGATGTATATAGGACGAAGGCCACGCCCCAGTCTGCCTACCTTGAGGTAACAGTGATGTATACAGGACGAAGGCCACGCCCAAGTCTGCCTACCTTGAGATAACAGTGATGTATATAGGACAAAGGCCACGCCCCAGTCTGCCTACCTTGAGATAACAGTGATGTATAAAGGACGAAGGCCACGCCCCAGTCTGCCTACCTTGAGGTAACAGTGATGTATATAGGACGAAGGCCACGCCCCAGTCTGCCTACCTTGAGGTAACAGTGATGTATATAGGACAGAAGCCACGCCCCAGTCTGCCTACCTTGAGGTAACAGTGATGTATAAAGGACGAAGGCCACGCCCAAGTCTGCCTACCTTGAGGTAACAGTGATGTATATAGGACGAAGGCCACGCCCCAGTCTGCCTACCTTGAGGTAACAGTGATGTATACAGGACGGAGGCCACACCCCAGTCTGCCTACCTTGAGGTAACAGTGATGTATACAGGACAGAGGCCACACCCCAGTCTGCCTACCTTGAGGTAACAGTGATGTATACAGGACGGAGGCCACACCCCAGTCTGCCTACCTTGAAGTAACAGTGATGTTTACAGGACAGAGGCCACACCCCTGGCTGCCTACCTTGAGATAACAGTGATGTATACAGGATGAAGGCCACACCCCAGTCTGCCTACCGTTTAGATAACAGTGATGTATACAGGACGGAGGCCACACCCCAGTCTGCCTACCTTGAGATAACAGTGATGTATACAGGACAGAGGCCACACCCCAGTCTGCCTACCTTGAGGTAACAGTGATGTATACAGGATGGAGGCCACACCCCAGCAGCGGGGTCAGTCAGGGGTTCATAGGGCAGATCACGGTCTTCCTTAACGTCTGTGAAACAACCAATCGCTACCCCAGACATCGGACCTGGAACCAAGGAATACAACACTCGAGACTTGCACTGTCAAACTCAAGGAAACATATATGTTAGCATGGACCTTTCATTTAAAATAGAATATTTTGAAAGATCTTGCAATAGAACCAGATCTGATTTGTTTGATGGGTTGCATGTAAAATAACATATCAAACATCCTATGAAGTTATTCTAGCATCCTCTCTTCAGGTATTCTCGGCATTTTATAAATGAGTGAGTGAGTGAGTTCAGTTTTACACTGCTTTTAGCAATATTCCATCAATATCACAGTGGAGGACGCCAAAAATGGGCTTCACACATTGTACCCATATGGAGAATCAAACTTGGGTCTTCAGTGTGACAAGCGAACGCTTTAACCACTTGGCTACCCTACAGCCCTATTTTATACATGATCACACACCCCACATCCGACACATACTATTGATTTTATAACTGCAGCTGTGTGGGTGACCCACTGATCAAACACAGTGGTTTTTGTTATATTGTTTTCAAGAATTGATGACTTTGACTTTTTTCTTATTATTTAAACTTTCATGTTAAAGATATTTTACATCTGTCTTGTAAGGTTCTCGACACAGACACGTTAATTACGTTTATCATACAAATATACCACTGTACATATCTTACTGGCTTTTCGTCACATGGGATACACAATCATCAGCAGTTTAAGTGGATACTAACTACATTCTGATGAAAATGTACAGTTCACTGTTAAGGAAAACAGAACAGTTTGATGTGAACTATGAACTGTGACGAGTCAGCATACCCCAGGGCTATTAAGGAAAACAGAACAGTTTAATGTGAACTATGAACTGTTACGAGTCAGCGTACCTGGGCTATTGAGGAAAACAGAACAGTTTAATGTGAACTATGAACTGTGACGAGTCAGCGTACCTGGGCTATTAAGGAAAACAGAACAGTTTAATGTGAACTATGAACTGTGACGAGTCAGCGTACCTGGGCTATTAAGGAAAACAGAACAGTTTAATGTGAACTATGAACTGTGACAAGTCAGCGTACCTGGGCTATTAAGGAAAACAGAACAGTTTAATGTGAACTATGAACTGGAATGAGTTAGCGTACCTGGGCAACCATACACCTCCCATCTGAGAGAAATCCTGTCCTGGTAGTCTGTGGGCCACAGCCTCAGGAAGCGGACATTGATGGGGATCATCAGGTAGTACTTCCTCACCGTCTTAGAGTCCCAGTTCCCATCAAATTGCTAATTATACAAAACAACAACAAATATATCTGTATGTAGTATGAAAAATGTAACAAACTATTTGGTCCCCGAGATGGGGGTAATTCAACATTTTCTTTGTTTTTAGTTAGCCAGGTCTGTGCTTCATTCCATGCAGAGTGAAAACATGTATTAACCGTTCTATCGGGATGCTTTTCATATGTCAGTGACTGTGTCACAGTATACAACAGCTACTCCCACTTTGGTCTACAGTCTGTTTGTACATCAGTCTGATCAGCTGATTCCACACTTCGGAACTTAAATTGATCATTTTGATCACAACAAGTACTAAGTTCAGTTTCTATACTTGTAAAACCTTCTATTATGTCTCTATTTATGATGAAAACTGTCAAGAAGACCTCATCACTAAGACATGTCATTACATGCAGACCACCATTTTGTTCCAGAGGCCTTGGCAGCGCCCTACTTCCATCTTCCTGGGGAGGGTACTTGAGAGTAAAGCAAATTATATGATTGGTCAGTTTTTTCTGTTTTCCTTTGAAATGAATATGTATGGAAATTAAAGACAAAGAGGTATATGATTGGCTGAAGTGTGTACAGACAAGCTTGCAATCTGTGCTACATAAACAGGGTGTTAAGATGAACAATTATTCAAAATGAAAGTACATTATTTTTAATTTAGATCTTGTATACCAGGTATTAATCTGAACTAGTTAAGACCGCTAAAAAGAAACTAAACCCTGTCTTTTTAATATTTTACTGACTGCACTGCTAATAAACGTTCAAGCAGCACCAATGTAGTCCTGTGAAAGTGCACCTTGGTACAGATTTTGAGATTCAGTTTTAGTTCTGGTTACCGTATATTACGGTAGATAAGCTGATCTCATAGATAAGCTGACCCTTAAAATCAGTATCAAAATGGTATGTTTCGTACTTAAGCTGACCCCCCGCAATGGAGTCCTAATCGCAGTCAACTCAGACCACAAGACAACTGGTACTTACTGATAACTCATTATTCGTAGCATCACAATCAAACTGAGTCTACTCACGCCTCAAAATGAAGTGTAGTTGACAGAAAATGGATACGTACATTTATATTTTGTTTCGCTAAATGTCATATTTATTGTAGCAGGACGAGCACAATTGTCAACAAACTGGCATGCTTATTTCACCTCATTCCAAGCACGTACAACTTCCTCTTACCTGATGTTCGTGAGGCTACACTTTTCGCTCCAACTGCGATAGCACCAATTTCACATTATTCTCAACAATCACAAACTGATTACCGCCTCATCATCCATAGACCGCTAGTTTACAATAACATCGTTGAAAACGTGTATGAAATGAAAAGGCATGCTTATTTCACCTCATTCCATGCGCGTACAACTTCCGCTTAGGATGTTCTTGAGGGCCCGTATAATGTTAGTGTTAATTACACATATTTTACATTTACAGAGCAAAACCTGTAATTAAAATTACAAAATGCTGAGATATATTTCTCTTGGTAAAATAACAGTTTTAGATATTATATTTTACCGATCACTGCGTCAGAATGTTTTAACTAGATCACCGGGAAACGTGTGCACAGCTGATTGCTATTTCCGGCTCTATATACGAGACAAATACACACAGTAATCTTAATCCTTGCATATAATATTAAAGCAATTAGAGCTGAAAATAATGTAAATAATCTTGTCTAGTGACATCTTCACTGACAAAGTCGTTTTCTCTTGTTCGTTCACACAAAACGATACGATACGATGTCATTTTCCTACTGGTCACCAGAAAAAAAGTTTGATGAAAGTGTTACCTGTAGATAAGCCGACCCCCTTCTACAGGCTGCTTTTATTTAGGTCTACAAAATTCAGCTTATCTACGGTAATATACGGTAAGATAAATCCCTTGTTCCACTGTACCTTCACAGTTGTTCCCTCGTAGTAAGGGAACCAGGTTTTGCCATCAGTAGATGAAGATAAGGTGTACTCTCTCACAAACTGGTTTTGGTCATCTCGGCCCTGAGTTGCTACTGCCGTCACCTCCACTACACGACCCAGGTCGACCTGGCAAGCATCAAACAGCAGGGCATCACAGTTAAATGCAACTCATGTTTCCTCCCAATGTACCAGTGAATCATACTTAATAAAATTACTCTGAACTATTTGATGGAATAATTGGAAGAATTATATATGAGACTATTTTATTCAGAAATAATATATTCCAATGTTGCACTGTTTTTGTCGTAATTTTTAATGAATATATTTTTCATAAGATTATGCATAGCACATTGGTCAATCTAACAGCTATGACTGGAAATAATTTTGAACTATTTGACAAATCACCATTGAAATGATTGCAAAAACATTATATTGATGTGTTATTGTCAAACTGCAACAAATATGACTTTTCATGAGTGAAAGTATGTACACTCATGTGCCATAATAAAGTTCACAAAATGCCCGCCATGTAATTTTCGCTAACTGTGATGGGATGTAAATAAAGTTTGATTTCAAAATAATGCCTGATGCCACTTACCTGATATTTTCAGTATTTAGTAATATAGCCATTTACTGCAAGTACAGCCCTCAATCGCTTAGGTAGAGTAGAATACAGTGATTTTATGTACTCTGGAGTAAGTGATGTCCAGATACCTTGAACCACAGGCCCTCATGTCTGCGTGAGGATTAAAGACGTTAAAAAAGCATAAAACATTTGAGATGACCCCCGACACGAAATGCTTCACAGTTCAATACATTATGACAAGGCCGGACACTTCGGTGTACCTACCCGCCTGCTTTACCGATTGCTAGGCTACCATCGCATGCAATCAATTAAAACTTAATGTAAACATAATCATGGATGATGGCCTATCGAGCACCACTATGACACCTACCACTTCTTTATTGTTATTTATGCAAGTCGACTGAAACCCGATTTTGACCCCCAACTAAACGATCTTGACACAAATGGATGACGATGTGTCCGCACAAAACGAGGGTGTGGTCAAAGCAAGCCCTCTGGTTGGTTGGTCCTTGTTTAGGAGACATTTACAACTGATGCTTTCTCTGTGAAGCCATTGCTCGAAAAATATTCTTACATTTAGAAGTCGATGAAAGAAAAAAAATCCCACGAATTTATAAAGAAATGCAGATTTGCAAGCTTTGACCAATCAGAGGGCTTGCTTCGACCACACCCCTGTTTTGTGCGAACATATTATCATCCATTTGTGTCAAGATCGTTTAGTTAAGAGTCAAAATCGGGTTTCAATCGATTTACAGAAATGACAATATAGAATTGGTAGGTTTCATGATTGGTGATCGATAGGCCAATCATCCATGATTATGTTCACATTAAGTTTAATTGATTACATGCGATGGTAGCGTAGCGATCGGCAAAGCAAGCAGGTAGGGTATACTGAAATGTCCGGCCTTGTCATAATGTATTGTACTGCGTAGCATTTCGAGACGGGGGTCATCTAAAAAAAATAAAAATTTGTAATCATTAATCTTCGCAAAGACACGAGGGCCTGTGCCTTGAACGTGATCTATCAGATGCTGCTTGTTTTTTGCATTTCATGTAACTGTCTCTGTAGCCTGATTTTCAGAGTTCTCCTTACATTTTCAATGATATTACAGTCTGGGGACTGAGGAGGCCAATTCATTGTCTTAATGTCATTCTCACGTTTCCACTGAATTGTCTGTATAGAAACATGGACAGGACAATTCTCCTCTTGAAATATATAGCCCCAACATGTTGGAAGTTTGGCTATTATTGGCCAAAGGTTGCTGTCCAGTATATTTATATACTTTGTAGAGTTGATATGACCATCTACATCGACAAGGGTTCCAACACCTTCAAAACAAATACACCACCAAAACATCACACTGAGACGTGGGGCATTTCTATCTCTATACACACCAAGGCACCGGGGTTTCCACTTTTCTTCATTAGTCCTCCAAATATAAACTTTCTGATCTTTTCCTACAACAATTTGAGTCTCATCTGAAAATATTACCCTAGACCAATCTCTATTTACATTCGATCTCAAAGGCTCTTCTCTTGAACCTGTTTTGAGTGGATATGGTGGTTTTCTTCTTCCCAACTCTTCTATGAAAACCATTTTCATGAAGACGCCTTTGTATTGTCCTCCTTAATAGTCTTACTTGAGATGTCTGGTTCCAAAGTAAAGATATATCCTGAAGAGACTTCCTCCTGATACACTTAACAATCTTCAATAAAGCTTCAGTCAGTTGATTTTCTTCTCCTGCCACTTCTCTGACGATTTTCTGTATTTCCTCCTTGAGAAAACCTCTTCAGAAATTTACAGACAGTAAACCTATTAATTCCAGTTATTTTACCCATTTCACTTCCACGCTTGCCTTCTGAATTCAAACTTAATATGAGCTTTTTCTGATAGGCAGTAAGATCTTTCCCTCTAGGTGCCATGACACTTTGAGCAGACATCAAACTAAGCACTTGAGAGTTATTCCCCTTTCGTTTACAAAATGTAACAAGTGTTAAGTCAAATTTGTACCCCCTAAAATTTCAGACCCTACTGCTAAGTTGAAATAGACTTTCATTTAAAATTAAAAGAACTAGCCACTGCTGGCAAGAATCACAGTGGCAATTTTGTGAACTTAATACGGCACATGAGTTTATGTATGTATGAACTGTAACAGACATAGTATTGACTGACCCAGAAACATAATCAAGGCAAAGTTTGATTCAAACCGAGGAACCCATGGACCTGCTCTGACAACTTGGCTATCCATGTCCCCACTTAGTATAAACCTCCATCATTGTACATGAAAGCTCAGACCGACCTGAATGTACTGGTTCTTGTCGTTATACTCTGCCTCCCAGGCCCCGATGTAGTCGCCCTGGGCGGGCTGGTTCAGGCGGGACCGTTGAGGGCCGTGTTCCGAGTTGAGGGAGGATGAAGCTGTGAGCTGACTGTCATCAATCTTCTGTGGTCCATCAATCAGAGGAATCTCTCGACATGCTGAAACAGGGGTTCTTCTTCAGTTACTGTCAAGATTCCACCCTCTCTCAGGAATATTTGATTGTTAACTGTACAACAATCCATTAATCTGGTATAAATATCAAAATCAATTTCTCCGTTTAACATTCGGACAGCTCAGTGAGAACCTACTGATGGGACACACAAAGAAGTCGACTCTGAGGGCGACTGCTGTATAGTAACTGATGACTGTGAGGCGAACATATTGGGCTTGGAAGTGAGACTTCATGAAGTTGGTGACAGAGACATTGTTGATGGTATTTCCAGTAAATATCTGAAACAAAGTGTGAAGAGAGTGTCTATTACAGTGCATGACTATTTGAGGCAACAATATTGAGGGTAATATTTAAGACATAGAATGGTGCTGTCAGAGCAGGATGAATGCATGTTCAGAAATGACTTGTGATTCACATTGCCATAAGCAATATTCCTACTATATGACAGAGGTGTGTCACCAAACAAATGTGGGTCAGACAATCCAGTAAGTGTCTATCCAAATCTGTGCGGTATGCCTGAAAACCAATCAATGAACTCCCTCTTCAGATCAGCAGTTTGTTGGAGACCTACAGGGGGGTCCTTAGGAGGACAGACAATGACCTACAAGGGACCTATAGGAGAACGTCAGTAGACTTACAGGGAACCTACAGTGGACATTCAGGGGACTCACAGTGGACCTACAGGAGATCTTCAGTGGACCTGCATTGGACCTACAATGTAGCTACAGTAGACCTTACAGTGGACCAAAGTCGACCTCTCGACGGTGGGGCTCTGGAATTTTTTTAGATTTAGCACGGAAATATACAATTTCCTGCATTTTCTGGGCATACCTGACCAGATAAGACAACTCAAATTTATATATTTCAATGGATATTTACTAAACTTATTTCAAACATTCTAAATTCATAACATATTTTTTATTTTCTCAAATCGGAGAGCGGAAGTTGTATTTGAAAATCAGAGTAACTCCGCCAAAATTGGAGTGGATGGCATCTGTGTTAACCGAATTTGAGCCACAGTTGAGTTGAGTTGGGCTTTACGTCACATCGGCATTATGCCAGCCATATAGAGCAAAACTGCATTCATAAACTTTTTGAGCCATAGGGACATAGAGGATGTTATGAGCATGTGTTGCTGAATAAAGTTCAGTTTGATAAATTTTCAGTTTAAACAAATATAATATTTCAGTCTTACATAATCTGTTCCATATGGTTGCTGGTAGGTGAAGTATTGAGGGCTTCCGTCCTGAATCTTGTACATCACTTTGTACTTGGTGACCCACTCTGGGGCATCTGGATTGCCTTCTGTGGTAACACCTCGTATGACCTTTACAGATCCAAGGTCAATCTCCAGCCAATGTGCTGGGTCAGATAATTTCGGCTTCCAGCAGGACGGGATATAATGTACTCCATTAGCATGGAGGCGACTATCGTGTGGAGTGTGTTGAGGGTCAAGAATACTGGAGGCACTGAAGCCACCATCTTGGACAAACAGAGGACCACTCACTCCGTAGTCTGCATAGCAATCCTCTGAAAGTAGTGGAAATAATTTGCAACTTTGATGATAGACAGAGTGATTAAACATGGAATCAGCTATCATGAATATCACCATAATCACCCAAAAACTAGGCAGTAAAATGACAGATGGAATGTGCAAACTTGTCAATGCAGACTGGGCTATGATAAGGCACATGTATGAAGGTCAAGGACCTTCGTTGGTACCAGGGTCCTGCTTGCCTCAGATTCAACATAGCAATGGAAAAGTCATCTTCCCTGGAATCACCCTGGAACTTGTGCGAGGTACTAAGGAACCATTTTGTCATGAAACCACAACATAACAACAAAGATGGGGTCCCAAGGACTGATTCTGCCTTGCAATCACTATTTGAACATGCATGGGGTCCTGAAGATTGATTCTGCCTTGCAATCACTATTTGAACATGCATGGGGTCCTGAAGATTGATTCTGCCTTGCAATCACTTTTTGAACATGCATGGGGTCCTGAAGATTGATTCTGCCTTGCAATCACTATTTGAACATGCATGGGGTCCTGAAGATTGATTCTGCCTTGCAATCACTTTTTGAACATGCATGGGGTCCTGAAGATTGATTCTGCCTTGCAATCACTTTTTGAACATGCATGGGGTCCTGAAGATTGATTCTGCCTTGGAATCACTATTTAAACATGCATGAGGTCCTGAAGATTGACTCTGCCTTGCAATCACTATTTAAACATGCATGGGGTCCTGAAGATTGATTCCGCCTTGGAATCACTATTTGAACATGCATGGGGTCCTGATGATTGATTCTGCCTTGCAATCACTTTTTGAACATGCATGGGGTCCTGAAGATTGATTCTGCCTTGCAATCACTATTTGAACATGCATGGGGTCCTGAAGATTGATTCTGCCTTGGAATCACTATTTGAACATGCATGGGGTCCTGAAGATTGACTCTGCCTTGCAATCACTTTTTGAACATGCATGGGGTCCTGAAGATTGATTCTGCCTTGCAATCACTTTTTGAACATGCATGGGGTCCTGAAGATTGATTCTGCCTTGGAATCACTATTTGAACATGCATGGGGTCCTGAAGATTGATTCTGCCTTGCAATCACTATTTTGAACATGCATGGGGTCCTGAAGGGTCCTGAGGATTGAAGATTGATTCTGCCTTGCAATCACTTTTTGAACATGCATGGGGTCCTGAAGATTGATTCTGCCTTGGAATCACTATTTGAACATGCATGGGGTCATCAGGAGTCATTTGGTCTCAAATCTAATCAATGTGTAATCTTGTGACTACCTTCAATACATCCAAGGATTTCCCACTTGAGAGATATTCCCTTGTTCCATGCTGTGGGCATCAGCTTGATGGATTTGGCTTCTATAGGGAAGTTGAGGAATATCTCTACCGCTGTGTCACTGTCCATGCAGCCTGTAAACACCTGCAGTGTAAACAAATGGATAGTCTCACACCAACACATGGATAGTCTCACACCAACATGTGAATAGTCTCACACCAACACATGGATAGTCTCAAACCAACACATGGGTAGTCTCACACAAACATGTGGATAGTCTCACACCAACATGTGGATAGGCTCAGACAAGCATGTGGATAGTCTCACACAAACATGTGGATAGTCTCACACCAACACATGTATAGTCTCACACAAACATGTGGATAGTCTCACACCAACACATGGACAGTCTCACACCAACATGTGAATAGTCTAACACCAACATGTGCATAGTCTCACACCAACACATGGATAGTCTCACACCAACATGTGGATAGTCTCACACAAACACGTGGACAGTCTCATACCAACATGTGGATAGTCTCACACCAACACAAGGATAGTCTCACACCAACATGAGGATAGTCTCACACGAACACATTGATTGTCTCACACCAACATGTGGATAGTCTCACACCAACACATGGGTAGTCTCACACAAACATGTGGATAGTCTCACACCAACATGTGGATAGGCTCAGACAAGCATGTGGATAGTCTCACACCAACATGTGGATAGGCTCACACCAACACATGGACAGTCTCACACCAACATGTGAATAGTCTAACACCAACATGTGCATAGTCTCACACCAACACATGGATAGTCTCACACCAACATGTGAATAGTCTCACATAAACACATGGATAGTCTCACACCAACACATGGGTAGTCTCACACAAACATGTGGATAGTCTCACACCAACATGTGAATAGTCTCACACAAACACATGGATAGTCTCACACCAACACATGGGTAGTCTCACACAAACATGTGGATAGTCTCACACCAACATGTGGATAGGCTCAGACAAGCATGTGGATAGTCTCACACCAACATGTGGATAGTCTCACACCAACACATGGATAGTCTCACACAAACATGTGGATAGTCTCACACCAACACATGGACAGTCTCACACCAACATGTGAATAGTCTAACACCAACACATGGATAGTCTCACACCAACATGTGAATAGTCTCACACAAACACATGGATAGTCTCACACCAACACATGGGTAGTCTCACACCAACACGTGGATAGTCTCACAGAAACACATGGATAGTCTCACACAAACATGTGGATAGTCTCACACCAACACATGGACAGTCTCACACCAACATGTGAATAGTCTAACACCAACACATGGATAGTCTCACACCAACATGTGAATAGTCTCACACAAACACATGGATAGTCTCACACCAACACATGGGTAGTCTCACACCAACACGTGGATAGTCTCACAGAAACACATGGATAGTCTCACACAAACACGTGGATAGTCTCACATAAACACGTGGATAGTCTCACACAAACATGTGGATAGTCTCACACAAACATGTGGATAGTCTCACACCAATATGTGGATAGTCTTACACCAACATATGGAGTTTCACACAAACATATGGAGTTTCACACAAACATATGCATGTCCTAGTCCCACACAAAATCATGGAAAATCCCTAAAAGTAACTTAAAGATACTTTAAAGCAAGTACCCTAAAGCAAATACCTTATCGACCCCTAAGTACTTTCAAGCAAGTACCTTATTGACCCCTAAGTACCATCAAGCAAATACCTTATTGACCCCTAAGAACCATCAAGCAAGTACTTTATCGACCCCTAAGTACCATCAAGCAAGTACATTATCAACACCTAAGTACCTTCAAGCAAGTACTTTATCGACCCCTAAGTACCATCAAGTGAGTACCTTATCAACCCCTAAGTACCTTCAAGCGAGTACATTATCAACCCCTAAGTACCATCAAGTGAGTACCTTATCGACCCCTAAGTACCTTCAAGCGAGTACCTTATCGACCCCTAAGTACCTTCAAGTAAGTACCTTATCAACCCCTAAGTACCTTCAAGCGAGTACCTTATCAACCCCTAAGTACCTTCAAGCGAGTACCTTATCAACCCCTAAGTACCTTCAAGCGAGTACCTTATCAACCCCTAAGTACCTTCAAGTAAGTACCTTATCAACCCCTAAGTACCATCAAGCAAGTACCTTATCAACCCCTAAGTACCTTCAAGCGAGTACCTTAGTAAGTACATTATCAACCCCTAAGTACCTTTCAACAAAGTACATTATCAATCAACCCTAAGTACCTTCAAGCAAGTACCTTATTGACCCCTAAGTACCATCAAGCAAGTACCTTATTGACCCCTAAGTACCTTCAAGTGAGTACCTTATCGACCCCTAAGTACCTTCAAGTAAGTACCTTATCAACCCCTAAGTACCTTCAAGCAAGTACCTTATCAACCCCTAAATACCTTCAAGCGAGTACCTTATCAACCCCTAAGTACCTTCAAGTAAGTACCTTATCAACCCCTAAGTACCATCAAGCAAGTACCTTATCAACCCCTAAGTGCCTTCAAGCGAATACCTTATCGACCCCTAAGTACCATCAAGCAAGTACCTTATCAACTCGTAAGTACCTTCAAGCAAGTACCTTATCGACCCCTAAGTACCTTTAATCAAGTACTTTATCAACCCCTACATACCATCAAGCAAGTACCTTATTGACCCCTAAGTACCTTCAAGCAAAATTTTGTCAAGTAAATACCTTATCGACAGCTGGCGGGTCCTGGTATGTGTACCATGGGCTGAAGAAGTCATACTGATACATTAACTTGAACTTGGTGACCCACTCTCCAATGTCGCTGCGTCCCACAATCTGAATCCCGCGGGTGATGATGATGTTGTAGAAGGTGGCAGAGATCCACTGACCTTGAGCAGTCATGGCTGATGACCATCCACCTGGAAGGAGGAAATTGGTCATAACATTTGTAGGACATTCTAAACTGCTAGAGGCAAACACGTCTCTACATTATAAATTTGGACACTGATTACAGAAATCATATTTGTTTTAGTCAATATCGCTAGAATTGCAAGGAAGTTACTTAATATCTTCTTGTTCCCTTGTCGCTTACCCCCACCCTGCAGTATTCCAGCTACTTGACCTGCCTGAGTCAGTGATTGATGTAATGGGCAACACCCCATGTCATCAGGATACGATGACACGTCATCAACCAAGTGAATCTTAGTACCCTATCAACTAAACTTGCAAACGATCTATGAGAACTGGTTCAGAATTACGACAGTCAAATGTTCTTGTCAAGGAGAACTGCCAACATTGGATTTTTACTCATCAAGACAATTTAGTAGTCTAGCATGTAATCCAGTATACGGGGGTGAATTCTGAAAGCTGCCTGTCTACACATTCATCTTACTACCTGTGTTTCCTGGGATGAGTCTTGATGCCTCGGGTCCATGACTGGGGTCTCGGGCTGACTGTGCCACTAGCGCCCCCTGTCCTGGTGGAAGACTGTAGTTCCCTGATATCATAGGCTCAGCCTTGCACAGATCTGGAGAAGGAGAAGGAGCTCATTGCTTTCACAAGTAAAGATTATAAGTGAACTCACTTGCGGCACTGTAGCTCACCTTGTATTTAGTCAGCAGGAGCTGTCATCATATTCAAATATTATCTGCATAACACTGAGGACAAATGTTAAAAAATGTTTAAAAAGTAATAAACAAACAAACAAATACCAAATATCCACAATGTTTCTACATCTGCAACAATGAATGTACAATTCTATAACACTGTTGCAATACATTACATTTAAATAATGACTGAAATTAAACAATTTTGCTCCATTTGAAACCATTTTGGAGAAGAATCATAAAAATTTAAAATACACCTCTGCCAGGGGGCTGGATGAGTTGTGATAACAAAAGCCTACATAGCCGTCTAGACCAGATGAGCTATGATATGGAAACCCCCACCATAGCATGTTATTAGCAATGTGAATAAGGCAAGATCAGTATTTCAAACTGCCACACAAGAAGCTTTCAAAATAAGTGCTTCTGAATATGTGATTTTTTTTCAAGGTAATGCCATATCAATAAAATAATGATCTGGTCAACCAATGACAAAGTGAGGGAGTGAGTTTAGTTTTACGCCGCACTCAGCAATATTCCAGCTATATGGCGGTGGTCTGTAAATAATCAAGGCTGAACCAGACAATCCAGTGATCAACAGCATGAGCATCGATCTGCGCATGTGTCAACCAAGTAAGCGAGTCTGACCACCCGATCCCGTTAGTCGCCTCTTACGACAAGCATGGGTTACTGAAGATCAATTCTAACCCGGATCTTCACGGGTCAATGACAAAGCATGATTCTAAACTGTCATGACAGAATAGTACTACATGTATGCCATGTTGGAAGAGATCAAGAACATCACCTTTTCCCACTGGTGTTGTCTGAGTTACTGATGGAGCTATGGTCGTCTCTGGTGATGCTGCAACAGAAGATACGTCACATCAGGGAACATGTACATCATGTAATCCAGACATGTTAGGGATTGAAAGTTTAGTCTGGAGAAGGAGAGAGTTAATTCAGCAGTTGTATCCCCTGCTGTCATAAACAGGACACAAAGACCAACATTTATTAAATTTCTCAAAACAAATATATACAACATAATTTCAGTATCAGCGATGCAAAGGGCAAAATGGCAGTGAAAATGATGACTGGGTCACTGAAAACCAGTGATGATGTCAGGTGTTCACTGAAAGAATAAGCACACCCTACCCTATAGGATAAATGCGAAAATTTCAAGAATCTACAGTAATTATGTAATAAAAACATGTCAGTGTAATTAGCTCACCTGATTTCTCGCAGATGTAGTTGTTGAGTACTGAGCACTTCTTGTCGTTCCACTGGTAGCTCCACTTAGGGACCATCTGAGAGCAGTCCTCCTCGCCCATCGAGTTGGGTTCACCTGTAGATTATTCAGGAGATCCCTGATCAACAGCAGCAATAACAACACAAACAGATGAAGCCGATTCACTGAAGCATCGTGAACATAGTGTGGTCCCCTATTCAACAATTCAAACATTCATCCAATTCATGAAAAGGTTCAAATGACAACGGGTTGGCAGACAGTCAGTTGTGACCACACTGATGAGACTAATATCAAATCACAGATAACATTTCCTTCTCAAGTCATCTTCATTCATGGGCTACATTTTTTATATGGGGGCCCTTCTGACTAGGGGCCTGAGGCCCTTTTGACTTTTTGATATGGCCCTTTTGACTTTTTGATGCGGCCCTATTGCTAAGGCGTTTGTGGCCCTTTTGACTTTCTTGTGGCCCTTTTGACTAGGACCCCAAGATTTGACATCATCATCATTGTTGTGTGTAATTAGGACAAATAACCTCAATGAACTCGATCAACAAATGATTAAGGGAGAATTATAGTTACCATCCCATTGCAGTGGCTGATATTTGGTCTGAAGTCAATGTCAAAACATTACTGGTGGTCCGATTAATTGAAATAATCGAAGATTGGTCGCAATGACGCAACGACCAAGCAATCGATCCACTTTCTCATAATCGAACACAAACAATTCTGGAACACTTGTTTGCATTAACAATATATTTCACAAGGTTGGTTTTGTCTGTTACATTTCATAAACATTACAAGCTCGTTCCAAGTCAGGATTCAATTTATCTTAAAGACTCCAGGAAATATATGTTCCTAACATACTAGTCATCCTTTAAAGATGTTAAATTTGCACATGCATTTTGTGGAATTTGCAAAAAGACTCATAAGAACTACATGTTTTTTCTTTGTTTTTTGTGCAGTAACAAACATAACCAGAAAAATTTGATAAATGATGCTGACCAATTATTTTCGATGATTGATCGGTTGTAATGTACCAATCATCAATTATGAGACTTTATCCAATTCCCAACACTACAAAACATTCCCAACTTAGAATTTTCAAATTCATGCTGTCATATTCATAATTAAAATGACAGTTTTGAGGAGTTGACTTCTATTTTACTGATAACAAGACCAGAGTTGATTAAATGAATTTAGGTTACAATAATGCATTGAATTCAGTGTCAAATATTTCAATGTGAAATATCAATGAAATTTCAATGTGAAAATATAGACTTTTTAAAAATTCTGAAATTTTGAACAAACCAAAGATTTTTCAATATTTGCCTGTCACGGCCTAAATATATCCCTGCATTTTCTGTCCTCAGTTGTGAACCAGAAGCATGCATCTCTGCATCCCTGATTCCTACCTGGATGCCAGTTGACATATCGGAACGGTGCCTTGTTGCTCCACTCCCATCCTCCCTCTCGGTTCTTGTCATTGGCACCGATCCAGAACCACTCTTGGACAGCAGCATACTCACCAGCAGACAGGACAGCTGCAAAAGCATGTAGTAAAATTCAACAAAATTAAGCACCTAACATTTGTATGTCTAACAACCTGATTGACCATGGAATACACAAAGAGAATTTGCATTGAGGTGTGACATTTGATCTACCACAGAATTCCCATAGAGAACCTACATTGAGGTCTGACAACCTGATCTAACCTGGAATTCCTATAGAGCACCTGAATTGAGGTCTGACAACCTGATCCACCCCAGAATTCCCATTGAGCATCTGAATTGAGGTCTGACAACCTGATCTACTCCAGAATTCCCATATAGAACCTGCATTCAGGCCTGACAACCTGATCTACCCCAGAATTCCCATAGAGAACCTACATTGAGGTCGGCAACCTGATTTAACCTGCAGTGCTGGGGACATGAATCTGAACACATGTGTACCTTGCAGAAAGGTTTGTTCTTTCGGCCCATCTATGCTGACCAGGTCAGACCCCTGTCTGAGGCAGTCTGCCCTGGCATCCACCCAGTTCTTGGTAGCCCCGACTATCACCTGGTAGCAGGAACTCTCCATGCCGTTGAAGATCCAGTTGGGTCCACATCGGTAGGACCAGGGAGCTGAAACAGATTTGTCAATGCTGAAACATGTACAGACAGTGGAAGGGTGAAGGTCATTTGACGAGGGAGCTGAAACAGATCTGTCACTGCTGAAACATGTACAGACAGTGGAAGGGTGAAGGTCATTTGACAAGGGAGCTGAAACAGATCTGTTACTGCTGAAACATGTACAGACAGTGGAAGGGTGAAGGTCATTTGACGAGGGGGCTGAAACAGATCTGTCACTGCTGAAACATGTACAGACAGTGGAAGGGTGAAGGTCATTTGACCAAGGTGCTGAAACAGATCTGTCACTGCTGAAACATGTACAGACAGTGGAAGGGTGAAGGTCATTTGACGAGGGTGCTGAAACAGATCTGTTACTGCTTAAACATGTACAGACAGTGGAAGGGTGATGGTCATTTAACCCCCCAAGGTGGCTTAACTCCACATATTCATGTAAAATATGTGACCATAATCAATATTACCCTCTTGATTCTGACTTGCTTACATACAAACATGGCAAAATATTTTCAAAAGCCCACTGTATTAACCAAATGTATCTTACTGACTTCACAACTGAAGTGTTCTGGATTTGGAACTTTGGTGGAACATTTGCCAGCAGAGAACCACAGTTATCTCCCTTACCTGTGACGGCTGCACCTGGAGTTGCTGTGGCACCGACTGAAAGAGAAGAATCATCAAATCATGAAATACCATAAACATCAAATCATGAAAGTAAACATGATCTATATATATACATATCCATTGATTCACATGGTTATGAAAGTCTGGAAGCCTTCAAGTAATGTTTGATGATGACCTCCAACACAGTGACTCACTTGCAGGGCTCCGGCAGATGAAGTTGTGTTGTTGCTTGCACCAGTTGTCTCGCCAACTGCCAGGGTAGGGCGACCGGACAAACTGGGCGTCGACACACTCCTGGCCCACCTGGTCATGAGAGTTAGGCTCTCCGGGGGCGAAGTTGTTGAACGTCAGCTGGAAGCAAACAAAAGTAATTAGTGAAAACATTAGTGCCTGTTAATGTTAATTTCTTGATATAAAGATATGCTCAATGCTTACGAATTATGGGATTGGCTTGTGGTTCAATTCCCGATAGGGTATAATGTGGGAAGTCATGATTGGTGTTCCCCCTTGTGTTTGTGCTCTAGTACTGCTAAAAAGAGGCTTTAAACAAAACTTATTCACTCTAAATGTTTGGAAGTCATCAGTGGTGATTTGTGGAATAATTTTAAAAAAATTGTCTCTGTTTTTTAAAAAAGATTTATAGAAGGCTCTTTAATGTGCAGGTTTTTATTTATAAACTTTGTCAAACTTTGGTCTATGCCACCCATTGTTTGGGCATCAATATATCAGTATTGTGAATATGGAAGTACAGAAAAATGAAAGAAAATGTTTGAACTGATCAATGTTCAAAACAACTGATGCATAATCCTGCAAACCAGAGATGTGATTCTCAACATAGTTGTCAGGGAAACGGTGTGTGGGGTAGCTCAGGGGTTAATGTGTTCACCATGCTGAAAGCCCAAGTTTCATTCTTCATCAATGAACATCAAATCATGAAAATACCACGAACATCAATTACAAGCTCATTATATCATCTGATATGATATCTTTGTGTGTCTCTGTGTCCTGTGTTTCAATTCCATTAAAAAACGGCATTAAACCAGACTCACAAACATTATGACAGACAGAATAGAATGACAAAAGCAAAGGAGTTATACTGACAAAACACTGAAGAAACAACATGACATTGTCCACCAAGGTAAAACCAACTTACTGGTGTATTGTCAACCCAGATAAAATCATGGTTTGATGTCTGTCGATCTCGTTTGAGTCCTATCCATGCATTTCCTTGTTGTAGCATTTTTTCTGGAACATACAACCAGAGGTAGATATTACAACAGCCCTTAAACGGTTAGCCATCTTAAGGAATGGGAAATCTTATACTGATCTTCAGATTTCTACAAAAATATTATTAAAAATTATCCATGTTGATACTTGCATGCTTTGGTGTTAAGCATCACATTTTTCGAGCAGAACAATTCTTTCATTATCTGATTTCCTGATCTCATCTACATACATGCACCTATTCATTATATTCCCACACAAACATGCATTTATGTGTGCATAACATAATTTGTTCATGTCAGAAGTACAAAGAAGGATGCTGATATCCTCCAGTGGTGTTCTACTTGATCAGCCTCTGTCTACCTCTACGGTGTCTGACTGTACCTTCTCAGTCTGCAGTCCCCAGTTATGGAACTCTCTGCCATCTGAACTAAGAAACACCAAATCCAAAGACCTTTTCAAGACTCTAGTTAAAACCCTCCTCTTCCACTCAGAATTCCACGAGACAGGATTGTGTGGATATATGTGCATGGTTTTGGTTTTAACTTTTTCATAGCGCCAGTAAGCACCTGTCGATGGGCACTAGGTGCTATAGAAATCAATTATTGTTATATGTGCTTGAGTGAACCATGTTCAACAATATCATGGGAACTGGTATATACCCAAATCTGCACGAGGCAAACCAGTGACTAAGAACATGAGCAACGGTGCATATCATCTGGCCAGGTCACCTGACCATCAGATGACCAACAGATGGGTCGGTACACAGTAAATGTTATGACTTACTTGTCTCTTCGGTGAATCGCACCCTATCCCTTCATGAATTCAATTCATTATTTCTGATCACTTGAATCAAATATTCATGAATTTTTTAAAAAGGAGTATTTTGTACTGGAATTTAGGTGTTATTTATTCAACCCAGATTTGAAGAAAGTAACAGATCCAAGCAAGGCACGATAATAGTCAACACTCTTATATATCGGCCATTGTCTTGATAAGTAACACTGTCAACATGGTCAAAACATGTCCTAGAATTAATTTGTTGTCATATGGTTATTGTTCATAATATATTTAATAATACATAAACTGCTAACTTGTTACTGTATTCGGTACCCAATATTCATGACATGTATCATATTCATCACAGCCATATTGTTAGACCTAAGAAAGCTTTCCATAAACACTGCTTCCATATATATCAATTTAGTTATTCATAAAACAAATATGACATTTTTCATCAAGTTTCACCTAGGGTTGTTCAGAAATTTAATTTATCCATATAAAAATTAAAAAAATACTCCAGTAGTCTCCTACTCCAAATGTAAGCACTTAATAAATTATTACCAAATAGAAACATATTTCTTCAGGCATTCAAGGTTTAAAGCTGTTGTTTTTTCCTGACCAAATCTTTGTTTGGTGGATTGAAAGTTGTGTTTTGCTGTTAAAAGTGATGTCATCGATTGCCATAAATTTACAGGAAAATGACTAATCACTGTCACTGAACAGGGTTAGCTGTGTATTTATGCTCAAGACACTTGGTATTACTGTTTATAAACTGAGAAGTTGCACAAATAATTTGGTCTGAAGAAAAGAACTTCATCCGTGTGTTCTCTGCAGATGTCAAGGGACGGTGGATTATGAAGACCCGGGTTCAATTCCCAACATGGGTACAATGTGTGAAACCCATTTCTGGTGTCCCCCGCCCTGATATAGCTGGAATATCGCTAAAAGTGGCAAAAACTAGACTCACTCACACTTTAATATGTATTGACTTGGGTTGATACGTTTTATATCAAATAACATAAGACTGATATTATCTATATGTGTTATAAACCCTTTGTCCTACCAATGAGGAAAGACTGCTCTAAGGGATCCCGAATAGTGGTGAGAGAACCACCACTGACGCTACAGAAATTCTGCGCCATCGTCCAGTTGAGGTGGGACCCAAGGAAGTAGCAGTCTTGTCGGAACAGCACCCATTGACTCGGGCAGGTCACGTTGTTAGCTGGAACACACACAAGGAACACAACATGTTAGCTGAATCAGGCGTTCATGTACAGCATTCCAAACACTGTCTTCGACTTCGGTCCATTTAACACATTGATGATAGTGCTAAGAAAATTGCAGCTTATACCATGACATTGGGATAAAAAAGTCGATAAGCAAGTCCCTGATGCCATTGTACCACCACATCAACAGAGGGACTGAGTGCCTGAAGTACTTGCTAATGCTGGAAAATGGTAAAATCATAACTGAAGATTAATTGGTAATATTGTGTTTTTTCATGTTAATGAACTAAATCACACCTATCAAACCTGACAACACAAATACTTACCTCAGCCCCTTTTTTGGAAAAGGACTCTGGCCTCACCTTTTTTTCCAAGTACAAAGTCGGCTACTAAACACTCCTTTTTAAACAGAACTTAAATCATTTCACCCTTGAGAGTGGTTAATAAAATTGTTTATGATTCCCAAAAAAATCTGGACTTTGTGATCAATCTTTAATAATCATTGCGACTAATGAGATCACCACTAATTATTAGGCATGTGCTGTGCATGGAATTACATTAACTTGCTTAAAACTGAACTTTATCCAGATAAAGTATACATACCTGGTTCTGTATGATTGACATACTTCTGTGCGATGGGCATTTCACACATGTACGACTTGATTGCATAGCAGTAGCCATTGGACCAGGTCGCCTGCCCATCTGGAAGTATATCTCAGGTGATTATAGCAATATCAGCTTGTTCGCGAAACAAATATAGTCACACACTAAAGTCATCCCTAATGGTGACATCGGGTGTGCTTTACTGATGCATTGAGTAAATGTGTGTTGTCTTACATAGGAATGTGATTAAGGGAGAAATACTCGCCTGAAGCAGTACCAGGGTACCAGGTAGGATAAGATAGTAATGTAAATGTGTTGTGTACTTCTAAGGAAGTTGAGAATGCAATATAAACACAGAGTAGTTCAATAACCATGGCTTCATTTCAAGGGAGCAACTTGGCAATCTAAGACAATCATAGCTCCAAAACTTGAACATAAACTTTTATATATTTTAGTTAGTTGGAGACCACTTTAGGAATACATCACAATTTGATGCACTGTAACAATATTTCTGAACACTGAGACTGGTAATATAGTTACGATTTGCAACAACTCCACAGTCAGTGAGTCCGGGATGGGGTGGGAAGCCCTGTACCAGTGGGTGTAGGAGGTGGAGATGTTGAGGAGAGGCCATCTTCCACGTGTAGTTTCCGTCTTGTAGTCGATCTGGAGACAGAATAGTAGCAATACCTGGTACATATTTCCTCACTTCTTAGAAACTCAAATATACAGTCAAATCTACGCTTGAAGATAAACCTTCATATGAGCATTATCTATTATTACTCAAATGGTGCTCAGCCGAATTGGGTTTTATTCCAACTACAGTGGACTATCTAGGCTGGCATTATGTGGTACTGGAACAATGCTGATTTATTCAGGAAATGTCAGTCATTCAAAGGCAGTAACTTATTCAGTCACTGTTTACCCATGTACAAATACCAGGTATCTGTGCCTTCCATTTTCCATGATATAAAAACCCCATAAATACATCAACAGCTGAAACTCTGTAAAACTTCCATTTTATGTAGTAGTTTTTCAACATATTCATCATGTAAGATATATATAGAACGTCATACTAGTGCATTTGGATGTTTTGTATTGGACAAGAAGATGTCATGGGAGCAGAGAAACGAGTTCGAAGACGTTCTATATTTATTATATACCCTCTTATCTTGCATTAATCTTTTACTTAGTAAAACAAATCATGGCGTAGCAATGTAGAACTGGCAGGGGTTCAATACGGAATCTGGGGTGCAATCACGAATTTGATGACATCATCCGTGATTGCACCCCTACTACTATCCTAAGATTACATGGGTATATAATAAATAACAAACCAAATGGGCAATACCTTGCACAACATTCAAAAGACTGAACAGCTATACCTCTGTAAAACTTCCATTTCTTGTAGTAGGTTTTGGACATATTCATCACCTAAGATATATTCTAAAACAAATGGGCAATACTGTGCACAACGATCTAGAAAGAGCAAACAAGGGCAATAACTCTGAGAAACATCAAGTCATGATGGTTGATCACCATATTTTGCTGGTTTATGAAAAAGATTGATGATGTATCCAAAGCAGGTAATGAAATAATGTGTCCCCATTGAATTAGGAGAGGGTGAAGCACAGATGGATGGAATCAACATCTATGTAACATATGTGAGTGAGTGAGTGAGTGAGTGAGTGAGTGAGTGAGTGAGTGAGTGAGGAGTACAATTAATGTGGGACTTCAAAGGTGAAGGGCCTTTACTTTGGTAAAACTTCAAGCACACTGAAGGTGCTGACAACAGAACGACTATATTAGAGCAAAGCTGGGAATCAAACCCACACAAGCAGCTGATAACTTCCTTATCAATGGGACCCAACACTTTACTTGTTGTGGATCTACCACCAAGTCTCACAAATTCTGCAAGCAGGGAAGCAAATTTGGAATAACGACTGTTACCTGACAATCCCATCCAGGCATCGTGAATATGTAGAGCGCAGAGAGCTTTCCCAATCAACAGGTTTGTTTCTTGGCTGTGGAAAATAGGGTTAATTATACACTTTTCTGTTTGCTGTTTAATGCAGCACTTACCAATATCCCAGCATGCAACAATGGTCATATCATGTTCCAGGTGAGTGAAGGGCAATGTCAATCAATGAACCAAATACACAGACAGATTTTCTGTTTCAGAAAACACATTACTTTTTGGGTATATCTCTACCACAGTGGCCGCAAACTGTTGTGTAAAGCTGTCATAATGACCACTTACTCCTCGATTGTGAGCAGCTTCACTCCCTGCTTCTTGCAGTTGTCATTGGCCATGTACCAGGTGGTCACGCTGTCCCTGGTGTTGTGTACCTGGTAGCACTTACCCCCATACACGACCCAGCCCGTTGGACACGTCCCTGGAATACAGTAAACATGGATAGGAACAAATACAGAGTTTATGAACTGACGGATGGATGGATGGATTGAAGGTAGGATGGATAAGTGGTGTTCCGATGATCGAAAAAAATCGAAAATCAATCGAAAGAAGGCTTTAAAATGATTATCGATTGTAAAAAAATCATTTTTGATAAATCAGAATTTTGTTGTTGTATAACACCCTTGAATTAAGTATACTAACCATTTACTTTGATGAATATTCACGAACAAACATGCGCTCAACAACATAAAGCTATGCACATTGTAAAATTTTAACCACTCTTATTGTTTAATTACAATTCCAGTGTCTTACTTGCATGCGTGCATTTCATTCCATGACAGTATTAGAAAAAAACTGGGGAAAAAACATTAAAATTGGTGATTACATTAAAAAGGTATATATTTTGATTATAATCGATAATCATTCACCACAAGTCCTCCGATAATCGATAGTGGATTTGGTTTACGATTTCCAACACAAGGATGGATGGTTGGAGTGGAGGTAGAATGGATGGATCATTGAATGGATTAAAGGTAGGATGGATGGATGGACTGAAAGTAGGATAGATGGATGGATTGAAGGTAGGATAGATGGATGGACTGAAGGTAGGATGGATGGACTGAAGGTAGGATGGATGGATCATTGAATGGACTGAAGGTAGGATGGATGGATGGACTGAAGGTAGTGGGATGGATAGATGGACTGAAGGAAGGATGGATGGATAGACTGAAGGTAGAATGGATAGATGGACTGAAGGTAGGATGGATGGATGGACTGAAGGATGGATGGATGGACTGAAGGTAGGATGGATGGATGGACTGAAGGTAGGATGGATGGATGGACTGAAAGGAAGGATGGATGGATGGACTTAAGGCAGGATGGATGGATGGACTGAAGGTAGGATGGATGGACTGAGAAGGTAGGATGGATGGACTGATGGTAGGATGGATGGATGGACTGAAAAAGATGGATTGAAAGGTAGGATGGATGATGGACTGAAGAAAGGATGGATGGATGGGCTGAAGGTAGGATGGATGGATGGACTGAAGGTAGGATGGATGGACTGAAGGTAGGATGGATTGATGGACTGAAGGAAGGATGGTTGGATGGACTGAAGGTAAGATGGATGGATCATTGAATGGACTGAAGGTAGGATGGATGGATGGACTGAAGGTAGGATGGATAGATGGACTGAGAAGGAAAGGATGGATGGATAGACTGAAAGTAGAATGGATAGATGGACTGAAGGTAGGATGGATAGATGGACTGAAAGGAAGGATGGATGGACGGACTGAAGGTAGGATGGATGGATGGACTGAAGAGTAGGATGGATAGATGGACTGAAGGAAGGATGGAAGGATGGACTTAAAGGCAGGATGGATGGATGGACTGAAAGGTAGGATGGATGGATGGATGGACTGAAGGAAGGATGGATGGATGGACTGAGAAGGCAAGATGGATGGATGGACTGAAAGAAGGAAGGATGGATGGATGGACTGAAAGTAAGATCGATGGATGGACTGAGAAAGGTAGGATGGATGGATGGACTGAAGGTAGGATGGATGGATGGACTGAAGATGGATTGAAAGGTAGGATGGATGGATGGACTGAAGGTAGGATGGATGGATGGACTGAAGGTAGGATGGATGGATGGACTGAAGGTAGGATGGATGGACTGAAGAGTAGGATAAGATGGACTGAAGGTAGGATGGATGGATGGACTGAAGATGGATTGAAGAAGTAGGATGGATGATGGACTGAAGAAAGGATGGATGGATGGGCTGAAGAGAGGATAGATGGATGGACTGAAAGGTAGGGTGGATGGACTGAAGGTAGGATGGATGGATGGACTGAAGGTAGGATGGATTGATGGACTGAAGGAAGGCTGGTTGGATGGACTGAAGGTAAGATGGATGGATGGACTGAAGGTAGGATGGATGGATCATTGAATGGACTGAAGGTAGGATGGATGGATGGACTGAAGGTAGGATGGATAGATGGACTGAAGGAAGGATGGATGGATGGACTGAAGGTAGGATCGATGGATGGACTGAAGGTAGGATGGATGGATGGACTGAAAGAAGGATGGATGGATGGACTGAAGGTAGGATGGATGGATGGACTGAAGGTAGGATGGATGGACTGAAGGAAGGATGGATGGATGGATGGATAGACTGAAGAGTAGGATGGATGGACTGAAGGAAGGATGGATGGATGGACTGAAGGCAGGATGGATGGATGGATTGAAGGTAGGATGGATGGACTGAAGGAAGGCAAGATGGATGGATGGACTGAAGGCAGGATGGATGGATGGACTGAAAAGAGTAGGATGGATGGAATGACTGAAAGAGCAGGATGGATGGATATGGACTGAAAACAGAGAGGATGGATGGATGGACTGAAGGAAGGATGGATGGACTGGAAGAAGAAGGATGGATGGATGGACTATAAGTAGGATGGATGGATCATTGAATGGACTGAAAGGGTAGGATGGATGGATGGACTGAAAGGTAGAGATGGATAGAATGGACTGAAGGAAGGATGGATGGATGGACTAGAAAAGTAGGATCGATGGATGGACTGAAAGGTAGAGATGGATGGATGGACTGAAAGAAAGGATGGATGGATGGACTGAAAGGTAGGATGGATGGATGGACTGAAAGTAGATGGATGGACTGAAGGAAGAGATGGATGGATGGATGGATAGACTAGAAAAGTAGGATGGATGGACTGAAGGAAGAGATGGATGGATGGACTGAAAGCAGAGATGGATGGATAGATTGAAAGTAGGATGGATAGACTGAAAAAGAGATAAGATGGATGGACTGAAAACAGAGATGGATAAGATGGACTGAAGGTAGAGATGGATGGAAGAATGACTGAAAGGCAGGATGGATAGATGGACTGAAGGCAGGATGGATGGATGGACTGAAGGTAGGATGGATGGATGGACTGAAGGAAGGATGGTTGGATGGATGGACTGAAGGAAGGATGGATGGACTGAAGGAAGGATGGATGGATGGACTGTAGGTAGGATGGATGGATGGACTGAATGTAGGATGGATGGATGGACTGAAGGTAGGATGGATGGATGGACTGAAGGTAGGATGGATGGATAGACTGAAGGTAGGATGGATGGATAGACTGAAGGTAGGATGGATGGATGGATGGACTGAAGGTAGGATGGATGGATGGATTGAAGGTAGGATGGATGGATTGAAGATAAGATGGATGGACTTAAGGTAGGATGGATGGATGGATGGATGGACTGAAGGTAGGATGGATGGATGGATGGGTTGAAGGTAGGATGGATGGATGGACTGAAGGTAGGATGGATGGATGGATGGACTGAAGGTAGGATGGATTGATGGATTGAAGGTAGGATGGATGGATGGATTGAAGATAAGATGGATGGACTGAAGGTAGGATGGTTGGATGGATTGAATGTAGGATGGATGGACTGAATGTAGGATGGATGGATGGACTGAAGGTAGGATGGATGGATGGACTGAAGGTAGGATGGATGGATAGACTGAAGGTAGGATGGATGGATAGACTGAAGGTAGGATGGATGGATGGATGGACTGAAGGTAGGATGGATGGATGGATTGAAGGTAGGATGGATGGATTGAAGATAAGATGGATGGACTTAAGGTAGGATGGATGGATGGATGGACTGAAGGTAGGATGGATGGATGGATGGGTTGAAGGTAGGATGGATGGATGGACTGAAGGTAGGATGGATGGATGGATGGACTGAAGGTAGGATGGATTGATGGATTGAAGGTAGGATGGATGGATGGATTGAAGATAAGATGGATGGACTGAAGGTAGGATGGTTGGATGGATTGAATGTAGGATGGATGGACTGAAGGTAGGATGGATGGATGGACTGAAGGTAGGGTGGATGGATAGATGGACAGAAGGAAGGATGGATGGATGGACTGAAGGTAGGATGTATGGAAAGATTGAAGGTAGGATCAGAGGTTAAAAAATCCCATCGCCCGACGCCCGGGGCAAGTCAGTTTTCATTTCGGGCAATCAAATAATGGTATCTTACTTGTCCGTGGGCTACTAGATAATTTCCACTTATGGTTTCAAACTGCAAATAAACTTTGATTTAATTTCATATCTGCTCAAAATGTAGCTATTAAATTTCGCAATGATAATAAAGTAGAGTTATCTTTCTTTGCTATTTATCACTTTTCAATAAATAGTCCAGTAAACATTAACATCAAATACCATGCTGATTTCTTCTTTCATAATTACATCATCATAATTATGTCATAAAATCAGGGCAAGTGGAAAATTACTTTCTTAAAGTCACTTGCCCTGTGGCCAGTGGCTTTTTAGAAAAAAAATTGAACCCCTGTAGGATGGACGGATTGAAGGAAGGTAGGATGATTGGAGAAAGGTAGAGATAAAGGATGGATAAAGTATAGAAGAAACGATCAGTAAACAAACTATCTGGCTTGATACAGATGGTCAGTAAACATACCATATTCCTTGATGCCGATGGTCAGTAAACATACCATATTTCTTGATGCCGATGGTCAGTAAAATTACCATATGGCTTCACACAAATGATCAGTAAACATACCATATGGCTTCATGCAGATGGTCAGTAAACATACCACATGGCCTGACACAGATGGTCAGTAAACATACCACATGGCGTAACTCAGATGGTCAGTAATCATACCATATTCCTTGATGCCGATGGTCAGTAAACATACCATATTCCTTGATGCCGATGGTCAGTAAAATTACCATATGGCTTGACACAGATGATCAGTAAATATACCATATGGCTTCATGCAGATGGTCAGTAAACATACCACATGGCCTGACACAGATGGTCAGTAAACATACCACATGGCGTAACTCAGATGGTCAGTAAACATACCATATGGTCTGATGGAGATGGTCAGTAAACATACCATATGGTCTGATGGAGATGGTCAGTAAACATACCATTTGGCTTGATGCAGATTGTCAGTAAACATACCATATGGCCTGATGCAGATGGTCAGTAAACATACTATATGGCCTGATACAGATGGTCAGTAAACATACTATATGGCCTGATGCAGATAGTCATTAAACATACCATATGGCTTGATGCAGATGTATTTTCTCTCAGTGATGCAGATGGTCCGTAAACATACCATATGGCCTGATGCAGATGGTCAGTAAACATACTATATGGCCTGATACAGATGGTCAGTAAACATACTATATGACCTGATACAGATGGTCAGTAAACATACTATATGGCCTGATGTAGATAGTCATTAAACATACCATATGGTTTGATGCAGATGTATTTTCTCTCAGTGATGCAGTTCTTTCTGTTGAAGTAGAAGTTGCTCAGGGCCACAGACTCAATGCACACTTGTCCAGGCTTTCTGAAAAAGAGATAAAGAAAATTGTGATATAATATCAACTGGAACACATGCACAAACAACAACATAAGCATGAAATCTCTTGTATCAACCCAAACAAGGGATCACGCCCCATCCCATTGCCAAGTTGACATTTCAGGTGTTTCATGTGTCATGCTGACTTCAGGTCAAGATGCCATGCTGAGTGTTCAAGGTGTCATGATTGATGTTCAGGGTGTTGAATTGGGTGTTCAAGGTGTTGTGATGAGCACTTAAGGTATCTTGTTAGATGTTAAAGGTGTCATTCTGTGTGTTCAAGTTGTCATGTTTGATGTTCAGGGTGTTGAATTGGGTGTTCAAGGTGTTGAGGTGAGCACTTAAGGTATCTTGTTAGATGTTCAAGGTGTCATTCTGTGTGTTCAAGGAGTTATGTTGGTGTTCAAGGTGTCTAACTAAAAACAGAGTACACATACATAGACATCTTGGGGACTAAGCAGGTCAGGAAGGACCCAAACAAGTCGATGCATGCTCACGACTGTAGATATTTGTTAACTATGCATAGATATGATGTTCATGTATATACATCTGTGTATATTGTACGTGTTTCCATCTGACTTATGTAGACCTTCTAGTCAACCAAATACAGTTAGAAGAATATTTAAGAAAACTTTATTGAGAACATGCTGTTGGATTGAAAACACAAAACCCAAGCAGGTTGACTTACACCACATCCGATGTAGACGACCAGGCCTGATACGTCAGTGTGTTGTTCGTGTCCGCTGATATGATTTTGCCAGGGGTGAACTGGAAAACAGTAAAACTCACTTGTAGCAAGTTGTTTGATTTATGTGTGAAAACACAAGAAATGTCCTCCATCTGCTGCAACAGAACATAAGGCTGAGGCTACACATCATCTTGTGGCCAGTGCAGTGACCTGGATGCTAGTGGTAGGGATGGACTCCAGTGTCTGAGGTAGAGAGGTACACTTCAGTTTTCTGGTTCAAATATGAATGTAATGAAAATGAGTGTATGAAACAGACCATACTTTTTTCTTAAACATGAACTTTATGAGTTGTGAAACTCAGATTCTAAAGGTGTATGAGAAAAAGGGCAGGCTTAAAAGATTGATAATCAGAATATCGTTGACAGGAAAAAATAGTAATAATTATCGATATGAAAATTGTGTTATCGATAATATTGTACATAAACTTTTGTGACAGAAAACCATTTCAATTTTCTCACACAATATGCAATTTTATGTTTTGTTAGTAATCCATGAGAAATCATGTCACCATTCACCAGTGATGTAAATACATTCATTTGTTTCAGACAATTTTGGCATTTTTGCTCAAAGTTACATCTGTTAAAATGGTGTATTCCCATACTGCCTACAGTTCCAAACTGCCTACAGGTTAAAACAACATGATACAGTCCAGTGATCAGGAAGTGAATACACCGATCTGACCTCTTCTACCCCTGCTAAAATGAACTTGACTAGTTAGCTGGTTAATTCTATGGTGTCTTCCCACTCTGCCTACACAAGTTTAAAAAAATGACAAGTGTTGGTTGGTAGGATATCTATTCATTCTGAGAATTCTCAGACTTTACATGGAGACATGTTCTTATCATGAAAAAGTTTTAAGTCTTTCAGTGGTTTTACAGTCTTTCACTGGTTTTACAGTCTTTTACTTGTTTCACAATTACACACAACTGACAATCACTTTGCAAACTTGATGAGATGTCCAGCAGCATCAAGGTACTGAAGAGGCGTTTTTCTGCCGCTCTGGAGGTGCTCCTTCAGTCTCAGAAGTCTCGCATTGAGCTCTCTGTAAACACGCTTGCTTGACTTGGGGAGGGCACCACAGTCGAGCTGAGCACGTTTAGCTTTGTCTACAGCTTCGATTTTCTTGATGTTGCAGATGAAGAGGTAGATGTTTGGGTGGGCTTTGGCAATAAGGTTTTTCAGCTTCAGGTGCCACCCCTCAAGGTCAAATCTCATCTTCAGATTCCACTGGCACATGGTTGTGCGGTGTCGTTGATTTCATGAAGTCTCCAGTTGTAGAACAGGGGCCTTTGCATTCAGAATGTACACACTTCCAATGTGTTGTGGTCTGTCGTCTGACTTTGAGGCGATATTGGTACCCAGCAAAGAAAACTTGCTGTCCTCCTGCTTGAGAAGTGATGAATTGAACTCGTTGAACTTTTGCCATTGTGTGATGGATGCAGTTGGTTCCCCTTCTAATTTATTAGGAGTTTAATTAACTGAGAAGATGAGTTCTTCTCAACAATTTAGTCCTTACTATGTTTTTCGACATAATCTGACAAAGACAGTCAAAGCCTGTAACAACATAGTTAAAACAAGCCTACCCAACTTGATCAAATAGGATTAAGTTAATCCTGCTTTGGAGGTTTACAATATAAGCATGCTAACTGCTTCCCAAAACAACATAAAACAATATCATTGTACTTGTCTTGTAGTCTTTATTGGATGAGAAGACTCAAAACACACTATACACAGAAGTAGATGCACAGATATATACTAATATAATCCCCCTAATTATCCCTTACTCCAACGAAGCACCCCTTCTTCATTGATACTCGGGCTGTTCTATTATTCTACAGAGCAAAAAATCTTTTTCCACGCTGCCTACAATGTTTTTGTTGGCAGTTTGGGATGTAGGCAGCTTGGAACTGTAGGCAGTATGGGACCTAACCGTTAAAATGTGGCTTTCATTTTGCAGTTTATTCATCTGTCAATGTTGCAGTGTGTGCTCACAAACAGTAGCGACATTTTGGTACTTATTGGTATATGACATATACAATTTTATTTATGAACATATTTAAAACAGGATTAGGTTATTGATGACTCTTCTGGGGTACTTGGGTAGCCTAGTGTTTGCTCATCACTCGGCCAGTATGATTCCCCTCTTTGGTACAAAGTGTGAACACCCATTTCTTTCTGGTGTCCCCCACCATGATATTGCTGGAATATTGCAAATAGCAGCTTAAAACTAAACTCACTTAATCACTCACTCACTATTGGTGACTCTATCCGTTTGTTCAGTTTGCATTCAGTATACATCAGGATACAAAAGCCACAAAATGACAAAATCGGCTACATTTACACAGAGACCATATTATATGGTCTCTGATTTACAGTTTTAAATAAATTAAATATTCTATGTTAATTAAATATACTGGCATGGCGTGATTAAACATCCAGCTATGAAACACAGCAATGGGATCAAAATCCTTGTGTAGGGTCATCCAAAAATATGGGAAACACTGAAGAAAGATAAAGAAAGATAATTACAGTATTTCCTCTAAAGCACCGGGACTCTAATAAGCACCGGAGGTAAAGCAGCTCACTAACACTTACGGTAATTAGAACCAGTACGCGCAAAAGCACCGGGCGCCGGGTCTGGAACACCGTTGAAACAAATGCCGCCCGAGCGCTTATTGGAGAAAATACGGAAGCATATATTGGTTAACCCCCTGGATGCCACAGGGACATATATGTCCTTCCCCTTCAACCCTCAATTTTAAGTCCAATAAAAATCAAAATATCCCACGCACACAAATACACTTCACAGTTCCGAATTCTGCGGGAGGGAAATTTCCTGTTTCTTGATACCATCCACTATTATTTTAGACAAAGCTCAAGTGCTGAAAATGATCTTTCAAAATAGGCTTCATCGAAAATGTCGCCATTTTTGACACAGTACGAAATCGCGATTCACAGCGTTATTTGCTGTATGTTTTGAAATGTGAAAATCGGATAATTACTGGGAGTCGGAATATGATTTTCCTGTTTCCAACGGTTAGCCCGAACGGACACATGACAAGGGGCATTGTCTTCTTGGAAAATCCAATTGCGGTTGACAAAATGCCTGGCAACTACAGGTCACAATTTAAATGGTTATCAAAGGTGCTCCAAAATGACATTATCCCACTCATTTCTTCCCCAATGCAATTTTGTCCAAAAAACCCGGCGTCTCTTCCCTCTGTTAGCACGAGAAATGGTGATTTTCTTGCTTACCACATGTCTATGGTACCCCTCAGTGAACAATCTTCTTCTAACAGTGCGAGAAGACAGTGTAGTCTGTCCCTGATTGTTATATTTTGCTGTCAAATCCCCAAGTGTTTGCCGGCGATTCCTTTTCACAACACGAAACAGCCGTCGTTCACTTCTTGGTGACTATTTTCCGGGCCGCCCACTTCTCGGCAACGATTTAACTGAACCTCGCTCCCGAATTTTCTGAATTGTTCTAGGGTTTATACCTGTCAAATCAGCAATTTTGTAGCTTGATTGGCCTTGCTGATTCAGCACAACAATTAAATTTCTTTGTTCAGGCGTCAATTCTCGGTTGACAGGCGGCATGATAGCAGACGACAAAAAGATAAACAAAGCAAGGGAGATAATCGCATATTATAGGTGCTACGCATATTTTGTGACCTGTGAAATTTGTACCCCAAATCACGTCACGATTGGTGGCTTATCAGCACGGCGAAACGCTTTCAAAGTCAACCTACCTCTCAAAACAGGGGCAACGTAACATGTTATGTGAACAGACTTTTGGCCACTGACTGTAGTTGTAGATCCCTGCAGTTTTTTCTTCGTCACTTCTTAGGACCATCCACACATCACAAGCCAGCGCACAGCGCACCGCCTTACTCACCTGATCAGTAAACGCTGTCCAGACGTTGTTGTCGCTTGTCCTACAGTCTATCAAATCACCCATCAACATCAGTTCCACCAGACTTCTCGGCGACGGCAAGAGGCCGCCATTTTGTTCGCATGATGTCCTCGCGTCGTGCCAGGTGCTTTTTGTGTTGAAGAGTTTATAACATTTCCCATATATGTCCCTCCAACCGTCAGCTTCGTTGCAGAGGTCATATGTATCTAGAACGCAACACAGCTCACGTTTAGCAAGGGATAAACACATTTCTATTACCGGTATTCTTAGGAGCCTGGGATGTTATCGAAACAATAATTTGTCATCGAGAATCATCCAAACTATATTTTTCAGGATAAAGAAAGAAAGTGTCTATCACGAAAAACACATTGTTGTAGAATTTCATAGCTTTCATTGAAGAATATCTTGTCTTAAAGTGGTACCTTTAAAATATCTCGTGTTATACCTGTAGCTGAAAATATCTCGTGTTATATAGCTTTAACTGAAAAATATCTCGGGTTCTACCTGAAGCTGAAAATATTTCATTTGTATTGCCGTAGTTGATCAAGTTGTGCTAAGAAGTATTCCTGACTCTAGTATATGCAATTGAGAGAAGGTATTTTGGATTCACTAGAATTAAATGGGATTCGCATCAACATTTCTTTAAACACAACAAATGCGTTTGTTTTAGAATGTCATAAATCGCGGAATTCGTTTACTACGCGCGAGGAGAGTTGAGCAAAATAATACGTTGTGGTTAAAAAAACAAACATGTTTGGTACTTCCCGTCAAAGGAACTAACTGAGTTTCTTAAAAATGAAGGTCTGTCTAACACAAACAATTCAAGCCAAATGGCAATTTGAGTCAACGTTTTTTGGAAACAATGTCACAATCGTACCTGCAGATCTTTCGCAAATGGTAGGTACGGACGATGTACATGGGGTAAAATTAATCTGTCCTCGAGCACCCCCGTACCCGTACATTAACGCACAAAAGTACTTCCGCTGGATGTACGTCGACGTGAAGGTCGGCTGTTGGTTACGGTACCAGTGACTGGAGAGAGATATAAATTATATGTATCTATAACAGGTACTGTATATGCCAGAAAAATGCCAAGGGTCATCCGATTCTTTCATATTACAATAGTAATCAAATATTTCATACCATGTAAACATTAGAGATTAAGGTTTTATGTCGCTGTTAGCAGTGTCTAGCAATATCACACCAAAGGACACCAGAAATGGGCTTCACTCATTGTACCCATGTAGGATAAAGGCACAGCATGCTGAAAGAATCGGGTGGACAAAATCTTTTCGAGCCCTCCCCACCCCTAATCTGTATCGTATCCTAATTGTGTAGATCGATGCTCATGTTGTTGATCACTGGATTATCTGGTCCGGATTGATTATTTACAGACCTCCGCCATATAGCTGGAATATTGCTGAGTGCGGCGTTAAACAACAAACCAGCCGATCAACCAACCACCCCCTAATCTCGATTCCTCAAATTACAATAAGTAACTAATCCGTTATCTTTAATATTTTAAAATATTTTATTTCTTGTGAACACGAAAAACACTAGATTTCTACACTCACGCTGCTGTTGCATTGTAGGGGGTTCCGTCACCCCAGGTCCACGCTTTGGCGGTGTCATTATACCTCAGCGATGTGTAGTACTGGATGTTTACGGCGCCTAACATAGACTTCACGAATATCTGGAAGCAACAAGTTCCTAGAGTATGGTATTTACTGTTCTTTAGTTTTACGCCGCACTCAGCAATATTCCAGCTACATGTGTATATGGCGGTGGTCTGTAAATATTTGGGTTTGGACCAGACACTCCAGTGATCAACAACATATGCATCGATCTGCGCAATTGGGAACCGATGACATGTGTCAACCAAGCCAGCGAGCCTGACCACCCCGATCCCTTTTGTGGCCTCTTACGACAAACATGGGTTACTGAAGATCAATTCTAACCCGCACCTTCACGGGTCATTTACGGTTCGGAAACACACGAGGGTGAGTGAGTGAGTTTGGTTATACGCCGTTTTTAGCAATTTTCCAGCAATATCATGGCGGCGGACACCAGAAATGGGCTTCACACATTGTACCCATGTGAGGAATCGAACCCGGGCGAACGCTTTAACTACTAGGCTACCCCACAGCCCAAACCACACGCGGGTGAATATTTCTTTGTCAGATGTTGACGTTCTTAAAATAACATGCATTTACCGTAATATTTGTTCAACAAGTGGGAATGGAAATGTGACATACGCCCCTTGGCTAACTCCATTTTCGGCACAAGACGGATTTGCGTCACTTACACGTTGTATTGATCTACTACTGCCATATCATCAACACTGTGGGAAGATAAACCTGAAGTGATACAAATCTCAGACGGTTACCACCTTGGTGAAATCCACGCGCACAGGTATGGTCCTGTCAAACTTAGATACACAATCTGGAAACAATTGAGATTTGAACAGACGATGTTTGTTTTGTTCGCATGCCAAAGGGCTGGACATCGATTTGTGGTGCCTTAGAATACTTCGTCACCTGTGTCTAAAGTGTGTCAGGAAGTAATAATAGAGTGAGTGAGTTGGGTTTTACGCTGCTTTTAGCAATATCCCAGCAATATCACGACAGGGGATACCAGAAATAGGCTACACACATTGTACCCATGTGGGAAATTGAACCCGGGCCTTCGGTGTGATGAGCGAACGCTTTAACCACAAGACAACTCCACCGCCCCAAATAGTAATGGAACCTTTATGTTACCAAAATATGCTGTCCGACAAAAGAAACTAAACACCCGCGCTTGATGATGGTTAAACGTGAGACAAACAGCAATTGTTATTCAATGGTCACGTCTTTGATATGGATGGTGTTAGTGGTTTGGTGTGTAGTCTAGTAACGTTTTGATTACCACTGTAATTGTTTTCTGAAATCCAATTTTCAGCTGTATACCTACACCCGCCCAGCAGTATACCCCACTGCTTGCGTGTATACACAGTATATACATACCCATTCCGCCTCGTTGCTAATGGAAAACAGAGATGCATTGTTTAATGCACAGTACTGCAATGACTGGTCATAGTTCTGCCTCTGGGTGGTCATGTAGTAACATCGGTCATTGTTTTCCGTCCAGCCCGCTGGACATCGGCCGAACGCTGCTGCCACTAGAGGAACATAAGTAATGGTGAGGATCAATGAAGCCAATGCCCTCGTAAAAACACCCGTTATAAACTGAGCAGAATACTTACCGAAGATCGTAAAGCACATTTACACGGGGGAAGTATAATAATGGTTTCTGTATCTGAAGACATTACCTCAGAGATATTCAGAACTGCATGATTCAGGCAGAAAACAAGAACGGGCACCTGAGTACTGTAATTGAAGGGTTTTTATCAAAGTTCATGCAGTATATCAACACGGGATATAGCACCTGGATGCTGTAACTGAATACGCATATTCTCTGTTCTTACAGTACATTAACACCGTAAATAACACCAGGGTAATATAACTGAATCAGTATATTCTCTGTTCTTGCAGTACATTAACACCGTAGATAACACCTTGGTAATATAACTGAATCAGTATATTCTCTTTTCTTCCAGTACATTAACACCGTAAATAACACCTGGGTAATATAACTGAATCAGTATAGTCTCTTTTCTTCCAGTACATTAACACCGTAAATAACACCTGGGTAATATAACAGTATATTCTCTGTTCTTGCAGTACATTAACACCGTAAATAACACCTGGGTAATATAACTGAATCAGTATATTCTCTGTTCTTACAGTACATTAACACCGTAAATAACACCTGGGTAATATAACTGAATCAGTATATTCTCTGTTCTTGCAGTACATTAACACCGTAGATAACACCTTGGTAATATAACTGAATCAGTATATTCTCATTAACACCGTAAATTTTCTTCCAGTACATTAACACCGTAAATAACACCTGGGTAATATAACTGAATCAGTATAGTCTCTTTTCTTCCAGTACATTAACACCGTAAATAACACCTGGATAATATAACAGTATATTCTCTGTTCTTGCAGTACATTAACACCGTAAATAACACCTGGGTAATATAACTGAATCAGTATATTCTCTGTTCTTCCAGTACATTAACACCGTAAATAACACCTTGGTAATATAACTGAATCAGTATATTCTCTTTTCTTCCAGTACATTAACACCGTAAATAACACCTTGGTAATATAACTGAATCAGTATATTCTCTGTTCTTGCAGTACATTAACACCGTAAACAACACCTGGGTAATATAACTGAATCAGTATAGTCTCTTTTCTTCCAGTACATTCAGTCTCTTTTAATAAGTGACTAGTAACTTGAAACCCAGATCAAGTAAACAGTTAAAACATAAACTCAATGAAGCTGGAAGTCTGCACCCACACGCCCTGTATTTTCCGCTCCGCATTTATCAACGGAAGTTATCGATAGTCACACATACTATCGAGGTATCGATAGTTTTTCTTTTCTACCATCGATTAATTGCTTTCGGGGACACAACAATTGCAATCCATCGATAGTTCGATGCATCGTTACAGCCATAAAATATTCCCATCCGGACCGGCCAAACCAGTGATTGGTATTATGCGTAGCAACCCCCGCCATCGGGACACATGCCATGCAATTCAGTGTACCAGCCACCCTAACATGTTTACCACAAGACCTGGTGCAGACTTGATTGATGTGTGAAATCGTACCTCGGGGGCCTGCTCATGATATCAGGCATTGGTTTGTCTGGTCCAGACTTGATCACAGAGCAGCTGGAATATCGGTGAATAGTCTGGTGTTAAACAACGGACGATCAAACAAACATGCTGCACCTTATTGCGAGAGCCTTGTATTGCTATACGTCGGTGGTAACTGTTGTCAGACGGTCAGCCATTCCAGGCGATCGGTCCCGGAGTTGGACACATACCTTCAAGCATTTTGAATGTATCACCGAGTTATAGCACCCAGGTGTATTGCAAGAACTGAGAATACACTGATTCACTGATATTACCTAGCTGTTATTTCCTGTGTTGATATACTGCAAGAACTGAGAATATACTGATTCAGTTATATTACCTAGCTGTTATTTGCTGTGTTGATATACTGCAAGAACTGAGAATATACTGATTCAGTTATATTACCTAGCTGTTATTTGCTGTGTTGATATACTGCAAGAACTGAGAATATACTGATTCAGTTATATTACCTAGCTGTTATTTCCTGTGTTGATATACTGCAAGAACAGAGATTATACTGATTCAGTTATGTTACCAAGGCGTTATTAAACTGTGTTGATATACTGCAAGAACTGAGAATATACTGATTCAGTTATATTACCTAGCTGTTATTTGCTGTGTTGATATACTGCAAGAACAGAGATTATACTGATTCAGTTATGTTACCTAGCTGTTATTTGCTGTGTTGATATACTGCAAGATCTGAGATTATACTGATTCAGATGTTTCTTGTGCTCCCTGATTATTATTGTTTATAGGGACGTGTATCTATGTGTATTTTTTATATTTTGGGACGTAAATAAAAAAGCCAGATTTCATGCTTCCATATGTAAAGTATATATACTGCAAGGATCTCATTCATTGGTCTGGCGTGATCTTGTGATATATTGTGCAACTGTTCAGCTGACCAGTACGGAAACAAAGACTGATGACTGCACAAGTGCTGATAACAACCCGGTATCAGTGTGTGTGTGGCTCCTAACTTGATGAATGCTCATATAGGCTGATAAAAGATCAAGGATAACACCACCAACAGATAGTGACACAATTGTGTTCATTAGTTTGTTTTACCTCGCACCAACTTCGGGGTTTCTGTTACCCCGTAACAAGTAACGAGTTTCATCTAAAGGAACTTATAACTTTTACAAGCAATATTTTTGTTACAAAACGAATAACATATCCTTCCCCTCCCGAAGCAAGAGTCGTTTTTACTAAACCAAAAAAAGGACACATTCACCATCGCCTCAAAGAATGGCAATAGTTTTTCATACGGGGAATTATACACATGAAGATTCAAAGACTCTGAGACTAACCCAACCTGCACCGAGCAACGTGAACCAATAACAAAACCTCTGTGTTAGAATGGCCTTACGTACGGACACTGATGTGTACGAGAACTTATTGGTGAACAGGTTATATCGAGTGTAATAAATGTGGTCCAAGTTGTGTAAATCATATGGGTGAGTGAGTGAGTTTACTTTCAAGCCGCTTGTAGCAATATTCCAGCAATATCACGACAGGGGACACCAGAAATGGGCTTCACACATTGTACCCATGTGGGGAATTGAACCCGTGTCTTCACGCTTAAACCACTAGGCTACCCCTAGTCAATATTATGACGGTTTGTTGTTTAAATAACATTTTAATTAAAATTATTACGGAATACCTCCCACTGAAATACGTATATTTTGAAAATAGAAAAACAACTTAAGCATCGGTTATCAGTGTCGTTTAAGGTGGAGAAAACGGAGTGAGGCAAAACACGTTGTCCTTAACCCTATGAACGAGTCTTTGTACCGGAACATGTTGTACATTGTTATCAGCATCTGATCAGACAGAATCAGCCACAGTAAATTTGTTAAAAATACAATACTAATATGATAAACGGGATCACAATCTAAAATCCGATCAATTGAATAACAGTCTTCAAGCTTACCTGAAGTGGCCACAATAAATACCAGTAATATATAAGATCTTTCCTCCATTAGAAATCTGTGCCAGGGTATTTACACAGGGTTTCGCTGTACCGCCATCTATCAGCGGTCCGTCCTCACAGATACAACAAAGGGCTGTTATCTGGATGTGTACTTCAGACCGCCCGCTGTAGGCGTCCTAGGTACGTTGTCCACGCACAGACGTACATACATGTATTGTTGAGCGTTTTGTCAGGTTCAATAATCTGATTTCTTCATCACATGAAATATTAAGAGTTACTCACGCATCGGTGTTTAAGATTTGATGAGTGATTGAGTGAGTGAGTGAGTTTAGTTTTACGCCGCACTCAGCAATATTCCAGCTATATGGCGGTGGTCTGTAAATACTCGAGTCTGGACAAGACAATCCAGTGATCATCAGCATGAGCTTCGATCTACGCAAATGGGATACGATGATATGTGTCAACCAAGTCAGCGAGCCTGACCACCCGATCCGGTTAGTCGCCTCTTCCGACAAGCATGGGTTACCAAAGATCAATTCTAACCCGGATCTTCACGGATGTTTTAGATTTGGACTTTGATATGACAATTCCCTCAAAAGTAGTCAGTGAGTGATTATTGCTGTACGCCGCATGCTTACCGTTATTCGCGACGATCAATTAGTGTTGGTCTGTAACGGGTACTATTAAAACTATTTGTTTGTAAGAGAAAAGTGATGCATGTTATATATGCATGTTTCCTCGTGGGAACGTAAGTCTGTTTCAAAAGTTCTAATCCGAGCTTATTAAACTCAGACCTGAATATGGCTCTGAGGACATCCCATTATAGGAGACGTACGAACCACTTTTCGCAAACTTTGAACTTAAATTACATAACTGACCGGAAGTCAACATTATTCTCTCATGAACATTTGATCAAAGCCAGTTTTGAAGGATTTGATTTGAGTTCCATCTTGTTTGCCATGTTCTGCCTTTAAAAAGTGACAGACAGCAGGAACCATTACTTTGTATGCTGTCAAACAGAGTTTAGGATACTTTTGCCTGTTTCTAACACATTTATGTTGGTGCCGACTTATTAGACCAATTGACATAATCAGAGATACCAATAAGCTGCGTATCTGCGTAAATTACGCAAATATTTATGTGAAAACACAATTCCTATTATGTCTGTTGTGTACAAGTACGCTTGAATTTCTGTAAATGCTTAGTAAATTTGATCTCACATACGTACACACAAAAATGTCAAATCTTAGCTTGGTGGTTACTGAGGATAGTAAAAATAACTGATGTGTACTGAGAGGTTATATTTCAGCACATGAACTTGGCATCTTGCAGTCTTTCTTATCGTTTCTCATTTTACTGATCAAATATAAATAACAAACAAGTCAACCAACATTTAAACTTTATTATGTTTTTACAATTAATAGCAAAATACCCTATGTGGATGAGGTGAGGTGGGTACAATCTGTTTGGTTACACTGGATACCCAATTGAGATGAACACAAGCGTGTACATAACTCAATGACCAAAAAAGGTATCCGTAGCTCTGCATAATGATCGAATTTCTAATCCTGAAAGTTTACGATGCTATTGCTAACTTACATCACTCCTGAACCTGGTCGACTTTATTAAGGAAGTCTTAATACCATGACCGCGTGTTGTTTAAAAATGTTCAAGAGTTGTATTTGATTAATTCCGTACGCCTAAAAGATATATTTTACTTAGATTTCTTGATAAGGTCTTTGAAACGTAAATGTTTCTAATCTTTCCCTTGGCCTGCAAGACATGTGAAATCACTGCCCATCAGATTTGGTCAGATGTTCCATGTGATTTTTACTCTTGCGCGATGTCGTTTTATGTGGCCTGGATTTCGGTTCACTTTAAGGGATCCCTCTATGGACCATTCAGGATATTTAATGGATATATGTTATACAACGCGGTCTCCATGGTGACAGTGTGTAAGTAGGTCCCCTGTGTTGACCCTGGATATAAGTAAAGGAGTAAGAATAAGAATACTGTACAGTTCCGTTTTAATACAGTCAGGTTTGATGATTAATTGTCCTGAAGACGGTTTAAAATTCAAGTGTACCATAGTTTTCAGTGACCGCTTCTCATGGACATAATATTATGATACTAATATTCATCCTAGTATGAGTAAAACAAATATGAAGCCAAGTGCATAATATAACAAAGGGCCCATTCTGCCGTGTACATAATATTGACAGTGTCCTAATCGCCCTCGTTATTTTCCATTGCCGACATGACCAGTTGGAGAAATTCTTCGCGGTTCAGTTTGCCGTCTGAATTGGCGTCTACCGGTGCCATAAGTTCTGCAACCTCCTCCTTGGAAAGTTTCTTCGTTCCATGTTCTCCCGAGAACCACGCGCTCTGGATCTCGTCTGCTGATAGGAAGCCATCTTTGTTTGTGTCATATTCATTGAATAACCGTCTGATATTGGCTACTCTGAAACACAGAGCCGTGTGATTGGACAGTGATGCTTTAAGTAATCACCAATACAAATTAGGGGGTCAGTAAATAAAAGTCTACACGATGGAAGTGATGAAATGTGATGTAATCATCTATTGTTTTAGATTAATAATTCACAAAATGTGTGGTATGATTATGATGTTCTAATTCCGTTCACAATCACTACCACAGTCGGTGTCTTTGCTTTTACAGTGTACCGTTCACACAATCTGTCAGCACGACTTCACTAGGGCTGAGACGGGTCCAAATTTTCTACCCGGGTACCCATCCCCTTTCACCCCACCCTTCCCTGATACCCGTTATGCTATTTCCTGATATCAAATTTGTAAGAAATGGCAATATATTCTTCAGCTAGGACATCTTTCAACATATTAACCATGTATTATTTTCAAAACAGGTGACTGTAAATTATGTCTAAATCTTCAAAGTCAATACAACCTTTTAGTCATGAAAGAATAATATATTAAATTGTTTAATGTATTAGTACATGATCATAACGGGTCCAGGTATTGAGACGGGTACCCGGGTCCAAATCATTACCCGGCCGGCCCGGGTATCCGGGCTACCCGTCCCAGCCCTAGCCTTCACCAAATTTCTCGCACAACATCCATAAAGGTGATTCTCAACTAACGTTCTGTAAAGCTTAGATCCTTCATAGTCATATTGAAGAAAATTATTCAATCCGTTACGACAATGTACAATTTATACACTAATGGCAATGCTTAACTGAAAACAGCTAACAACGTGCTCAGCCTCTTCCTTTCTGGTCACTCTGCGTCCGTTTTGGCGCTGTTCATCCTACATAGTAATGTTCAACCAACATCCTTTAGAGCGCTGAACAACCTACACCCTTTATGGTATTGTTCACCATATATCCTCTATATAGCGCTGTTCAACCAACATCCTTTATGGCAATGTTCAACCAACATTCTTTATAGCGCTGAACAACCTACATCCTCTATAGCACTGTTCGGCCTACATCGTTTATCGCTGTGTTTGACTTTCCTCCTTTAAGGACGGTTGGGTAGCCTAGTGGTTAAAGCGTTCGCTTTTCACGGGTTCGATTCCCCGAATGGGTACAATGTGTGAAGCCGATTTCTGGTGTCACCCGCCGTGATATTATTGCCCAAAAGCGGGGTAAAACTAAAAACCCCACTCTTTCCTCCTTTAGGATGTTGAACGAATCTATTCCGCCCTGTGCTTGTTAAGTATGATCTCAAGTGTGCTGCTACTTACAATTTCTCCTGGTTGTCGGGACCCATGAAGTCCAGGAACTCTTCCAATGTCACCTTTCCGTTCTTGTCGGCGTCCATTTCAGTGAACAGCGACTGAAAGCATCCATAGATCAGTGAGTCAGAGAATATGGTTTTTTTGGTCAGTAATGGTCCAGTTATCCGTCATTGATTTTCCATAATTATTTTGATTATTTGAAGTTAAGTGCTGTATAGGACAATGGAAAGGCCTGTATATGGCCTGCTGTTTGTATGCAGTCTGAAATCAAACATACCTGTTGTTCTACTAGGTTAAAAATACTGGAATCGTGCGATGTCGATCGTCCATGTGTTCCCACATAAAGGACAATAGTAGTATAGGGAATAGCGGTACGATGACGCATGGGTACACCATACCTAGAGCCTCCAAATAACCAATCCAGCTCCAACAGCCACTACACAAAATGAGAGTTTTGCACAAAGCTAGTCCGGAAGACAAAAAGTGTCCCTATACATTTCACTGGTGGAAGTGCACTCCAATTAGAGATATGTGGGTGTATGGATATAGAACTATGCCAGGAACCAAGCTATCGCGTGAAGCCCATGCCGAGATCCGATCTGGTCGTTTGTCTCTTCGGGAGGCGAAGAGGAAGTACCACATATCGCAAGCCAGATATACACGAATCCGGGGCGGCTCTGAGACACAAACAGAGGCACAAACAAAGACAACTTCCGACATGGCAGACGTCTTCGAGACCCTGTTAGAGAAATGCCCCCATCCCTCAACGGTTTCTCGAACTCTATTTGCTGTGCTTTCGCCAATTCGTAGAAGACGGCAAAATAGTCGATTTTGTCTACATCTACCCGCCCAACCAATTTCGACCTGCATCGGGCAAACTCCGAATTGTTCTCACCGCCGCCGACTGCTCGGAAACCAAGGACAGAGACAACCGATGCACCGACTGACTCGCCGCTATATCGGATTTACCCATCCTCTTCGAACCAGACAACTCTACTTGCAAGTGCGGCCCCACAGACCACTGCATTGGCAGCAAGAAATGCGTTCTCTGGAAAAACAAAGACTATACACCCAAGGAGTGACTCCCACTCGAGGTTCCCGGAGAAATCGCGATCCCCTACTGTATCTTGAACATAGAGGACCTGTATGACAGCGACTGCTTCTTCTGGTGCCTGCGACACAAATGGTTCCTCGACAAATTGGTGGACAATTGTCCATGCAAGTAATATTCTTGTATATTCCGGCAGCTAGCGGGGAAAGCAGCGCCACCACGGGGCAACAATATTTGGCATTACCCCTTGCCCAAACACGGCGGGCCCAAGGATATGGAAGTGGCAGTCCCTCCACCCAACAAACACTTGGATGAAGTGCTTGTCTGACATGTGGATAAACTAGGTTTCCTAGTCCTGGACATGTCGGAAAATGGGATTTCCATATAGATATATGGGAAGTATGGGATATATATATATACCCAGGAAAAAAACACTATGCCACCAAAAAGAGATTTGTCTTCGGACCAGATCCAAGAAATCTGTGCCCTTCACTGTTTGCTTCCGGCAGCAGAGGTAAAAAACAACTTCAGTATTGGGTCCAAAAGGCTCTACGAGCTATGGCGAGAGCCCTCTAACACAACCATATTGCCCGTCGCAGAACCGTCCACCAACAACCTCTTGTCCGCTAGGGAGATAACTCCAAATCCGACGTTGCCCACCATCCAGGACTTCTACAATCATCTGGGAAAGATTGAGGCTCATGCGGAGCAAACTTCAACGATGTTATCGGCTCATGTGGAGCAAACCTCGATGACGTTGTTAGCTTGTATGGAGCAAACCGCGACGATGTTGTTGGCTCGTGCAGAACAAACCACGACTTTGTTGGTCGGTATCTTGTCTAGGCTGGGCAACGACGACTACAAACTCCGGGACGAAATAGAAAACATCGAGGAGGAACAAGAAGACACACGTCTGGATATCCAGAAGTTGGGACAGATGCTAGAATTGGTCCAAAAGTGGACCTATATTTCGTTAACCTCCGTGTTTCTCTGGAAGGTCGTCCACACTGCACACCCGCAGACACATCAACCACACAACGGTCGACAGACAGGCCGACGAGATGACAGAAATGGCCAAACCAGTTTGCACGGCCAAACGCGGGGACCCCTTCTACATGGAGTAGGAAAAAAGTGTGTTTTTTCATATGTATGTTTGCATATTGGACTAGATAGAAGCTATACCCGCTTGGTCTCTGGGAACAGCACCTCGATTTCTCGATCGTCTTTCCTTTTCGAAATAGGCGAGTGGCAGATTTTGCCAAGTCTACACAGAAAGAGGCCACCCACCAACCGTAGATTTTCTATTCCGCCGGTGTCTCAAATCGTTTCTCATATCTTGTAGCCGTAGACCGGAATCGTTTCTTCAGTCGGCGAATCGAGTAGCAGCAACAGTCTGTTCTTCCCTTCGTATTTGGCTGCAGCAAACTTTTTGCACTTATAGATTCCCTCCGGAACGTCTGCGGCTTTTTGGTGTTCGTTGGATGGAGGGGCTGCCACTTCCATATCCTTGGGCCCGCCGTAGTTGGGCAAGGGGGTATGCCAAATATTGTTGTCTCGTGGTGGCTCTGCTTTCCCCGCTAGCTGCCGGAATATACAAGAATCTTACTTGCATGGACAATTGTCCACCAATTTGTCGAGGAACCATTTGTGTCGCAGGCACCAGAAGAAGCAGTCGCTGTCATACAGGTCCTCTATGTTCAAGATACACTAGGGGAGTCACTCCTTGGGTGTATAGTCTATCTCTTTGTTTTTCCAGAGAACGCATTTCTTGCTGCCAATGCAATGGTCTATGGGGCCGCACTTGCAAGTAGAGTTGTCTGGTTCGAAGAGGGTGGGTAGTTCCGATGTAGCAGCGAGTCAGTCGGTGCATCGGTTGTCTCTGTCCTTGGTTTCCGAGCAGTCGGCGGCGGTGAGAACAATTCGGAGTTTGCCCGATGCAGGTCGAAATTGGTTGGGCGGGTAGATGTAGACAAAATCGACTATTTTGCCGTCTTCTACGAATTGGCGAAAGCACAGCAAATAGAGTTCAAGAAACTGTCAAGGGGTCTGGTATCGCTCGTAGAAAGTGTATCCCGATCGCTCGAGGATTTGTTTCTGTCTGTCGGAAAGCAAGGCATGGGGACACTTCTCTAGCAGGGTCTCGAAGACTTCTGCCATGTCTTTGTTTGTGCCTCTGTTTGTGTCTCAGAGCCGCCCCGGAATCGTGTATATCTGGCTTGCGATATATGTGGTACTTCCTCTTCGCCTCCCGAAGAGACAAACAACCAGATCGGATCTCGGCATAGGCTTCGTGCGAGCGCTTGGTTCCTGGCAGAGTTCTATATCCATACACCCGCATATCTCTAATTTGAGTGCACTTCCACCAGTGAACTATATAGCGACACTTTTTGTCTTCCGGACTAGCTTTGTGCAAAACTCTCATTTTGTGTAGTGGCTGTTGGAGCTGGATTGGTTACTTGGAGGCTCTTGGTATGGTGTACCCATGCGTCATCGTACCGGTATTCCCTATACTACTACAATATTTAGAACAGAATCCCCCGCCCGATCAGCCACCGGGGCTTCCACGAGCGGGCTGGACGGCTGACTTTGTGTGCTGGCAATTAGGTGCCTGACTCTGAGAGTGTGCTTTCGAATCCTAACCAAAAGTACTAGAATCTGTACTTTACTGAGAAAGTGTAATCCGAAATATAACATATGTTCCATTGGACCACTTTCTAAATGTCATTGTGTGTTCATAATTAAAGATATGCTTGAAAATGTGGACGCATTTCACCAAGTGAAGAGCCTTGACCTTGTTCACTCCACTGTCAAACTATCGTTTCAAAATCATAATAGAAGGTATCAAATCAAGAGTGGGACTACAAATTTCACAACACAGTAGGTTTATCTTTATCAAACGTTCATGTATTGTCGGATATAGGATTACTGGCGCTGAGGCAAGGTATGTTCTGCATACCGTGATATGTAAATTGTAATATATAGCTCCCGGACAAAACGTGGTTTACACATCACGCACTTTCCTTACCGGATACCTGTAAGTGACCACAATAGACTACGTAATCCCTCACCTAGTTTTACTGAATTTCGGGGTTGTTCTCGAACATAAAGAAATGGAATTACTCAAAAAGGCTTTTTTGTCTGTGAGTGAGAATATTTCCGAAAGATTTGATAATGATCTAAATATTGTCTTTTATGGAAACACAGGGACGATCGACATCGCACCACTCCAGCATTTTCTAACCTCGTAGGACAACAGGTATAATTCCCGACTGCATACAAGAACATGTCATTCAGAAATATAACCACTGTCCTATACAGCACTTAACAACTTCAAATAATCAAAACACTTACGTAAAAACAATGGCTGATCAAAAAGTGTTTGAGCTTTGTGTTAAGAGCAGAAAGGCGTTTATTCCAACATATAAGGTATTAGTTCCTACGGAACACTAACACGTTCACCATCAATTTTCCGAGGTGTTTCTAGCCCTTGTGTATTGCAATGTTTATGTTTAACCTTTCTGTGAAGAAAGAGATGACATGTTGTACCATGAGACATCTATATAGTGTACATAAATTTAAGAAATACGGTAATCATAAGAATCCAGTGCTTGTTAGCTTTGTTTTGCACTGTATGAATAAGAACGGGGAGTCAATATGTGAAGCCCATTTCTGGTGTCCCCCGCCGTGATATTACTGGAATATTGCTAAAAGCTTCGTAAAACCACACTCACTCACTCACTCACTTACTCACTCATTCCATAGAGTGAGTGAGTGTTTGTTTCAAACAATATCACGGCGGGGACACCAGAAATGGGCCTCACCCATTGTACCCATGTGGGGAATCGAACCCGACGTGACGAGCGAACGTTTAACCATCATCCCACAGTTCTTAGACCCCCTTACCATGTTATTTTGCTTATACTATCGCTATCAACAACGTTCACCGGTTCACTCAAAATCTCGTTGAGCTGCCGTCCTCAAATATCCTTATGGCTGCAGAAATAGACAGACAGACAGACAGACATTTTATTTCAGTAATGTAGGCCCTTGGCCCATAATACAACATAGTGCAATTATAAAGAATACCTACATGCTGGATATAGGATGACGATTGGAGTACAGGGGCAATTGATAGTAGTAGTGGATTTATGTCTTAGTTTTAATACGGTGGAGAGGAATGTAGTTAATGATTTTAGATAATTTATGTCGTTGCGAGTAATTAAACGCACAAAAGTTTCAATTGTTGAAATAGAAATACATTAGATACATCGCTGAACAATATTCTCCCGTTCATTCAATCCCACGTTTTAGCTAAACATTAATATATATCACCATGCGCCTATAGCAAATTGGGATGTTTCCATCTACAACGGAACTCTGTGTTGTTTATTAATTACAGATACAGGTAACCACGTGATTGAGTGCCACGTACCTGTATTGTCTCATCGTCATATGTGAAGCCCAGAGCAGCACACGCGCAGGAGAATTCCGACAGAGTCATGTGACCATCATGGTTGGCGTCAAAGTCGTGAAACGCCTTGGTGTAGACAGCAACTTCGTCGGCGGTGTTCATGTCGCAGGTGGAGGAGCCAGTGTTGGTGTGTAGTCGTGCTTGTCATGTAGGGGTTTACTATATCTGGGATTACATATTACATACTTCCTTCTTGTACATAGGTAGAACAATTTGCACAGAGGCACGCTAACTTTATCGATAAACATAACGTGGTTGTATTTGCTTAGGTAAATAAAAAAGGTTTCAAGATTGTAGAGTGGCTAGCGTGTAGAAACTTGATACCCCCAACTGATTAAACATGTCAATAGTTGTCAGTATAATGGTGTTACATGGCGCTATATGAAAAGGGTGTATAATTGATTATACCTTGAAGAGAGCATTTACATGTCTTCAGCAACCCATGCTTGTCGTAAGAGGCGACTAACGGGATCGGGTGACCAGGCTTGCTGACTTGGTTGACACATGTCATCGTATCCCAGTTGTATAGATCGATACTCATGATGTTGATCACTGGATTGTCTCGGCGTTACACAACAAACAAACCAAATATACTATCCCAAAAAAGAAACGCATAGGCGTTTTGCATTTTAAAAAATCTGTTAATTACCTATTATGTTCAAACAATCGTCAAAATATGTAACAAAAGTGTTGATAACATTATTTTACACAATTGCACAAGTCAAAATCGACTTTACCTGAAAATGTTGATTTTGATGAGATTTCGTACAAGGATTTAAAAAGGCATCGCCACAACGCAACAGAAATTACCTTCCAGTTTACATACAGATTACTTTCGGAAATCAACATTTGTTTTGAAGAAGTTTCAAGCTCAAATCACTACGTCACGTCTTGATGCTGAGACATGGAACATCGCCATTGAAGAATGCGCGCTGGAGATTATCAATCTTCAGTTGCCAGGCTGAGCACGATATCACGGCTTGCAGCTCGTTACAACCAAACAGGTATAACAAATGACTGTCCCCGTACAGGCAGACCTCGAGTCACCACTGCAGCCCAAGATCGGTACATCCGGGTACTACATTTGCGTGATCGTACTGCCACGGGTGAGAGCACAGCAGCCAGGGTGAATGGACTTCGGAGGATATCCGGTCAAATGAAGCCCATTTCTGGTGTCCCCCGCCGTGATGTTGCTGGAATATTGCTAAAAGCGGCGTAAAACCAAACTCAGTCAGTCAGTCAGTCAGTCCGGTCAAACAGTACGGAACAGGTTGACACTGACTGGACTGAGAGCCAGGAGACCCGACGTCGGTACCGTGCTACGTCGTCGCCATCGCGCTCAACGTCTCCGTTAACTAAAATTATCCAGTTGGTTGTAGAGATTACCTTCTTCTAAACTGATGTAAAAATTCATGTACTAAACTCTATTTGTGGACGAGTTATACATGTTTAAAAATACAACATTTTCGCAACAGATTTCTGGGTTATGCGTTTCTGTTTTGGAATAGTATATATACATGCATAGTCCTGCCAGGGCATTGGTGGATCCAAAGGGGGTGAGGGTGGGTGGTTTGGATGGGTCCCCCATGAATAGAGAGACCACATTGAAGTTAATGTTTTGTATTCAACCCTCTCTTGATGAGTGCGGCGTAAAACTAAACTCACTCACTCGTGTCATAACCAGTATGTATGTCTGTCTGCGTGCGTGCGTACCTACATGCGTGCGTGCGTGCGTGCGTGCGTGTGTATGTGTATTAGGGACTATTTGTGTATATCGTACATGAATGCGTGCGTGTGTGCGTGAGACTCTAAGATAGCACCACTGAAACCTATCTGTATCGGCTGAGCGTGAGTTCGCGTCAACAAAGCCGCAGACTATCTGCAATCAAGACAACTCCTTCCTTATGTGACTGAACTGTTCTCCAGGGAGATATCAGCTTAGCCTTTAATCACATAGCAGTGCAACTCCCCCTAGGTTGACGTATTTACAGTGGCATACGACTGCACTCACTCACTCACCCACTCACTTATAATCCGACAGCTAATGGAGTCCTCACTCGCTTCATATTTCGAGAAAACAGAGGTTCTGACACAAACTGGCGGTGATGACGCCTAATGCTTAAAAGCGTTCTCTTGTCAGGCTGAAGACCCGGGTACTCTGCGTGAAGCCCATTTCTGGTGATATCGCCTGAATATTGCTAAATATTGCCGGAGCGCAAACTCTAAATCACTCACTCACTTTGACAAAAATTGATATCTAACCACTTGTAGGAAAAGCAAAAAAAGTTTCCAGATATTCCAATTCTTAATGATTAAAGTAATTAATCAGAATGTTACTCCTCGCGCTATCCGGAAATCAGTGATCTGAAATCAGTGTGAGTGAGTGAGTGAGTTTTACGCCGCACTCAGCAATATTCCAGCTATATGGCGGCGGTCTGTAAATAATCAAGGCTGGACCAGACAATCTAGTGATCAACAGCATGAGCATCGATCAACGCAATTGGGATACGATGACATGTGTCAGCGAGCCTGACCACCCGATCCCGTTAGCTGCCTCTTACGTTGAAGATCAATTCTAACCCGGCTGCCTCGACAATCTGTCAGACAAGGAATTGGATAACATATAAGTGGTCAATTAATTAAACTTTAATTGCATCTTTATTAACAGTTTCCTTAACGCAATGTACGCTATATTGAGGTTATCATGTCTTAACTGAGGAATGAGTATGGTTTTATAAGTGGTCAGCAATTTAATTCAACTATAACGGCGGGGACCCGAGATTTGAGCACATTGTTTCCTGGGGAATAACGCAAAACATGCTGCTTTAACCAGTAGGTTAACCCACCGCCACCGCCCTTAATGTGAGTATGGTTTCCTTCGACCGCTAGTTATCCAAAAGTCCAATTCAATATCACGGCGGGGTCGCCTATACGGTCATCTGGCCAGTTTTAGAGGTCTTTAAAACCAGTCTGGAATATTTACTCAGTCTGGTTCAATTGAAACTGAACGGGATTGTTAAAACATTTAAAATAACATTGTACTGGATTGAGACGTAAGCAACAGATGGCAAAGGCCCGTGTTTGCTGCCTATATATAGCCCATGACGGAGTTCGACTTCGACATTTCGTCAGGCTTCGGCAAACGCTTTAAACAATTTAAACAGCAACAGAAACTCCTCATAGTCCAGTCTGCCGTCGCCATTGACGTCTACATGGGCTATCATGTCCTTCACTTCCTGTGCAGACAACGGTTCTTCTCCCTCGCCCACAGCAGACGCCAGAGCCCGGTGGAGCTCGGATACTGACAGGAAGCCATCTTTGTTCACGTCCATCCTCCGAAACATCCGTCTGAAGGTGGCACATCTGGAGTGAGTGAGTGAGTTTAGTTTTACGCCGCTTTTAGCAATATTCCAGCAATATCACTACGGGGGACACCAGAAGCTGGTTTTAAACATATTTATTATAACGTTAGCGGTATTACAAATGGGTTTCTACATTGTACCCATTTAGGGAATCGAACCCGGGCCTTAGGCATGACGAGCGAACGCTTTAAACAATTTAAACAGCTATTTCTGTACAGATCTACCAGGGACTAGGTTCTGTACGTTGTCTCAGACACTGTAAGTTGCGACATTGGCATCGTCAAGAAGCAACCAGGGGTCTCCAAAAATCTAATTTCAAATTTGTCATTGAATGTTACTCGTCCAAGTCATCCACATGATTTTATAAGAAATGACCCTTAACGGATAACGGTAGAACGTGTGCTTATTTTTGTATATTTGTAGTTTAACGGCGCACTACACTCCCTTTAAGTCGTGACTATGACGCTACGACAGACGAGGAACCGACAGGTCTCCCGGAATAGATTTTGAGATGTCCCCCTCCCCATGACTGGCTGTTCCGTTTCTGCGGTTTCACCCCGCCGCGACAGATAACAACTTTTGCGTCTTCAATGATGATAGTTTCTTAAACAACTTTTTGGTGGAGTCAGGAAAATTTTCAAATATAAGAAAGCTGTTGGGTATTAGTAAATGATAAACATGTGTACTATTTATATTTATGTGGCAATTTTGTACAATGATAAAATTTGCAATTCATCGGTCCGTTTCTGACTCAAACGGACTGTAAGCAATATTCCATTTATTTGGCGTTGGTCTGTAAATAATCGAGTCTGGACCAGACAATCCAGTTATCAACATCATGAGCCTCGTTTGGGACACGATGAGATGTGTCAACCAAGTCAGCGAGTCTGTTTACCCGATCAATTCAGTCACCTCTTACGACAAGCCTGTATTACTGAAAATCAATACTAACCCGGATCTTCACGGGTCCGGTAGGAAGTTACTGTTAAAACCCCCAGATAGATAGAGTGTCTGAAATTGTCACACATTTGCAGACTCATTACAAATTTGAATATACTAAAACATGAAACCAATTCTATGTGATACACTTGTACAACACATTTTATTTTGAAAGACCAGATGACAGACATTTCATATCATCTGTTTGAAGCACTTTATCGCAAGTAAATTTAAGAAATTCTGAATTAGTTATAAACATTGAAACACAAGCAACACATAAATCTTGCTTACTGTGAGTGTTTGTGTCAAAAGTACATGTGTTTATGAGCACGAGTCTGTTAACTGGCCAAACAAATTGGATTTTGAACTAAACAACCGAGCAAATAAAAACATACACTCACGTTCCTAACGGCAGCCGAAACGAAGCAAATAAGTAATGGTTATTCGATGGAACATGAGTATCTCTATACAGATACAGATACCAAGGTACACACGGTATATAGGACGAGCCATTTCACTGTACATGACGTGTCAAGGTACACACGGTATATGGGAATAGCCATTTCACTGTACAAGACGTCTCAAGGTACACACGGTATATGGGACTAGCCATTTCACTGTATATGACGTCTCAAGGTACACACGGTACATGTGACTAGCCAGTTCACAGAATAACCATCACTGTATATGACGTCTCAAGGTACACATGGGTCGGTGGGGTAGCCTAGTGGTTAAAGCGTTGGCTCGTCACGCCGAAGACCCGGTTTCGATTCCCCACATGAGCACAATGTGTGAAGCCCATTTCTGGTGTTCCCCGCCGTGATATTGCTGGAATATTGCTAAAAGCGGCGTAAAACTAACCTCAGTCAGTCAGTCAGTCAAGGTACACACGGTATATGGGATTAGCCATTTCATTGTACATGACGTGTCAATTTATATGGGACTAGCCATTTCACTGTACATTTTTCAAATGCATACTTTCGTCTTTAGCTGCGTATTCTTCAATTTTAAACAGCATCAACATACATTAGTATCATGTTAGACACACAAGCCGTAATACAGTAGAAGATATGGCTAAAGTGGTTTATTTACCGTTTTTTCCCATTTGTTATTGGTTGCATTGCAAAGAGAAACTCGTCCAAAGTCACATCGCCACTTTTGTCCTTGTCCAGCTCCGAAAACAGTTGCTGCAAATAGAATCATACAGTCATGCACTGCTTTAGTGCCATTCATGCAGTCTATAGTACATACAGCCTATCCCACACCAGTGAATTGTCACGAAATAAAACATGCCTTAAAATGGCAATAAGGTGTATATTGTCACAGACTGGGTCTTAGCACAGTTTGTGGCAATAATGCCTTGATGCCAGTTTGTACACAAGGTATATGCGCCACAAGCCCCTGTGCCACAGTCAGTATATAACTGTCACGGGGAACGTCATTTATATTTTTTAACTTTCGTAATACATAACAGGATTTCTGTTTCTTGTTTAACGATGCACTCAGCAATTTTCCATGGTCGATGGTCTGTAAATAATCGAGTCTGGACCAGAAAATCCAGTGATTGACACGATGAGCATCGATCTATGCAATTGCATAATATTGTGAGGATGTTACACCATGTTGCAGGGTATCCTACTTGTGACATCTCTTTGACTCTCGCTGGTGGATCATTTTCGTCAGAGTACCCCCAAATACTGTGTTGTTCATGACAACCATATATTGTGTTCGCCTTGTACCGGCCATACAGTGCTCTGCTGTTAAAGTGGCCACGATATCCTGCTGTGATCAGTCTTCATCATTGCTTTGCCATTCAAGAAGTACAGTTTCTAACGGTTCCTATCAGTAATGTGATCAGTCTTTATCAAGGCTTTATCATGCAAGAAGTACAGTTTCTAACGGTTCCTATCAGTAATGTGATCAGTCTTTATCAAGGCTTTATCATGCTTATCATGCAAGAACAACGGTTCTATCTAATTTCATATACAAACCACCATCACTGGTGTGGCGTTATAACGTACTAATGTACTATATCATATACAAACCACCATCTGGTGTGGCGTTATAACGTACTAATCTACTATTTCATATACAAACCACCATCTGGTGTGGCGTTATAACGTACTAATCTACTATATCATATACAAACCACCAACTGGTGTGGCGTTATAACGTACTAATCTACTATTTCATATACAAACCACCAACTGGTGTGGCGTTATAACGTACTAATCTACTATTTCATATACAAACCACCAACTGGTGTGGCGTTATAACGTACTAATCTACTATTTCATATACAAACCACCATCTGGTGTGGCGTTATAACGTACTAATCTACTATATCATATACAAACCACCAACTGGTGTGGCGTTATAACGTACTAATCTACTATATCATATACAAACCACCAACTGGTGTGGCGTTATAACGTACTAATCTACTATATCATATACAAACCACCAACTGGTGTGGCGTTATAACGTACTAATCTTCTATATCATATACAAACCACCAACTGGTGTGGCGTTATAACGTACTAATCTACTATCTCATATACAAACCACCAACTGGTGTGGCGTTATAACGTACTAATCTACTATATCATATACAAACCACCAACTGGTGTGGCGTTATAACGTACTAATCTACTATATCATATACAAACAACCAACTGGTGTGGCGTTATAACGTACTAATCTACTATATCATATACAAACCACCAACTGGTGTGGCGTTATAACGTACTAATCTACTATATCATATACAAACCACCAACTGGTGTGGCGTTATAACGTACTAATCTACTATATCATATACAAACCCCTAACTGGTGTGGCTTTATAACGTACTAATCTACTATATCATATACAAACAACCAACTGGTGTGGCGTTATAACGTACTAATCTACTATATCATATACAAACCACCAACTGGTGTGGCGTTATAACGTACTAATCTACTATTTCATATACAAACCACCAACTGGTGTGGCGTTATAACGTACTAATCTACTATATCATATACAAACAACCAACTGGTGTGGCGTTATAACGTACTAATTTACTATTTCATATACAAACAACCAACTGGTGTGGCGTTATAACGTACTAATCTACTATATCATATACAAACCACCAACTGGTGTGGCGTTATAACGTACTAATCTACTATATCATATACAAACCACCAACTGGTGTGGCGTTATAACGTACTAATCTACTATATCATATACAAACCACCAACTGGTGTGGCGTTATAACGTACTAATCTACTATTTCATATACAAACAACCAACTGGTGTGGCGTTATAACGTACTAATCTACTATATCATATACAAACCACCAACTGGTGTGGCGTTATAACGTACTAATCTACTATATCATATACAAACCACCAACTGGTGTGGCGTTATAACGTACTAATCTACTATATCATATACAAACCACCAACTGGTGTGGCGTTATAACGTACTAATCTACTATATCATATACAAACCACCAACTGGTGTGGCGTTATAACGTACTAATCTACTATATCATATACAAACCACCAACTGGTGTGGCGTTATAACGTACTAATCTACTATATCATATACAAAACCACCAACTGGTGTGGCGTTATAACGTACTAATCTACTATTTCATATACAAACCACCAACTGGTGTGGCGTTATAACGTACTAATCTACTATATCATATACAAACCACCAACTGGTGTGGCGTTATAACGTACTAATCTACTATATCATATACAAACCACCAACTGGTGTGGCGTTATAACGTACTAATCTACTATATCATATACAAAACCAACTGGTGTGGCGTTATAACGTACTAATCTACTATATCATATACAAACCACCAACTGGTGTGGCGTTATAACGTACTAATCTACTATATCATATACAAACCACCAACTGGTGTGGCGTTATAACGTACTAATCTACTATATCATATACAAACCACCAACTGGTGTGGCGTTATAACGTACTAATCTACTATATCATATACAAACCACCAACTGGTGTGGCGTTATAACGTACTAATCTACTATATCATATACAAACCACCAACTGGTGTGGCGTTATAACGTACTAATCGACTATATCATATACAAACCACCAACTGGTGTGGCGTTATAACGTACTTATTTACTATTTCATATACAAACAACCAACTGGTGTGGCTTTATAACGTACTAATCTACTATATCATATACAAACCACCAACTGGTGTGGCGTTATAACGTACTAATCTACTATATCATATACAAACCACCAACTGGTGTGGCTTTATAACGTACTAATCTACTATATCATATACAAACCACCAACTGGTGTGGCGTTATAACGTACTAATCTACTATATCATATACAAACCACCAACTGGTTTGGCGTTATAACGTACTAATCTACTATATCATATACAAAACCACCAACTGGTGTGGCGTTATAACGTACTAATCTACTATTTCATATACAAACCACCAACTGGTGTGGCGTTATAACGTACTAATCTACTATATCATATACAAACCACCAACTGGTGTGGCGTTATAACGTACTAATCTACTATATCATATACAAACCACCAACTGGTGTGGCGTTATAACGTACTAATCTACTATATCATATACAAACCACCAACTGGTGTGGCGTTATAACGTACTAATTTACTATATCATATACAAACAACCAACTGGTGTGGCGTTATAACGTACTAATCTACTATATCATATACAAACCACCAACTGGTGTGGCGTTATAACGTACTAATCTACTATATCATATACAAACCACCAACTGGTGTGGCGTTATAACGTACTAATCTACTATATCATATACAAACAACCAACTGGTGTGGCGTTATAACGTACTAATCTACTATATCATATACAAACCACCAACTGGTGTGGCGTTATAACGTACTAATCGACTATATCATATACAAACAACCAACTGGTGTGGCGTTATAACGTACTAATCTACTATTTCATATACAAACAACCAACTGGTGTGGCGTTATAACGTACTAATCTACTATATCATATACAAACCACCAACTGGTGTGGCGTTATAACGTACTAATCTACTATATCATATACAAACCACCAACTGGTGTGGCGTTATAACGTACTAATCTACTATATCATATACAAACCACCAACTGGTGTGGCGTTATAACGTACTAATCTACTATATCATATACAAACCACCAACTGGTGTGGCGTTATAACGTACTAATCTACTATCTCATATACAACCAACCAACTGGTGTGGCGTTATAACGTACTAATCTACTATATCATATACAAACCACCAACTGGTGTGGCGTTATAACGTACTAATCTACTATATCATATACAAACCACCAACTGGTGTGGCGTTATAACGTACTAATCTACTATATCATATACAAACCACCAACTGGTGTGGCGTTATAACGTACTAATCTACTATATCATATACAAACCACCAACTGGTGTGGCGTTATAACGTACTAATCTACTATATCATATACAAACCACCAACTGGTGTGGCGTTATAACGTACTAATCTACTATATCATATACAAACCACCAACTGGTGTGGCGTTATAACGTACTAATCTACTATATCATATACAAACCACCAACTGGTGTGGCGTTATAACGTACTAATCTACTATATCATATACAAACCACCAACTGATGTGGCGTTATAACGTACTAATCTACTATATCATATACAAACCACCAACTGGTGTGGCGTTATAACGTACTAATCTACTATATCATATACAAACCACCAACTGGTGTGGCGTTATAACGTACTAATCTACTATATCATATACAAACCACCAACTGGTGTGGCGTTATAACGTACTAATCTACTATTTCATATACAAACCACCAACTGGTGTGGCGTTATAACGTACTAATCTACTATATCATATACAAACCACCAACTGGTGTGGCGTTATAACGTACTAATCTACTATATCATATACAAACCACCAACTGGTGTGGCTTTATAACGTACTAATCTACTATATCATATACAAACCACCAACTGGTGTGGCGTTATAACGTACTAATCTACTATATCATATACAAACCACCAACTGATGTGGCGTTATAACGTACTAATCTACTATATCATATACAAACCACCAACTGGTGTGGCGTTATAACGTACTAATCTACTATATCATATACAAACCACCAACTGGTGTGGCGTTATAACGTACTAATCGACTATATCATATACAAACAACCAACTGGTGTGGCGTTATAACGTACTAATCTACTATTTCATATACAAACCACCAACTGGTGTGGCGTTATAACGTACTAATCTACTATATCATATACAAACCACCAACTGGTGTGGCGTTATAACGTACTAATCTTCTATATCATATACAAACCACCAACTGGTGTGGCGTTATAACGTACTAATCTACTATATCATATACAAACCACCAACTGGTGTGGCGTTATAACGTACTAATCTACTATATCATATACAAACCACCAACTGGTGTGGCGTTATAACGTACTAATCGACTATATCATATACAAACCACCAACTGGTGTGGCGTTATAACGTACTAATCTACTATTTCATATACAAACCACCAACTGGTGTGGCGTTATAACGTACTAATCTACTATATCATATACAAACCACCAACTGGTGTGGCGTTATAACGTACTAATCTACTATTTCATATACAAACCACCAACTGGTGTGGCGTTATAACGTACTAATCTACTATATCATATACAAACCACCAACTGGTGTGGCTTTATAACGTACTAATCTACTAACGTACTAACGAAATCGGACATGTGAACAAGCAATTTAACATTATGAAACCCCTCATGAAGTATTCATGGCGTACAAACAATGAGTATTTTCATTCTCGCACTACAACTACAAATGTATGTGAGGCAGTACGACCAGTTTACACAGTGACCGACAGACACTACTGGACTTGCTGGTCAGTGTGCGTCCCTACATGTTTCTGGCTTGCCTTCTGCCGGTCTGTCTGCGCTCTTCCCGCTGTCTGCCGGCTCCCCCTGCTTGCCCCCTGCTTCATAGACAATGTTTGTTTAGCTTATCATGTATTGACAAGTGTACACGACAAATAGTGTTACAAAATACACATGTACTTCCGGTTTAGTGACGTTCTCTTCTACCTCACCTCACCTCATCTGGAGGCATTCTAGAGTTGTAAGCAATAGGAATGACAAGTGTTTATGGATGATCAACTCTTTTATTGTACAATTGCGACGTTGCAATTGAACAATAAACAAATTGATCATCCATAATCACTGGTCATGCCTATCCAGTGCAAGACAAGGGCTCCCTAGTGGAGTGTACGGTCGGTCCTAGCTACAACAAATGGTCACGTGTCATTATGAGTTGTTGCCTGGATACATGCGTCTTACCTTCACCTGTGAGTCATCATAGGAAAACCCCAACTCCACACACAAGCCCTTCACCTCCGATCTGTTTAAACGTCCGTCGTGATTAAGATCAACTTCTTTAAACATTTTGGTGTACATCTGCATCTGTTTTAAAGTCAGCTGGTTCATCCTGGATTAACAGCCTGGCAACTTTAATGGAATTGTAGACCAGCACGTCTTAACACAATACCCAAGGTAAGGTAGCCTGAGTAATATATGTGTGTTTGATAACACCGACCTCTGCGCAGCACCCTCACGCTCTTATAACATTAAATGAGTTTCGACTACTGAAGGGGATTTTTTTTAGCTCTTGACAAAGCCTTTGATATACGAGAGACACTGTACACATATGCAAGACCGTTATAAATTACTAAAACCTAATCCTGCCACACTTATAGCATAAAATATTCTCGAGAAATACTCCAAGCAGCGAGAACATATTCGAAATTTCAAGTTTTTGGCAGAAACTTGGTGTAACGAGAAAATTTTCTAAAATTTTTGAAAAAATATTTTATGCTACGAAAGTGACAGCTTTGGACTTTTGTAAGGTATACTTATAAACAAATGAGATCACGATACAAAGGGCATTGTGGGCGAATGAACTGACGTTAATCTCTTAGACAAAATCATTAAGATAAAATCATTTAAAATTGCTACATTCAGGTGATATTTTTTCATAACCTGATTTGTTTCTTAACCAAAGATCAAAGGTGATCAAGATGAATGGTGTCATGGTTAAGAACAAGTGTTAGAGTTTAAGTGTTGAAACTTATCATTTTTATGGCTTACCGACAGGCATCGCCTTTAAGTCTTATCAGAGATTTCAATAGCTGTGTAAAATCAATCCAGTGACGTCTGAACCTGTTGTATATGTAGTCTTGATGTCTTATGACTATCAAGTAGCCTTAGAGAGCAAAGGCGACAGATTAAGCATACACACAAAGGATCAAGAAATTGTAGTAAACATGCACATAGGTTAAAAAAATTGCAGTGGTAGCTCTTTCGCTGGGACATAGAATGTTCTTAATCATTGGTCGTGTGTGTACGTGTATTGTACCTGTCAGGCAGACCATAAATCACATGTCGTACCATACAGATTGGAATATATATAAGCGTCAGTGCCCTCCTAACTTGGAGGGGGAATGTCACCTCTGACCAAGGTATTTCACCACGAATCACCTGTATCATCACAGTAACAAACCTGCTTTATATTTCTAACGTTATTACGAGTACTTTAATCGTTCAGCTATGGTCCGGTGGTTTCAGCCTGCTGTTATTTACAAGTTGTTGTTTATGACGTGTTTCATCCTAACAATAAGTGGTGTATGATACTATCGATCGTGTTTGCCGGGATAATTTTGTCGCTTAAAGTTTGAAACAGTGTACTCAAAACTATCATACACACAAACGCATACGGATAGGCCCGGGTACACGCACACGCACACATTGATACACATAATTCATGTGTAGATGATGCCTTTTACATATGTTTTACAACGTATCTTAAATATGACCCTTCTGACCATGGCATATAGACAAACAGACAGATAATATAGACAAATAGACAGGTATAGATAGGTAGATAGATGGAAAAATAGATAGGAAGACAGGTAGGTAGATAGATAGGTAGGTATAGATAGCTAGATAGGTTGGTAGATTGATAAGGATAGATAGTTAAACAAAATTACGTAGATAACGGTAAATACAATGCAATTGTTATAATAAATAAACACTACGTTGACAGATATACATTTTCAGCATATTATCATAATATATTCAGCTAACAATTCATGGTACTAAAACTGACGTTATTGCAACAACTAGTTAATAAATGCACCGACCCCTTTATAATAAATCAATTCCGGACAATAAACTGCAAAATGCTTAATGTTGTAAAATTGGATGAGGTTTTGCATCACTTTTATGTTTTTTTCCGATAGATGATTAGATGATGGACAATACAGACCTTTAGCTAACGCAGAGTTTGGACATACATAATATCAGTACGTGTTCCCAGCACTGAACCCAGACAGGAACTCCTTGTCCCGCATTGGCCTTGTCAGCCACGAGCGTGCCTGCGGTCGACGTGGACCAGCCCTGAATGAATACATGAATGAATGAATGAATGAATGAATGAATGAATGAATGAATGAATGGATGGATGGATGGATGAATGAATGAATGAATGAATGAATGAATGAATGGATGGATGGATGGATGGATGGATGGATGGATGGATGGATGTGAATGAATGAATGAATGAATGAATGAATGAATGGATGGATGGATGGATGGATGAATGTGAATGAATGAATGATTGGATGGATGGATGGACGGGTGGATGAATGTGAATGGATGAATGAATGAATGAATGAATGGTTGGATGGATGGATGGATGGATGAATGAATGAATGAATGAATGGTTGGATGGATGGATGGATGGATGGATGAATGTGAATGAATGAATGAATGAATGAATGATTGGATGGATGGATGGACGGGTGGATGAATGTGAATGAATGAATGGATGGATGAGAATGAATGAATGAATGAATGAATGAATAAATGAATGAATGAATAAATGAATGAATGGTTGGATGGATGGATGAATGTGAATAAATGAATGAATGAATGGTTGGATGGATGAATGAATGAATGAATGGTTGGATGGATGGATGGATGGATGGATGGATGGATTGATTGATTGATGTGAATGAGTGAATGAATGAATGCATGCATGCATGAATGAATGAATGAAGCGATGAATGTTTGGATGGATGTATGGATGAATGAAAGTGAGGGAATGGTTGGATGGATGGATGGATGGATGGATGGTGTACCCCCTTCACCGATCTTCGTTCGCGAAGCAAGGCTATGATGACCATCATCATTCCCTGCACATGACTGGGGATGAAGAGGATGTGACTCTGAGTCGAGGCTGAATCGATGTTTAACTTTAGTGGTGAGAGGCTTTCGTCTCATGATATTACGGGTGCTTCGAAAGAATGGAGGTTCATTGAACTTACGTAATATATTTGCGTTGAACATATGAATGGGTGTGAAAGAATGAGTTTGGGCATATGACTGAGTAAGAAGCGACTAACGGGATCGGGCGGTCAGGCTCGCTGACTTGGTTGACACATGTCATTGTATCCCAATTGCGTAGATCGATGCTCATGCTGTTGATCACTGGATTGTCTGGTCCAGACCCGATTATTTACAGACCGCCGCCAGATAACTAGAATATTGCTTGGTGCTGCGTAAAAGTACACTCACTCACTCACTTCTGACATTGCTATGGGACACAACTCTGCAGAGAAAGTTACGGTGTTTTAGACGACGAGAACAGCCGCGACCTCGTCAAAGAAACTGGGCAAGTTTGGTATGCCGAACATGTCTCGCGAGTAGTTCGATTCTAGGCGTGACCTGTCATTTTTTAGGTTTATGGAACCATAAACGCAAAAATGCTTCGTTGCAATGCCACGCTATTTAGAGTTTTGTTCATAACTATCATAAAATGAAATCGATAGTGTAGATCAATGCTAATTATGTTAATCACTGGATTGTCTAGTCCAGTTTCGATTATTCAGAGACCGCCGTCCATATATCTGGAATATTGCAAACAAAAGATAGTGTTCCTGATTCACCATCTAATGACTCACGAAACATATTCATATTCACATGGATGGATGGATGGATGGATGGATAGATGGATGGATGAATGAAAAACAATGAAAGTTTTTCCGGGTTGCTTTCGTTATACATGTTACAATCAATCTGTCAAACCAGTCATTTGACCTAATGACTGAAAAACGAACTGACGACTAAGGGGAAATTTGATTCTGTTCTATTGTCCTTTACGATAAGGGTATTACCTCCCTTGGGTAACACTGGCAAACAATTCACTTGTGGTAAACGTTGGAGTTCAGCTATAAGGAAGTTATTCTCAAGGGATAATAGTGAAATGTGAAATGTCAGATTTGGCATGGCTCTACTGTTACAGCAATGAAAGGCGCTGTCACTGTTGGCCGTAGCTATTCATTACGCAGAACAGGCTAAACATATACTGAGCAGCAGTTTGGGTACACCCCTATTGGGTAACTTGAGCCAGAGACCATATAATCTAATTCCCCAATGTGTGACGCCCATCTCCGATGTCCCCACTCCTGCAGTGATATTGTAAAATATAGCTTAAAGCGGCGTAAAACTGAACATATGTACACTCTGAAGCAGTGTTGCCCACTCACTCTAAGCAGCATTACTCACTGACTAAAAGCAGTGTTTCTAACTCACTAACTCTCATATCAAATTTAACGACACGAGCTGCTATGTTTTAGATAAAAAAACACGTTCCCGATATTATCTATGTGTGGTTTAAACCCTTTGTCCTACGCATGGAAATTACTGCTCTAAGGGGCCACTCACTTACTCAAACAGTGAAACTCACTCAAAGCAGTGTTACTCACTCACTCACAACAATGTTTCTCACTCACTCAAGCAGTGTTGCTCACTCACTCAAAGCATTGTTACTCACTCAAAGCAGTTTTACTCACTCACTCACTCAAGCAATGTTACTCACTCACTCAAAGCAGTGTTACTCACTCACTCACAGCAGTGTTACCCACTCACAGCACAGTGTTACTCACTCACTTACAGCAACGTTACTCACTCACTCACAGCAGTGCTACTCACTCACTTACAGCAGCGTTACTCACTCACTCACAGCAGCGTCACTCACTGACTCACAGCAGTGTTACTCATTCAAAGCAGTGTTACTCACTCACTAACAGCAGTGTTACTCACTCAAAGCAGCGTTACTCACTCACTCACAGCAGTGTTATTCACTCACTCAAAGCAGTGTTACTCACTCACTTACAGCAGGGTTACGCACTCACAGCAGTGTTACTCACTCACTTACAGCAGTGTTACTCACTTACTCACAGCAGTGTAACTCACTCACTTACAGCAGTGTTACTCACTCACTCACGTACAGCAGTGTTATTCACTCACTCACAGCAGTGTTACTCACTGACTTACAGCAGTGTTACTCACTCACTCACAGCAGTGTTACTCACTCACTCACTCACAGCAATGTTAATCACTCACAGCAGTGTTACTCACTCATTCACTCACAGCAGTGGTATTCACTCACTCAAAGCAGTGTTACTCACTCAAAGCAGTGTTACTCACTCACTTACAGAAATGTTACTCACTCATTCACTCAC